ATGCGCGCATCCGGGATTTCGGAGTGTTGTAGTCGGCCTACCGTATCAGACCCATATCGCACACATCGCCCACCCACCTAGAATCCATCTAGGATACGCGCGCATTCGGAACACTCGATTCAGCCTCTCCCGCATCACACACATATGAGACTCATCGCAGCTCATTGTTCGCGATATGTGTCAAACGGACTTCTAGAGGATCGCATATGGATCGGGTCCTTTATGCGCATCATCGCCCAGGACCTGTGAAGCCTCCTTTTACCACAACACTACACAACCGATATTTTCCTCTCACGCGGAATTGGTAGAGGAGGGAGGGGAAGTTGAAATCCCCAGCGCACCGAAATCGGCCCAAATTTTCAGACAAAGTTTTTCGGCCTGGGAGTGAGAATGGGCTAAAAATTTTTTCGTCATCGTATAGAGCATGTCTTAAACTATAAGTATTCAAATTTTGAGCAAATTCTCAATCGTTGTCTAAAAAACCTTCCCTTGTGAGGTTAAAGTGTGACAGTCTGCCGAGTCGTCTCCGCTCCAGGAAGGAGAGAGGGACCCCACAACTTTGCACCTTATCTATGTTCCTATGAAAGATACCAAAAAGACCTGAAAAAATGTGGATAATTTTATGAGGAACATTTTTTTAGTTGACTATTTTGGAATAGTTTTTCTAGGAAGCGAGATATTTAATTCAAAAGACTAGCTATGCAAAAGCGCTCTATTGAAAGGCGCGATCGCCAATGAAAATGTTTGAAGAAGGTGTATTCCTGCTGCACGGTGAATTCTCCGGAACGTTTTTCGAAATAAATTTTTTCGCGCTCTTTTCATTTTTGGTCGCAATTTCGCTGTGTAGCGACTCAGTAATTCATTTTTTAGCATGCGCGTCAATACTCAGCGCGCTTAACTACAGTAGTCAAGTCACTGATATTGAAGAAACGAACACAAAAACAAGAATATGGTAGGTGTTCAAAAACAAATTGAAAACTTAGAAATATTTCCCAGTCATCAGTGGTTTAACACTCGCATTCGTCAGTATATGATTTTGGAAATCTTCTTTGTAATATCTCTGATTATGATTCTCTCCAGGTTTCAAACTATATCTAATCAGAACGAGCGGGTTTTGGAAATGGTAAATTGTGAATTGATATTCTCATTTGAATAATTATTGTATGTAGGTTAAATCAATGCAGTCTCAAATTGGTACTATGGAAAGAAAATTAGATTCGCTAGTTTTTCTAAAATCAAATCAAGAAATAAACCAGTTTGAGGGTACAATTGCTGATGCACTCAAGAATATTAAATTTCCAACACAAGATTCATCAGACAAAGTGGGGCCAATCATCATTCCGCAAATAAACCGATCCATATCTAAAACTGAGGAGAGTGATCTCAAAATTCCTATCCCCAAAGAACAATTCAGATTAAATGCAGCTGATTTTATAAAGGGAGCATCTGTGGACATTGCTCATTCTTCCAGTTCAAGTTTGAATCCAATAACTGGATATGATCAAACTAATCTTGTTTTACTTGATCGTCTTCAATCACCATCCGATAAAGCGTGGTGTACAAATGCGGAGAATCCAGTACTCACTATCAATTTGGCCAAGTATATCAAATCAATTTCTGTATCATATCAACATTCTAAATGGCATAGAATAATTCCGAATGGGTCTCCCAAAACATATGATGTAGTGGTGAGTTGACTTTTCCGGTTTAAGTTTATCAGAATATTGTTCAGGCTTGTCTTGACTTTTACTGCGAAAAATGGGAACCATTAGTATCCAATTGTGAATAGAGCCAATATGATTCAAATGAACAGATGTGCAACATTTCTACTCATCTGGATGTTCCTTCGATTGGAAAAGTCCAATTTCGATTCCGTTGAAAATTATGGGGACACAAAAATGACTTGTGTTCACTTGGTTCGTGTTTATGGAGAGACGAAGACACCTTCGAAAATTGAAGAGAAGAATTTGGAAAGTGAAGAAATTTGTGCTGATTTCAGATGGTATTATCATAACAGCTACTTCAGATATACATGGGTAAATGGAGTTTTAATCTACACTGAATACAAATGGTTTTTTTCAGACGGATAAAAACTGTACAGCATACTTGTAAAATTCCGGGCCGGCCCGCCAAAGCCCGGGCCTGAGGAAAATTTTGAGGCCCGGGCCCGGCCCGGAAGACCCGGTAGCAAAAATTTTGTCATTTTGAACCGAATTTTGAGCTCTCAATACAATTTTCTATATTTTTTTGTGCTTTTTGGATTGTTTGTCTGTTTGATCAAAAAATATCAAAAAAATTTTTTGATCGAAAAAAAATCACATAAGGGTCCCCCCTTATGTGTTTTTTGAAAATTTCAAAACTTGTGGAATGAAAGGCCCGCCGGGCCGGGCCGGGCTCGGGCCGTGCCGGGCCATGCCTCCGAAATTCCGAAAAAAGCCCGGCTCGTTACAAGTATGCTGTACAGTACTCTATGAAAATAATTGTTGCTCCGATTGTCCCGAATGCTGCGAAGTATGTTTGATATCTGATTATAACGGAAAAACCTTCAGAATCATTTTCCTAACCATAATTTGTACATCGTTTGTCATTGGTTTGGTTGCACTCTTAATATTGTTTGAAACTCGAACCACGAACACATTAGCTAGGTATCTGGATCGTTTTCCAAACGGTGATGAGTAGATTTTGCTAGGAGCATAAAAGATGCATGCCTGATGCGGTTTCATGCCGAGATGTTATGTAAAATTATTGTTACATTCCTTGATTATTTTTTCATTTTCCTTGTATTTTATGAGGTTGTTCATCTAGTGAATTTCAAAACGACTTTTACTATAAGAATTCATTCAAATTGCTTTCTGGGTATATAAATTTATCAGTAATGTTTTTTTGGTTCAATAAAACTTCAAAGCTGAAATTTCTGATGCTCCCCTAATCAATAAAAAAATAAATAAAAACCAGAGAAATTATTTTATTCCTATCTAAACAAATAACATTTAAAAAAAGTTCAGACGTTCTTCGCAACGAATGGCTGATTACTGATGTATTTAGCCCAACAATAAGGTTCACTAATATTCAAAAGTAGAATGGCCAAAGCGTCATCTGATCCTCTGACTTTTCGAACACCAGCTACCAAGTAACGACGATCGTAGAGAAGACGTTTCCAGTTGTAACGGAAATCACGACGAGCCAGACGGCCTTTCGGGCGATTGTAAATTATATTGAACTGCAAATTCTTCTTCGATTTCCGCTGATTTTTTGAGAAAGAATTACCTGGCACGTTGCCAAGTTAGCATCATCGAATGGCGACTTTGTGAATAACGATTTGATGTGTTGACTTCCGTCGTAGAAGATATTGATAGAGTCATAACGAAGTTTATGGACTTGAACAACAGTAAAATAGGCCAAATCAACAGAATCCGCATCTCGGGCATCTAAAAAATGTTTTTCTGTGTACCCCGATGCCTGTAGGATAACTCACAATGATCAACTCCCCACCCTAGATGTCTTGCTCTAGAGCTCACATTTTGTTTTAAGGTGAGCACACTGTATCGAGGATCTTGGTAACGGGCGATCTCCTGAAAATTGAGATTGAGATTGAAACATTACTACCGTATATACCGTATGCTTGTCACTCAACGAATAAATCACACATTTTCTGGTATATCGCTTCAGCTCTCGTTCCATTGCGACACTTTTCGAATTATGCACAAAGATAGCGTTGCATTGATGCTCATTTTGCTGGAATTGAAAAAAATAGACTTCGAAAGAATAACGTTAAAGGAGATTCTGAGATTCTGAGATTCTGAAATTCTGAAATTCTGAGATTCTGAAATTCTGAGATTTTGAGATTCTGAAATTCTGAGATTTTGAGATTCTGAAATTTTGAGATTCTGAGATTTTGAGATTCTGAAATTTTGAGATTCTGAGATTCTGAAATTCTGAGATTCTGAGATTCTGAGATTCTGAAATTCTGAGATTCTGAGATTTTGAATGATAGAAGACCACAAAGCCCGTCAACTTTGAGCCTGTATATCGCGAAACCTGTGAAAGATATCAAAAAGTTGTCAACTGACAAAATATTTGTAATATTATGATAAGCATTTTGTCAGTTGACTACTTTCTGATACCTATAGGGAATGAGATAAATTGGCTCAAAGTTGAAGGTTTTTGGGCTTCTACTTGAGAAAATATAGTACTCTGAGACTCACATCAACAAGCCAATTCAGCCATAAAATTGAATGTTTTGCCGAGCCAATCACCTTGATTCGTTCTCGAAAGTGTCGATACGAACACTTATCCACCACTTGATGAAGTGATGGCCACATCTGAATTCTTTTTGAAAATTGAGGATATGCAACGATGCTCTACAGTACCCTCTGGAAAAATTGATCATCACTTTCTTGGGTATTTGTCTGGAGATGAAGGCATTCTCGAGCTTCTCGGACTGACGATGGAGGCTAAAATTTTTTGAATTTGAATTTTCAAAAATTTAGCATTCCAAAAACTGGGTCACCACTTTCTAAGTTGCCATGAAAACTATTGAAATTGTTTACCTTTCCAATAAAAATGAGCCGAAAAACGAATAAAGTGAGCTCGGCAGAAACAAGAAGAAGAAAAAGAACATGTGGATTTGTGAATCGAATGTACTTCATCGGGAAAATTTAGAAGAGAAGAAAGAAGAAGAGGAAAAGGAATAAGAAAAGGGACAGGTGTGTCACACAGGAAAAACGAAGCATTTTTCGGAAGATCCATATCTTCTGGGTGATCCGTATCTCTTCACATTTGCCAAAACGATCTACAACGTTTTAGGCATTTTCTTTGAATTTGAAACCTCAGAATCTCAGAACTTCTGAATAACAGAATATCAGAATCTCAGAATTAAAAGAATTTTAGAATCTCAGAATCTCAGAATCTCAGAATCTCAGAATCTCAGAATCTCAGAATCTCAGAATCTCAGAATTTCAGAGTTAATAGAATTCAGAATTTCAGAATCTCAGGATCTCAACATTTCAGAATCTCAGAATCTCAGAATCTCGGAACCTCAGAATCTCAGATTTAAAATTTCAGAATAGCATTATGAATAGCAAACTTTTGAAATTTCAGAATTTTCAAATTTTCAAAAACCTAAAAATTTTAGAAAAAACATCAAATTTTGGATATCGACACGTTTGAAGTTTCGAATTTTTTCGAAAAATTCAGGTTTCCAGTTTTCCAGAAACATTTTCGAGATCGATTTTTTTGGACTTTTTGTAAAATTTTCAGACTATTTAGCTTCTTTCCAGAATTCCCATTTTTTGTGTTTCCGAAATTGTTGTGTTTCGATTTTTGAAGTTTAAATTTTTATGGTTTTTTTTTCAGTCAATTTTCAGAATTTGTAATCTTGGATGTTAAAAAAATTTTTAGAGGTTTTTTTTCCCAAATTTATAGGTTTTTTTCAGGATTTTTATATTTTCCGAAAAAAACCAATTTTTGGTTTTTTTGGAGACTTAATTTTTCAATTTTTTTTCCAGAAACTCCACAAACAATACTTTTCTCATAAACTGATACTCTATTAAATAAAAAAACAACAAACAATATTCAAAAAACGACATATTTTATTGCGACACTATATTTTCAAGGGCACTTCCTAGTTCCTCTTCTTTTTCTCTCATCAGGCAGCAACCAATTTGACGATGATTTCTCCTTGTTGAGCACCAGCTTTGAATGGAGCCTGTGGATCGGTTTCCTCGGCTGGTACCTCAGCATACTGAATGACGAGTTTGTCCTCTTTGGCTGGTCCCGATAGACGATTCACTTCCAATTTTGCCTTGTCCTTTGCCTCGACGAATCCATAAACGGGACGAACGCGGTAGTGCTCGTTGTTGGATGATTTGACTTTGAATGCCAAACGAGAATCCGTTTCGGAGACGATGTTGTGTGAGGAATTGCCACCAGAAGCCGGATAGTTTCCAGTTGGTGGATCGACGTTGATCATTTTTCAAGGCGATTCTTCTTGGAGAGGAAAACTTGCCAAGGTAATGATAGGATTTGGCGAGGATCGATCGATTATCGACAGTTTGATGGCATAGGGGGATGGAGGGATGAGATCAAGTTCACGAACAAAAAAATTGTAAGAAATCTGAAAAATCAACTGAAATTTGACGTCTTGTTCAGTACCGTATAAAACCTTTGGTCCAATTTATCTCGGTTCCTGTGAAAAAATAGAGAAAAGTGTCAACTAATAAATTGTTTATCGTAATATCACAAATATTTTATCAGCTGACACGTTTTTGATATCTTGCACAGAAATTGAGATAATTGAGCTCAAACTTGACAGTGTGGGGGCCCTTCTATAACAGGTTTTGAGGTAAGAATATAACCTTGAATCAGAGGACTCCTAAAAAAGCTCCCTGGAACTTTAATAAACCCTTAAATGCCGTTAAACCTGTATTAGAAAGGCCGGCCCTTCTATCGTTTCAATGTACCTCCGGAGAGCCCTGCTATTACAGGGGCCCTTCAATTAGAGGGGGCGCTTCTATTGTTCCCGAATTTTTGTGAAATTGTGGAACTTCCGGAATGTTTTTCACTGAAAAGGTACGAAAATTTTGAATTTCACACAACGCATTTTGATGGGGGCCCTTCTATTTTGGGACCCTTTTATTTTTCCAAGCCTCTCTCGGAGGGCCCTCCTAATAAAAAACCCTTCTAATATAGGTTTTACGGTTTTTTTAAGTTTTAAAAATAAAAATGAACCAAATTACCGTAAAACCAGTATTAGAACTGCCCCACACTGTCAAGTTTGTTCTCATAGTCAGTAATCTCAATTCGTATACAATATATCAAAAATGTGTCAACGGCCAAGTGGAAAAATGTGGACTAAGTTAAGATTTACCAATTTTTTCAAGTTTTCCGGATGTTTCTTTGAAAATTTCATACTTTGCGCTTGTTTCCACAAAAATTCGTCACTTTGAAAAATTTCAGTTTTGGTCGGTTTTTTGCATGAACAACACTATTTTGGTAATTGAAACTGTGTTATTTGAAGTTATTCAGCTAGTTTTAGATTTTTTTCAAGCTTAGTAACAAAAAATAGACAAAAAATGTGAAAAAATGACATAAACTGAAGTTTTCAAAAAATTATGAAAAATGTTCAAAGTTCGAAATTCAAATGGAAACAGTTACAAAACTTGAAAAAATTGGTAAATTTCAACTCAGACATAATTTTTCTACTTGGACCCCCTTTTCTCATGGCCCCCCCTTGTCATAAAGATCCAAATTGTTTATCATAATATAACAAACATTTTATTAGTTGATACATTTTTGATACCTTTCACAGGAATCGAGATAATTGAGCTCAAAATTGACAGTGTGGTGGCTCTTCTATTACAGGTCTTACGGTAACAAACATTCAATTTGAATTCAAATAAGCTTAGAAAACCAACAATTTATTTTCTTAAAAAACCAATATTTTATGAATACTAGACGACGAATATGCTTTTTGATATGACACTGATCGAGATATTAAGATCTCAAGGATAATCAGCGAAAGGCGACATGTCGTTCTCCTAGAATCCACTGTGCTCGATTTCCTCAGATCCCGAACGATTGGTGATGTCTTGAATGATCCGGTAGTGGCATGTGCTGAAAAAAAAATAGACTAAACCGCTGGCAGGATTAATTTCTAAGTTACTTCGGCGGTTTGCACAATTTGACTACAGTAAGATCCAAATCAATTCGTTTTTGGTCCGCGGTGCAGTCGTGACTGATGTAGGCTCTTGGCTTGTATCCCTTCGATAGCCATTCATCTCCATCCATGGCTCCGGCCATCGTGAAGCTGTATCTACCAGTGTTGGGTTTGAACACTTTCGGTTGGGTGATCTGATCCTCACCAGAGCTGAAAATTCGATTTTTATCGGCATATTTGTAGTTCATAAACTGACAGTACGGAGTCATACTCCCACCACTCGATTTTCAAATTGTATTTGGTTCGATCATGGTAATTGCAGAAGAGGGTGACATCGAATTGGAAGTGGTCCCAAGCCGAAGCGATGGGAAGAGCAGCAAGAAAAAGAAAAATGATACAGGAAGTTTGATGCATTTTTCCGGTTTATAGTGCTTGAGAGGTTTGAATTTTGGGTGTTGAGAAAACCCACCTGGATTATCTGTGTGAAAAGAGTTCACGAGAAAATTCCGGATTGCTGTAGCTTCAGTTTCTGTAAAGTTCTTACTATTAGCTCTCAATGAAAAGATGTCAAGATTCTCAAAGTGGTTTGAATCGTTGTTTGAAAATCAATTTTGTAAAGTTTGACATCCTTTTTTACAAAAGGCATATCTTATAAAATGGATCATCCGCACAATTACCTGGACTGATAGAAGCGACTATATCTTTAGACATAAGTTTCTTGTAAGCACGAACATTAGTAGAAATATAATTTAATTTTTGATTCAAAGGTCCTAAAATTTTTAAAGCGATTGAAACTTGGCCAGTTTACAGGTAAATTATTCGAAGTTTTGCAAGCCGAATTTCAGCCCGGTACAACTTTTTACTCAAAAGTTATGCTAGCACAAACTTTAATCCGGGTGATTATGCGCAACTCTATTTTTTTTGTCATTTTCTATAGCCAGACATTATGCGAAACTAATAATAATTGTAATTTTCAAATTTAGCATAGTCGACTTGATAAGTGTACCGATTTACCAAAAAATTGGAACACTTTGAGAAATTAGGATCCACCCACTTTTTTTGCAATTTCATCGCTCACGTTCTATTTACCCATTCAAAGTCTCTCTGAAGATTTATACACGCAAGTTTGCAGTACCCTTTCACAATCAGAACTCCAATGATCCCGTTGTCAAAATTTTCAATTTCGGGCCTTTTCCGAAGTTTTCAATGTGTACACCCTTATTCAACCAGCCTCACCCCATCCAACCGATTTCGTCTTTTTTCAAAATTCTGCTTTCCTCTTTTCCGGTGGTCAACACCCGTCCTCTTCTTATTCACATCTCAATTCCACTTCTGTCATTTATCTTCTTCCTCCTTCTCTCTTTCGTCTCTTCTTCCACACACACAAATCTTCTTCTTCTTCCAAAGCCACTGGCACCGAAAGGGACCGGAGAGGACACATCACCATAAAACCCCTCTACCCTTTATGCTCTTTTTTTGTGGCGTGCTTCGAATGCCATGGAGGAGGAGCCACACGCTCCTCTCATTAGACGAACGGACCTCTTTTCGGCGGGGGCTTTTCCGGGGGCACTTGACGAACTAAGAGAAGGGGAAAAAGAGATGAGATGGGGCGGGGGAGCAGTTTCATTTCCCTTTTCTCCACCCATCACTTTTTGGTTTTGCTTTTTTTTATTCTCTGGAAAATTTTCTACCGTAAAACCTGTAAACCCTCACACTGCGATGTTTGAGCTCAATTATTTCGATTCCTATGCAAGATATTAAAACTGTGTCAACTGACAAAACACTTCTTATATCATGATAAACAATTTATCAGTTGACAACTTTTTCATATCGTTAACAGGAACCAAGAAAAAATGTCTTGAAGTTAAAAGTTAGGACGCCCATATATTCCATGTTTTAAAGTATATTTTCTTCTACTTTCTCTATCTGAAAACCTCTATCCTAAAATTGAAGACACCATGCGCTGCAGCGTTTGTGGTTGGATTGGCGCATTTCTCTGCTGTGTCCTCTGCTCTGGAATCGTCTGTTTCGTGATCTTCGGAGGCACCATCTTTGTCACATTCTTCGCTCTCTTCACTGCTATCAACCATTGCGAAGGACCCGACCTTGTCGCTGCTCAAAAGTGTGCTCCAATGGTTGCCGATTTGGTAAATGCCACGTTGCGCTTTGAGCCAAGATTCGATGACCAAGAATCGGACCACATGCAAAAGATGGTCGAGCAGTGTGGAGAGACTACGGTAGGCGTAAGTCTAATTTCTTCTATAACCCTAACTTTTTTCAGCGTTGCATCAAAGATGTCAAGTGCCTCAGCTACCGTATTGAATTCATTCGTACCGGCAAATTGTGCGACGTTTTTGCATTCATCAAGGACGAGTTCGGACAATGCGCACTGAAACTCAAAAAGAAAGCAACTGAAGGAAATGTGGAATGTCTGAACTTCTTGTTCCAAAAAGAGGCAAAATGTGAAGGATGGATGGAGAACCAGAAGTGTATTGATAAGGAAATTGAAGAGCAATGTGGATACGCAATGCTGAAACGATTCGGAGAGGTATGTTTGAAGATTACTGTATCAGAAGTTGTCCCACACTTGGGGGTTTCTTCTTGGGGTCATACACCTTGCCGCACAGCGACCCGTTTGATAAAAACGGGTATATCTTTAGACATAAGTATCCTGAAAGCTTGACAATTTGTAGAAATATAATTTTACGTTTAATTCATAGCTACTGAAAATCTATTCCTCAAGTCTGGGTATTGTTATGATTGTCCAAAGATGAACGGCGTAATGTATCTTGTGATTTTCACAAGATGAAAAAACTTTTACAAGTGATAACTCAGCTCAAAGTTGATCAAATAATTTGAAACTTGGCCAGTTTACTGATGAAAAATTTTTGCACTCCAAACTTGAGCCCAGTACAACGCTATTCTCAGGTTTTATGGTAGTACAATCCGGAACTTCAATTTTTTAGATATCCAAAGACTTCGTACTGGGAAACTGCAAAAGAATCGAGAACGCTACAGGCGCCCCCACCATCACTTCAAGATAAATTATTTTTCCAAAAAAAGTCTGAACGCTCACTGCCAAGTTTACACTATTCTTTGCTTTTCTGTTCAACCTGTTTCTTAACTTATTCTGCACATTCTAGATTCTTCTACCGTAATTACTCTAATAGAGGGACTCCTAGCGACTTTGAGCCAATTTATATCGGTTGCCATAAGAGATATCAAAGTTTTGTCAACTGATAAAATGTTAATGAAACTATCAGTAACGTTTTATGCGTCGACACATTTTTGGTACCTTGCATACGAACCTAGATAATTGAGCTCTAACTTGTCAGTGTGGGGACCCTTCTATTACAGGTTTCGCGGTTATTGCCTACTGCTTTTTCTGTAAGTTCAAACTTGATCAATTTTTAAACTCTGCAAATGTTAATTGCATTTTTCTCGAAATATATTCCCAATGAGTAAGTTTTGCTTATTAATTTTAATTGGATCCTATGACTTCATTCCGGTTTTCCTTTTTTTTTCCAAAGAAATGAATGCGCTTCATTTTCTGTCAATGAGAATAAAATAATTGGACTTTTCCTGAAAATTCAACACCCACTTTTCAGCAGCACACCCTTTTTCTCATTTTAATCAAACTCTTTTCTTTTCTCCTCATTTCAATACCAGAATTCTCTGTAGCCGCCAAATCAACACTGAAAAATGCGTCAATGCAACAACATGTTGCTGGGCATCACATGTGCCATGTGCATCTGTATTGCACTTTTAACATTTCTCGTCGCCGTTATCTATTTGGGTATTTTTGTGATCATCGGAGAGTCCGATCCACATATCACTGGATGCTCCAGAATGGATCAGATTCGTGGAATGAAGTGTGCTCCGGTGAGTTTGAGAAGCCTAATCGAAAACCACTACTGTCAACTTTGAATCATCTCGGCTCTTCTAAAAGATATCGAAATGTGGTCAACTGATAAACTATTTATGCCATCAATATTTTATCAGTTTGAAGATTTTAGATATATCTCATAGAAACCGAGATACCGTATTTCCTCTAATGGGCTTCTATTTTTCAACCTCTCTCTCGGGTTGGGCTTCTATTAGAGGTGGGCTTCAATTAGAGGGTGGGCCTCTATTTCTCAATTGTAGACCAGAAATCTCTGTAGACCAGAAATTGAGAAATTAAAAAGTTGAGAAAAAGTCCATGGGCTTGTATTAGAAGGTGGCCTTCTATTTTTCGAAGCAACTCGCGGGGTGGGCTTCTATTAGAGGTGGGCTTCAAATAGAGGTGGGCTTCTATTACAGGAAATACGGTAATTGAGCTAAAACTTGACAGGGTGGGAGGCTCTTCTATTACAGTTTTTATGATAACTTGGATTTCTGCAAAACTAATTGTTATTTTTGTAGTTTGTAGTATTGAAAAATAGTGACTTTACAGGTAATAAAATTGGAAATTTTCGAAAAAAAGCTATTTTCAAAGCCAATTTTCGAAAGAAAAACAGATTTTTTCTTCGAATTTTTTACAAAATCTTTAGACCTTTTTAGGTTTTCAAGCTATTTTAAGGTTATTTTTCTCCTTCGCCGGTTTTTGTCTGAAATTCGATGGAACGATGTTCCTGCATGTTACTGTGGGTTACTGTAGAATATAATTTCCATTTTGGCAAAAAAAATCACGTCAATATTGCATTTTGATGTGATTGTGTTTGCAAAAAAAACTGAAAAATACAAGAAAATTAGCTTCTACAGTAACGTACAGAACACCGTTCCGTCCAATATCAGACCGAAAAACCGGGAAAAAAAGAAAAAAAATCCTCAAAAAGAGCTGAAAAATCTAAGAAGATCTAAAAATTTTGCGAAAAGTTCGAGGAAAACTTTTTATCTCGAAAACTGGCTTTGAAAATATCAAAGTTTTATCGAAATTTTAAAATGTTTTAGCCTTTACAGTCGTTGTTTTTATATACTACAAACTACAAAAATCCTTCTAAGCCTCAGTAATAAAAAAAGTACAAGAAAAAAGCACAGCTGAAAACCCTAGAAAGGCCTAAAATCTTTCCAAAAATCGTTCGAATTCATTTTACGATTTCTCCCGAATCTTTTTTTTTCTATCCCTAATTTATTCAAATGATATGTAAAACAATTCCTGCATTGAGGGCGTTTTTGTCTAAATCTAAATGATCTAAATTTAGTTTTTGCATTTTAAATAATACAATCGAATCGGTTTTTGAGTGGTACTGTAGACACAATTCCAGCCGATGATTCAGACATCGGTTTAAAAACCGTAAAATTTGTAATAAAAGAGTCCTCTAACTTTTAACTTTGAGGCAATTCGAAAGTTCAACACAATTATCAACTGATAAATTGCTTATGATAGTATCAGAAACATTTTATCAGTTGGCAACTTTTTCAGAACTTTGGAACACACCGAGAAAAAATGGCTCAAAGTTAAAAGTTAGGTTGCCATTCTATTAGAGGCTTTACGGTAATCAAAATTCTTTATCAGAAAATCGAGGAGCTGTCTCTGAGTTTTGAAAAACTCCATCCAGGATACGCCTATCCGGATCGCTTCCAGAATATTTCAGCTACCTGCACCACTGTATTGGTTAGTGAAAAACTCTAAACGTTCATGAAAAGTGATTTCAGGAATGTATCACCCCAATCAAATGTAAAACGATAACCATGGAGTACAAGTTTGTGAAAACATCGTGTGCGGTTTTTGAGAAAGCTGTCAACAAGTACAATGGTTGTTTGAAAAAGGTATGTTAGAAGTTTCCTGAAATTTCCATATTTTCCAAAACTTCATTAAAATGCTCTATGGAATCCCACCCTACATATATGGGCACTTTGGACTCAATTATCTCGGTTCCTATAAAAGATATCAAAATTGTATCAAAAGATATCAAAATTTTATCAACCAAACTTTGCTATCTCTCCCATGAACCGAGATAATTGAACTCAAAGGAAATGGATTTTTTCAGCTCCAAATGCGTTTCAACTTGGGTTTCGCACCATGCCTTCTTCCACTCATGAGCACCATGGAAGCGGAAAACTCTGAAATGTGTGAGATGTTTAAAAAAAATCGAGAATGTCTGACAGCCGAGATAACTGAAAACTGTGGATCCGATCTGATGGTCGAAGAGTTTGTAGAAGACGTCATGCTTCTTCATGAGTGTTTAATTTATTAAAGATTCATTAATTTTTATTTGAAAAAAGTTCGCTTGAATAAAAAAAGTGGGATGTGATTGAGATCTGACGACAAGAAATAAAAGAATGACAGGGAATTTTGAAAATAATCACACCAAAAAAGACACCACAAATTAGTACTCCAACTGACACTGAATAATCTGGGCGTAATCGTCAATATGTCTGCGCAACCAGAAATGAAAAAGCGAGCTCTCGTCATCGCATATCAAACTGACATGATCTTTATAGCATTCGACGTGCTCCTGAAGCACATCGCATTCGATTGGACCCGTTGTAGATAGAAATTTGGTAACGCAAACGGGCAAGTCGATCATTTTTTCCATTCTCTCACGACACTTTTTGAAATCCGTCTCGAAAAATTGATAGATGGCGCATCGGTCGGGGAGGGAGTCGTTGAGTTTTAAACTACGGCATTCGATCGCATAGAGACAATCCTGGAATATTGAAATGATAGTCTTTAGAAAGGGTAGTCTTTAATTTATAGGATAAATAAGTTTGGTTTATTATTTTAGAAAAACTTTGACGAAAAAACGTCGTCTACTACAAAGCGGAAGCTTGTCCTTTTTAAGTTTTAGTCCATGTCCACTTTGAGCCAATTTATCTCAATCCCTATCGAAGATATGAAAATTTTATCAATTGATAAAATGTTTATCATAATATCAAAAATATTTCATCAGTTGACCACTTTTTCATATCTTTTACAAAAACCGAGATAAAGTGGCTCAAAGCTGAAAGCTGTATTTTTTCTTATAGAAGCCCACCCAAACCCCACCTTTGAGCTCAATTAGCTCAGTTCCTGGGAATAACATCAAAAATTGGTCAACTAATAAAAATTAGTGATATCATGATAAATAATTTTTTAGTTGATCACTTTTTTAAAACTTTAACAGGAAAAGAGATATATGGGCTCAAAGTTAACGGTTTGGGCGGTGCTCTATTAGAAAGTTTATGGTAGATTAACTTTAAGTTTACGGTGTGACGAACGTTCAATTATAGCGTTTACAGTATATTGATAGATTGCATACAACTATAATCAAACTCACATCCATTTCCTGGCACTTTTTTGCCACATCTCTCCCGATAGGTGTCGCCGAGAAATCCGGAATAGTAGTATCCAATATCGCTTTGATCCTTTCAATTTTTTCAATGCACGATTTGTGAAGAACAGTTTCCGCTTTAGTGCATTGAACGCGAACAGGCCAAAAATTGTATATCAGAAAAGATGAGAAGGTGATAAGTATCATGAAGAAGAAGAGAACGAGAGTAGAGGTACAGCATGCCGGCTCCTCGTATCGTGGTGGTGGGGATGGATCTCTTTCGTGGGCCGGGATTTCTTGGACCCGATGAACTTTTGGGATTGGGACGAATGGAAGTTTTTGCTTTTTGGCTTTTGGTTTGGCCATGGGGGAATATCTGGAATATGGGAGGTGTTAAAAAATAAATGAAAAGTATTAGTTGAGGTGAGAAGTTTGGAAAATAATTCGTTTTCCAGAAACAAGGCACGAAAATCATATTAATGTAATGAGGTTTATTCATGGTTAAAAATGTGCTGTTATTGTTTTTCGAAAAAAATAGAGTTGAGACGCAGACAGTTTATGAAAAAAAATTTCTGCGTCTCCACCGAATATGTGCTATTTAGGCTTGCCGCTTCGAGGTTCTTCCGTATTCAGACTGCAAATACTCTCAAACTCTAATTTTTTCGGACAACAATAATACTTTAATCAATTTTCTCCGCCAAAAAGCTATTTTTATGTTGCTTTTCCAAATAATATAACATTTTGTCCAGAAGTTTTACTAAGTACTATTATTCTTGTGCAAAAAAAAAATTGGAGTTGTGGCCGAATTTTCAAACAATTTAGGCCGCCGTATTTCAAGGAGAATTTTCAAAAACACAGCCGGCAAACGAGTGCTACCGTAACCCAACAATAAATATTTTCGCAAAATTTTTGACTTATTTTTTCCTTTTTATCGATTTTTTCGCAGCTTTGGCCGTTTTTCCACACAATGGTTTCACCTAACCGCGAAAAAATCGAGAAAAATCGATAAAAAGGAAAAAAATGACAAAAATTTTGCGGAAATATTTATTGTTGGGTTACGGTAGCACTCGTTTGCCGGCTGTGTTTTCGAAAACTCTCCTTGAAATACGGTGGCCTAACTTGTGTGAAAATTCGGCCACAACTCCAATTTTTTTGCACAAGAATAATACAAGTGGCGTTTCCGTAGTTCCTCTAAATTGAGCACACTCAAACCGACAGCTTTGAGCATATATCTCGGTCCCTGAAAAAGATATCAAAAAGTAATCAACTGATCATTCGTTATCATTTTATCACTGTGTTTTTTTTTCGTAAAATTTTGATTTCTTTTGTTATCTAAATGACAGACAGCAATTTTCAGCAAAAAATAATGATCGGTTTCCGCAAGGAAACACGAGAGGGCATAATGAGAGCAGAAGAAGCTATGTGTGTGCTCCACTGAGCCAGAAAACGCCAGAAAAACAAAAAAGAAGAAGAATTTTCATTAAATCTTTCCTAGGATATCGTGCTACAACAAGATTAAGACGTTTTCAAGGAGAGGTGTAACATCCAATCGAAAATGAGAAAATGGCACATGGACACGAGGGAAGATTAGTGGCTATTGTGCTGGAAAAAGGATGGGAGAACAAATCCATAGGGGGAAATTGAATGAGAATTGGGAATCTAGAAGGCTTTTATTTCTAGATGTTGCTTTAAAATTTATTTAATTTTGAGCTGTCAGAGGAAAAAAGAGAGAAGAGGGATGGGTAAAAAAATGGAATAACTTATAATTCACAGCACACATGCATAGAGAAAAAACTGACAACTTTTTTTGCTCTGTTTACATTGATGGAATACTCCTGAGAAATCTATTATTTTCTGGTCTAATTTCAATGCGACCGGAAATTCAAGGGTGAGCGGAGCTTGGTTACTGTAGCGAAATCATTAAAGGAGCATGTGTTTTTCATATTTTTTTGAGTTTCTGAATATCTGAATTTCGAAAAAAATTGGCCAGAATAAAGTGTTCCCAATTTATTGGAGCCTTTCGCTCAACTTTGAAAGAAAATGCTCCACTTTATATTCAGTAGATCGAGACCCACAAATCAAAGGAAAATGCATTAAGGTGGTAGAGAGAAACTCATTCATGCCCTCTCTCCACACCAACATCATACCTCAGGGCATAGGGTAAAAAAGATGTGAAAAATCCAGGAGAAAAACCCGGGAGAAGAGAAAAGAGCTGCACACAGCTGCTCTGTGTGGTCGAGCACTTTCGAACTGCTGCTTAGCACTAGAAGGGATTTGAAGCGAAAAGAGGACACACGAACAGAACAAAAAAAGAAGGGAAAGAAATTGTCGGGTTCTTCTTCTTCTCCTTTTTTCTTCTCTTCGCTCCATTTTTCCCCTTCACGATGTGTCCCTTTTTGTTACGAGGCGGCGCTTCGTGATGGCAGCTCATTTTCTATCGGGCAATGAATGTTTTGTGTCGTGTCCCACCATCTTTTTCATGCTCGCCCGATTTTTCTTCTTCTTTTTTTGTTCGTTGCTGTGTCATATTCTTGGTTGGAGGAGATGGTTGAATGACTACTGAAGAAGTTTTTTGGCTAGTTTGCCCGAAAATTGGTATCATAGACTTTGTGGGGATTTTCCCGTAAAGTAAGACTCATTTTTGAAAAGTGTTGGAGCGAGAAAATTCGTGGGAAAACTTCTGAAAAGCTTGTGACTAAGGATTACATACGGTCAGGAAAGTTAGACAACCGACCGACCGCCCACCCAACCAACCGACAACCGTCCGAGCTGACCGAATTTTCACATTTGTGACATGCGAGAGAGCGTTTGCGTACACACCATTTCATGTCACGACGCCCGACTCGTTCGGCTGTAAGTCGGTTGGGTTGGCGGTCGGCCGGCCAGCGGTTGCCGATTTTCGACCTACCGAGATGGAAGCTTTACGTGTGACAGACATTTGGATTTTTTATCTGTGTGGATTCTGACTGATTTGAAAACCTTCATTGAAAAAAAAATTCTCAACACTTCAACAAGTTCTTCATATACGGAGTTCCCTTGTTGAACGCTACAACCGCTTCTACTCCACAGTACTCTAGGGCCACACTCTTCACACACTCCACGTCATTTGTGAACATTTGACATCCTTTTGAAATTGTGTCGAGCTGAAATATCGGATCGTGAGGTTATATCTTACTGAAACTCTCTTACAGCGTCTTTAGCAAAAATTGGAGCACACGAGTACTTGTAGGCGTCTGGTGGGCTAGTCTGCAGCTTTGCCATACAATCACCGAATGGTCCAGAGCTCATTTGGATTCCTTCACATGCGAAGTCCATCATGGACACGCCTCGTTTAGCTTCGGCACACTCGATTTGTTCAACACATGTCTGGAAATGAGTTGTTGAGTACTGTACTTCTGGATCATATATGAAACTACAGGGTGGCGTACTCAAGTTTGCACGCCTAGAAATTGAGCAACGCGCTGTACTGAGTTCAAATTTGAAGTGCAAAAACCAAAATAATTTATATGTAAACTGATCAAGTTTCAAATTATTTGATCAACTTTGAGCTGAGTTATCGCTTGTCAAAGTTGCTTCATCTCATGAAATTCACAAAAAACATTACGCCGTTAATCTTTAGACAACCATAACCATACCTAGACTTCGCTTCGAAAATTTCAGTAGCTTTGAATAAAACATAAAATTATATTTTTACCAATTTTCGTGCTTCCATGACACTTGTGTCTAAAGATATACTCGTTTTTATCAGCTCGGGGAATTGTGCACCACCCTTTCATAAAAAGTCTGTCTTACCTCAACTTTGAGTTAATTTATCTCGGTTTCTGTGAAAGTTATCAGAAAGTGATCAACTGACAAAATGTTCACCATAATATTGCAAAAATTTTGTTAGTTGTCTATTTTTCGATATTTCTTACAGAGACCGAGATAAATTGGTTCAATGTTGGCAGTGGGTGTTTACGGTGACTAAAAAAAGGGAAGAGCTTCGAGACAGGTAATTAGGCGCCACCCTGTAAAATATTACCTCTAATAATCTGTACTCTAACACTTTAGATATAGACCCTAACAGTCTATATTGCTGTAAAAATATAAAAAATAGTCCACAGATAACATTTACTTAAAAAACTCTCACCAATGCTTGATCACACAGTTTTGAGATCATCTTGAATACAGACTGTGGAACTGGAGTGGCCGTATATGGTGCATACTTCTTCAGCGTATCCTGAATTTTCACAATGCTCCCTTTGCATTGAAGAAATCGAATTTGATCCGTCGTCGTGCATGTGGAAGCCAAAGAAGTTAGTGGAATAAGTATCAGAGCAATTAAAAGAAGTTTCATGGCTTCTGAACCGCAGAAAATGGAGAAACTGAAAGTTAGCGAGAGAAACTCAAGACGAAAAAGAGAAGACGTCGTCAAATTGAATAAAAAAAAAGAAAGAAGAGGAAGATAAATTGGATGAAAGAGAATCAGAGATGTCAAAGAGTTTCGAGGCAGCTGTTTTGCTCTGCTTTGTCAAGAGAAAAAATAACCGATTTTCTTTTATTTTGTTCTTCTCTTGTTTAAATTCGATTTTCAATCTCCACAGATTCTGAAGGCGTCGTTTCCGTGTGTTCCCTTTCAACGATAAAGAATGAGATTAGAGCTAAAATCGAAAACGTGGCAAGAGTGGCCAGCAACCAGTGTAGGGACACCAGTGAGGAGAAGATGAATGTGGCACATGAGAGGGCAGACTGAAAATTATTTTTGAAATTAGGAGGGATTAACTACAGTATTCTGACCTCATAGAATTTGAAAATCGCAAATGCCTGAGCACACTTTTCTGGATATGTTTCACATAGAAGTGACATGATTTGCGTATTCCAGCAGCAATCAGCAAATCCCAACATCACTCCATTGGCAAGTGCAACGTATATACTGGAATAAACCACTACATATAAAGAAAAACCTGTAATAAAAGGGCTCCTGACTTTCACTTTTGAGCTAATTTTTCTCGGTTCTTGTCAAGATTTAAAAAGTTCTTAAAGGTGGGGGGACATGAGAAAAATAATGTTGTCGAAATTCCGTTTAAATATGCTCCTCGAGGAGTTGAACTTGTCGAGGCGAGTGTTGAAGGTGCGGCGCCGCTACCGACTGAGCTACGCGTGCAAAGAGAAAGCCGCAGCCCGATTGCATACATAAAGGCGAGGGCGACAGCTGTACGCAGAGTGACATTAAGCGTTGTACACCGTTACGGTAGAATGCATACTCTGGCCCCAAAAATCCCCCGTAAAATCTCCTGTCCCCCCACCTTTAACTGATAAATTGTTTATCATAAGATCAGAACTCAAAGTTAAACGATGGGGATCTTCGATTTTCCTTCTAAAACTCACTTTGGAGTCCACAACAATCCAAAATCATCAGTTTTGACTAGCGAAGCGTTTGATGGAAAGTTCAGACCGCATAAAATATAAGCCAGAACATGAATAAGAGTTGCAATCAGGATAAGATAGTCTCGACCCAATTTTCGAGCTTTGCCGCCTAATATTCCAAGGAGCAGGCCTGCTGATACCTGTCCGACGCCTACACAGATCAGGTTAAGAGCTAGTAGGGCATTCGTGTTGTAGGCCAGTTGCCGGGTGAATGAGACACATGTAGGATAGATTCCTGGAATTGATGAGCGTCATTCGAAGTTTGAAAAATTCGAGAACCTGTCCAGAAGGCTTGTTCAATTCCAGCATACGAAAAAATCACGGCCAGTAACCACATTTTCTTGGTGATCATTAATCGAAATGTGGACGTCATCAACTTCTTATAACAACTTTGTTTCTCTTTTTTGTATACTGGCTCCCGGAGCAATGAGAAAACAATAGCAGCCATAATTGATAACACGGTGAAGATTGAATATAAGAGTTTGATCTGAAATTTAACATTTTTGAATACATAGTCTGAAGTTCTAGTAATACCGAAAAATTCGGAATGACATCATGAGAAGCTGTTAAAGTGAAGACCACGAAAATCATGATTCCTCCTCCAATCAGGCAACATTCGTGGATCGCCCATAGGAGAGCTGACATTCGACCCGTTGTCTCTTTTGTGCAATTTTGGGAAAGATAGGATCCTTGTCCCGTCCAGAGAACTAAATATGGAACTGATTTTACCGTATTTCCACCAATAGAAACACACCTGAACCGTCAACTTTGAGCTCATTTATCTCGGTTCAGTGATAAATAAGTTATCAGTTGATAATTTTTTGATAACCTTCACAGGAACTGAGGTACTCAAGCTCAACGTTGGCGGCTTAAATGGGCCCTATCAAAAGAAATACTGTATTCTTCAAGTTTATAACTCACTCGACGCTCCGAATCCCAACACAGCGCTTGTCACGTATAGATAAGTAGAGTTGAGAAACAAGAACCCAACCTGAAAAATCAACTATTTTTAGTGGAAATCCAATTACAAATCATCACACCTGAAAACTACCGTAACACAGGGCTCCAATGCACATTGCCCATTTTGGGGTCAGTACATCGACGATTTGAGCAGCAGTGAGGTTACCCAGAGTATATAATGCGTATATGATAGCTAGACTGTAGTATCCAGCATGTTTGTTGATTGATCCATTTCGAGAGACACTATTTATCACGGATTCTTCTATGAATCCTAAAAAAACAGAGCAACTTATTTTATCTACTGGACGCTCATCCTATACGTGTGCACAATTATCTCGGGAGGTATAAGAGATAACAAAAATTGGTCATCTGATGAAATATTGAAGATATAATGATAAATAATTTATCAGTTGGCAACTTTTTGATATCTCCTGAAGGAACCGAGATGATTGAGCTCAAAGTTTAAGTATAGAGTGGGTTGATTACCAGTTCATTACCTTGTGTATTGAACGCCACAAAGTTGATTAAAAATCCGGCAGCTAATTGAATCACATTTTGAGTTGGGATAGAAATCATTTATTCTGAATCTTCATATGTACAAAAATTTATTATGAATTATCGTTTTTAAAAAGTTGGAAATTGTTAAAAGTAAATTTAAAAATCGGTTGAAAAAGAAGTAAAAATATTGGTTGATATTGGGTGAGAAAGATTGCAATATCTCCTCACACTTCTGATTGATGATCTTCGTTTTCGAATTGATAAGAAGATGTCGTGATATCTCTTCAGAACAAGTCTTGTGAACCTGAGACGTACCTAAAGGTGAGAAATATTAAAAGGTGTTGGGAAAAAGCAGATTTTTATTACATTTTTTTTCTGAAATACCGATTCCTCAAGTCATTGTTGTGGTTGTCCGAAGATTCCTTTGTGATTTTCATGAGATGAAGCATTTTTGACGAGCGATAACTCAGCTCAAAGCTGATCAAATAATTTGAAACTTGGCCAATTTACTGATTGATTATTGAAATTTTAACATTTTAAATTTGAGCCAAGTACCACGCTTTTCTCCGATGTTATGCTAATACAAACTTGAGCCACCCTGAATCTTATTTTTCCCACTAGTGATCTGTGAATTGTGTTCGTTTGATCTCATTGCCTCTCTCCTATCTATCAAAAACCTATTTGTCTCACTGTCTACTTCTCTATTTTCTCATCATCTCTCTTTCCCGTGTTCTTTCTGTTGATGAGCCCTGGCCACGAGACTGAAGGTTCTCTGATAGAGACAGCATTGATCGGAAAAAGTGAATTTTGTAGCTCCTTGTTTTTCGGGTATATAAAGATTGCAAACGGGCTGGGTGTCATCATTTTTCTTGCCTATTGTTCATTGATCCGATCAACTTTTCAATAATTTTTTAAAAAGGTTTAAAAATTCATAAATTCAATTGTGAAGGTTTATAGACATTATTCGAAACCTCCTTCTTGTATCTTGAATCCTTTTTTATCTGTGTACTCTATTCTTACTGGAGTTTTTCTGAAAATTCCAGTTTTTTATGGTCACCAAGACGGTGCGCCGGCCGGCCGACCGCGGCCGCGATTTTCACAACCTTGAGGTCACCAGTCATATTCCACAGAACTAGTGAAACTTTTTCGCACTCACACGTTTCCTTTCCTTTTTATAAGGATTATGTAATTATTCCAGAATTTCTAAACAATGCTCCCAAAAATTGCCGTTATTGGAGAAGGCGTCATTGGATGCACATCTGCTCTACAAATCGCTAAAGCCATCCCAAACTCCAAAATCACCATTTTCCACGACAAACCGTTTGAAAATTCGTGTAGCGCTGGACCAGCCGGCTTGTTCAGAATTGATTATGAGGAGAATACGTTAGTCGTTCTTCTCCAAATTTTGATTTAAAAAATTTTTCAGCGAATACGGACGCGCTTCGTTCGCCTGGTTTTCTCACCTCTACCGTACTACAAAAGGGGCGGAGACTGGCGTCAAATTGGTTTCTGGACATATTCAATCAGACAATTTGGAATCATTGAAACAACAACAGAGAGCTTATGGGGATATTGTGTATAATTTCAGATTTTTGGATGATCGTGAGAGATTGGATATTTTCCCCAGTCCATCGAAGTGAGTTTCCATTTAGGTCGGTCAAAAATCGGCAACCGCCGACCGACAGCCGAGTGTTTGCGTACGAATAATTTTGACGCGCAAATGGGAAAATTCGCTCGGCAGTTGTTCGGCGGTTTGTTCAGCGGTTTTTTTTTTCAAATTGATATTTTTAGACACTGCATCCACTACACTGCTTACGCTTCTGAAGGCAACAAGTATGTTCCATACCTCAAACGTCTACTTTTGGAGCAAAAAGTGGAGTTCCAACAGAAGAACGTCGAGAATTTGGATACAGTAAGAATTTCGAACTAGGGGTTTCATTGCGGTCTATCGAAAATCGGCGACCGCCGACCGAACTCGCCGACCAAGTTGACCGATCGGTTAGATGGCGGTCGGCTTAACTTCCTGACAGAAATTGAAGCTTTATTTCAAACAATTTCGTGAAAATCTTGAATTTCAGATTGCCGATGCTGGCTACGATGTGATTGTGAATTGTGCAGGCTTATATGGTGGCAAGTTAGCTGGCGATGATGACCAATGTTACCCAATTCGAGGTGTCATTTTGGAAGTCGATGCTCCATGGCACAAACATTTCAATTATCGAGATTTTACGACTTTCACAATTCCAAAGTAAGACTGAAATCAAGGCTTATCTTTTTTACTGGAAAAGAGCCTAATTTTGAAGTTTTAGAGAGAACAGTGTGGTTATCGGATCCACGAAACAGGATAATCGTTGGGATCTTGAGATCACTGATGAGGATCGCAATGATATTTTGAGCAGATACATTGAGTTGCATCCCGGAATGCGGGTAGTTTTTAAGAGAATTTTATTGGAGAAGAATATAAAGTTTTTCTAGGAACCAAAGATTCTGAAAGAGTGGTCCGCACTTCGTCCAGGCAGGAAGCATGTCAGAATTGAATCTCAGCAACGGAAAACTACTGAAACCGGGAAGGAATATACTGTACGTTTGACTTCTAAAATTTCTTTTCAAGGAATTCTTCGAAACATTGACACTTTAACCTGATGGCCTAAGTTTTGCAAAGTTGAGTTTTCTAGGCGACCACGTTAATGTGACCTAGAAATGGCCTCACATGCTCCTTTTGTGTTTTCTGGGTCATTTAACATGGAGGCCAAACTTTTGCAAGTTGAGTTTTCTAGGCATAGTAATTGCCTAATATTCACCTGGTCTGTTTTCTAGGTCATTTACCATGGTGGCCAAGAAAACTAGCAAAAGTTAGACCACCATGTTAAATGACCTAGTGAACACACCGGGCATGTTAGGCAGGTTCTAGGCCAGTTTACCATCGTGGCCTAGTAAGACCAACTTTAAATAGTTAGGTCACCATGTCAAAATGGCCTAGGGAATCCGTCAAGCCATTTGGAAGCCATAAAAGTTGATGGCCTAGAAAACTCAACTCTCGAAAGTTGGGTCACCATGTTATATGACCTAGAAAACACATCAGGTGCATGTTTAATCATTTCTGGACCGTCCACTACGATGGTCTAGAAAAATCATGGTAGGCCACTCTAATCCTCACAGGAACCCGGAGTGTGTAATTTTTGATATCAATCGAAAAAAATTTCGAATTCATTTTTTCAGGTTGTTCATCACTATGGTCATGGAAGTAATGGCTTCACACTCGGATGGGGAACCGCCATTGAGGCTACAAAATTGGTCAAGAAAGCTCTCGGACTTTAATTCTCTTCTATCATAAAAATGTCTTTATTTCAAACAAAAATAACGAGTTTTAACAAATAAACCGAATTAAACACCATATCTTCCAACTGTCGAATATTTATGATGTCTCTTTCGATGAATCACGAAGGCAACGAATCCGGTCAAGATGGTTTGACAGAAAATAAATGCCGGGAAAAGTCGGAAAGTCACTGAAAAATACTCAAAGTACAGTAATTAGATTTACAACTAACGCCAATAGAAATCTGGCATGTAGTAGTAACAGGGATTCCATACGTCTGTAGGTAGAGTGAACCAGTAGACGATATAAAAGAGAAGAAGGATCAAGTGGATTGTCTGAAATTTTCGGAGTTATTGGAATTTTTAAATTATTTCAAACTCCCATTTTTGGACGTTTTCAAACATAGGAAACGCTTTTTGATTTCTAATAATTCCAAAAAAAAAACCCAAAAAGTAATTTTCAAAGAAGTGTTCCTGGTGGGTCAATGGGCTTGGCTACAAAATTCACGGTTCACAACACCAAAGTTCGATTCCTTTTGGAGTCAAAAATTTTGTATTTTTGTGTGGACCTCGAAAATAATAGATTTTTTAGAACCTGAATCAATAATTTCTGAGTCAGGTTACCTGATGTCTTCAGTAGTGTATACTCGAATTTTCAGCAATTATCTAGGTTTCTAGAGATATCAAAAAATTGTCAATTGATTAAATTTTGTTGATATTATGATAAGCAATTTATCAGTAATATTTTGATATCATTGACAGAAATCGAGATATTTGAGCTCGAAGAGCAAGTATAATGTGGCGTTTTATTAGAGCATTCATATTAACTTCTAAAAACTGAAGTAATACCGTACATAATACTTTGTAAGTTGACAACTTTTCGACAGTTACGCTAGGTATCTAGCCGAGAAACTCACACTAATCATTAGTCCATCAAAAATACCCCACGCCGGTCGATTGTGGGGTCGATCGTAGACAAAGTCTCCGATCACTGCGGACACCATCTGAATAATCAAATATCTGATTTTTCACAAATACCAAAAACCCACAAAATAGCCAACCGTTCCAAAGAAGAAGATCAAAATCGAATACTGGTCGTCTTCGCTGGTGGCAAGGAATAAATTCTCTCTCCAAGCAATGAACCTGAAAAGCGAAAACCGTATTTCCTATAATGCATACCTAACCCATCAACTTTGAGCTCAATTATCTTGGTTGCTGTAAGAGTTATCAAAAACATGTCAACTAATAAAATATTGGTGATCTTCCTTATATATAAAACGCTACACGCGTCTGTCTCTCCTTTTAGTGTCTTTCACATGAATCGAGATAATTGAGCTTAAACTTGACGGTTTGGGTGGATTTCCATTAGAGGAACCAAATTTTTTTTCGTACTGATTGCTCTGAAATTTTCAGATTTTCCCTCAAACTCACGTATCAAAGCAAATTACACCTAGAAGTGCCAGAGCAAGAATCGCATTGTCAATACCATAGTTTTCGAGAGTATTCTGAATTTTTTATGGTTTTAATTATGTAATCCGAACCCTATAGGCCACCGAACTGTCATCTTTAACCCTATTTATCTCGAATGTTGTCCAAAATTTAAAAGTGATGAACTGATATCAGAATAAATATTTGAAGCACTGTAGATGACCTAATAGAAGCCAACTCACATCGCCGGCTTCAATTTTTTCGGTTCTTGAAAGAGATATAAAAAATTAGCCAACTGATAAAATGTTCATCTTAATATTGCCAATGTTTTATTAGTTAACAAATTTTTCGTATCTCTCATAGGAATCAAGATAATTGGGCTCACAGTATGTAGATTTTTATTAGAAAAAAACTAGTCCACTTTTCTGTAACTTCTACAAAAACAGACACAAATGTGGTCAAATTTGATAGTGATTTGATAGTACCTCTTCAGGATTCACGATACTTTACCTTAATTTTCATAGCGATGAAGAACTTGCGAGTGACTCGTGGCGAAACCATCGAAAAGTGTGGTCCAAAGTGTCGTGGGTCCTTTGATGGTGGCACATCTTCAATGACCGGGTAATCTAAGTTTCACTGGGGGGACATTGAGGACAGCAGTCTTTTGAAATTTTTTTTTGAATTTTTTTGTTCTAATAAATGTTTTTGTCTAGAACCATATAAACCAGTGATGGGAAAAAACACATTTTTCCGAAATCCGGAAAATGGAAATTGAAATTCTTCTCATTACCGATATGGCCCATATGGAACCATATGAAACAATAGAACCATATGAAGTATGTGTTTATCGTGTGTACCTTTGTCCCTGATGTGTATCTGAGTTTGAGCGGATTTTGATCTTTCTATTTGTTCAATGCAGATCAGATCAAAAAACGGAAGGCTCAGGTGGAATAAAAAAAAGACACAATTGAATTGATCATTGGTGGCGGTTCAACGCATTACATATTTTTAAAATTGAATTTTAGATATAATTGTGAGTAGTTGAAAGTTCTAGTTACCGTAAAACATGTAATAGAAAGGCCTTCACACTTACAAGTTTGAGCTCAATTATCTCGATTCCTATGAGAGTTATCAATAAAATGTCAACTGATAAAAGATTGGTGATATTATGATAAACAATTTATCAGTTTTCCACTTTTTCATATCCTTGACAGGAACCGAGATAATTGAGAATCCGTAAATTGCTGTTTCCATATCTCATTTGACCGCCCATTGAACAGGATCATCTCGATTGGACAGTTCTTTGATTTCTTTCTTTTAAAGATAATCAGATTACCCACCGCTCTTTGCACTTTTCGAACACCCACTCACCCTATTTTATTGGTATATATCGGTCGTCGGGCGGATGGATACTTCTTTTGACACTTTTCACCCTCCCACGCACATCACAAAGACCGCGTTATTGATATTCTATCAATGTATGAAAGACTAAAAAGACCAGCGATCGGTGCTCTTTCATGTAAACTGGGTAAATAGAAAATGGTTTGGTGTTCTTCTTTCAAATTGAAATTTGAACTTTTTGTTGCTAAAGATTGATTCTTTGTTCATAAAAATAGGCGGGGTTTACGGTATATGCCTCTCTAGGTGATGGCAATCTTCAACGGTCAGTTTCCTTCCATGAAGTACATCACTATTAATAAGTTCCTTATTTCTTTGAAACCTTAAAACCTGTAATAGAATGGCCAGGTATCCTCAGGTTCAGGGCGCTAACTAAGTATGGTAATAGAGCCCCCCCCCCTTCCAACACTGTAACGTTTAAGCTAAATTATCTCAATCCCTATGCAAGATACCAAAAATCCCCCAATGATCACAAGTACTCTATGTTTTCCCTTCAAACTCCCCAGATGTTTCATGTCTGGTACATGTCTGGTACACCGGTGCGTACCACCCAGCTGACCTTTGTTACATTACTCAGGACTTTCCCCATTCTACAGATGTCTAAAGGTCGTTTCTTTCTTGTCCTCAAATAAAAAAGCTCAAAATTCCTAGTGCTCTTTGATGATACTTTTTTCTCCAGTCCGTACTCCAAACATAGCATTTTTTGATTGACGTAGACAATATGATTATAGTATTAGTGGAAAGATGGTCATGGAAGCACATACTGAAAAATAATAGAAAGTGTGACATTCTGAACGGAGTGGGTTGGGTAGTGATAAGGCTTCAAGAATTTTTAGAAAAAAGTACATTTTAGAGATACTAGCTTCATGCAAAGAACCATTCACTAGCGCCTAATTACCCGAACTAAAGTTTTTACTAGCATAAAATTTGAGTGAAGCATTGTTCTGGGCTCAAATTCAGAGTGCGAAAATCCAAATAACCCATCTGTAAACCGGCCAAGTTTCAAATTATTTGATCAACTTTGAACTGAGTTATCGCTTGTCAAAGTTGCTTTATCTCATGAAGATCACAAACAAATCTTTGGACAACCATAACAATAACTAGACTTGAGGAATCGCTTTAAAACTTACAGTAGCTTTGAATCAAACATAACATTATATTTCTATCAATTTTCGTGCTTCCAAGACTCATATTTCTTAAGATATATCCATTTTTAACAGTCCAGATAATTGTGAACCACTCTGTAAATTCAAAATTTCTGCGTACATGCTCTGCCCTCTAATAGTACACTTGCACTTTTGGCCAACCTTACTGCTTAAACTTTCCATTTTTCCCCTTTTTCTTGAAATCCAGCTCATCTCCTTGGTCTTTCGAGCCACGTGGCAACTCCTTGTCGCCCATATTCCTTCCCTCCCTCCCTATCTTTCCTCCTCGTTTTTTTTCGAATTTTCAGTTATATTCCTCTTCTTCCATGCATCCGCCCTATCCTCCGCTCCCGGTGTCTCTCTTTTCGTCTCTAATCCCTCTCAATATTCTGTGATCCCTAACGTTAGGTTCCCTGCTTGTTGCAACTCCTTCAGCCGGCTGCGTCTCGTTCCCTCGGAAAAAATTTCCACCGGCTTTTTTGTTCTTCATATTTCCACTTCATATTATTTTTCTTTATAAAATTATCTATTCAAATTTCATAGAGTATTTTTTTGAAAATTGAAGATTCACACCCATTTTCATCTGATTCCTTGGCGGCTCTTTTAAGAAAAGAATCTGGAGAAGAAAAAAAAATTAAAACATAAAAATGCATTATTTGCCTTGTCTGCAGATAAATCTTGTCTTAAACTTCCTCCTTCCTTGATCTTTAATTCTTTATATTTTTCTTATTTCTTCCGTTTTTTTTAATTTAAAAAACTATAACTTTCAGAAGAATGGGGGTGTACATCACTATATTTCTCTACGCTCTAACCACATCAGTATTCTTCCCGGTATTTCAATCACTGGTATTTTACAAAGTAGGTTTTGTTTTAAATTTCCGGGATTTCAAGTGATAATGGGTTTCGTTTTTAATTTTGAAAAAAAAAGAACTACAGTAAAACCCGTAATAGAAGTCCTCCTCTGATTTTAAGCCTATATATCTCGGTTCCTGTGAGAGATATCAAAAAGTAATCAACTGATAAAATATTTATCTGATTATAATAAAAAAGTTTTTAGTTGACAACTTTTTCATATCTTTGACATGAACTGAGGGAAATTGGCTCAAAGTTGGGGGTCCTTCTATTACAGGTAGATTACTGTAGATCATAAAATCTGGATTTCAAAATTTCAGAATTCCATTTTACATTATTTCCAGGCCTGTATCACCCTATCCAACTCCACAGACGCCGAAGTGACGTGTCAGTCTCGCGAGGCAGCTGCACGCGACGAGTCCGTCCATTCTTTGGCCAATTTGATTCTTTTGACTTCGTGAGTTTTCCCGTCGTCATGACGATAAGAAGAGAATGGGAAAACGTAGCCGTTGGCTTTCTTTTCGGAGAAAGCCTAAAAAACTTTGTTTTTGGTTTCGATAATAGGGAAATGTCAAACAGGGATATTATGCTGCCTAGTTTAGATTACAAAATGATGTAATCGGGAAAATAGAGAAGACCAAAACAAACTCACAAACTTGTCAGAATGTTTACATGTTTTGTTTTCGGGGGGAAATGAGAAAACATGGGAATTCAAAAACAGAACAACGTTGAGCCGATTCATCAAGGTTCCTATAAGATATATCAAAAATGTGTCAATTGATAAAATATTGTTGATACTATGATAAACAGTTTATCAATTGAACACTTTTTTATATCTTTCGCAGGAACTGAGATAATAGAGCTCAAAATTGGTAGATAGGGCTGGGCTTCTATTAGAGGGAATACGGTAAATATGGAGAAAGCTTGAAATTGCTAACACTTGAGATACTGTACTAAAACATAGCCTTCTACAAAAAACTTTTCAAAGCATTTTTTCCTATTAAGCTTATCTAAAAAATTGAAAATAAGCGAAAATGCTTAAATAGCGGACCTCAACATTTTTAGCATAAATGATCTAATAGAATAGAAGCTAACCCTAGACATGAACTTTGAGCTCAATTATCTCGATTCCTGCAAAAAATATCTAAAATGTATCAACTGATAAATTTTTAATGATTTTATGATAAACATTTAGCTAGTTGACCACTATTTGATATCTGTCATAGGAACCGAGATAATCGAGCCCGAAGTCGACGTAGAGGATAGGCTCACATTTGAGCATTCACGGTATTTTCCGCTGAAAAGGGCAAAATTTCACAAAAGATGAAAACCTTTCAAAACTCAAATTTTCAGAAGCACTGGACTCTGCATTACTGCATTCTTCACAAGTCGATGGATTGGCCATTTGAGTGATGTGAAATCAAGAAAACTCGCTTTCTTGATTCCCTTCGCTGGACTCTTCTTCTCAGACTTCACAATTTTGGTTCAAGTTCTTTGGCCAAGGGCGTCCCCTTATTACTTCATAGTTTCTGAAGTTATATATGGAATCTTTGGTGGTTACATGTCTATCACTTCTGGAGCATTCGCAATTATCAGTACAATGTATACGGATCCAAAAGAGAGAGCCAAAGCGATCGCAAGATTGGAAGGAACGATTTCTTTGGGGTGTAAGTTGGACTTTTCGTAACACCTGAAAAAGAAGAGCCCCAAACTGTTAAGTTTGAGCTCAAATATCTCGGTTCCTATAAAATATATCAAAAATTTGACAACTGTTAAATTACTTATCAGATTATGATAAACATTTTATCAATTGATAACTTTTTAATATCTTTTACAGGAACAAAGATAAAATGTCTCAAAGTTTAAAGTTAGGGATATTAGAGTGTTTACGGTATTTCACCCCTGCTTAGTTAATAGCACAGTTTCTGATCCTTAATGTTTTAGCTATGATCGGATTTCTTATCAGTTCACGTTTGGAGTCTGCTGGATATATTGGAATGGCCTGCTTCTTTGTCGTTGCTCATTTTATCGCTTTCATGTCTGCCCTGTTCATGAAAGAGGTGCAATATCATGAGCCAGAACCACTGCTACGCAATTCTCAGAAAACTAAACCACTCGCGATTTGTGTAAGTCAAAAATAAATATTTTTCAAAAATAAAAAATTTCAGACCGGTTCCAAACTGTTCGAAAACAAGTCTCCAGCTACGAAATGCAATCTTCGAATTCTGTATTTCTCGTTTGCCATCTCCTACTTCGCCTTCATCGGATCCACGCGTATCCTGTTCTTCTACCTCAAACACAAATTCCTGTGGGGCTCTGAAAAATACGGTTATCTGAAAGCCATCAACCAAGGAATGACTACAGTCATGGCGATGCTAGTGTTCCCAGCACTCAAAAATTGGGGAATCACTGATGTTCGATTAGCGATTTTTGGTTTGGCAACGAGAAGTATTGGACGAGCGTGGTATGCGATTGCATGGGCGGATTATGCGGTTTATGGAGTGGTTTGCTTTGAAATGTTCTCCAAATTCCCGGCGACCGCACTTCGAAGTTTGATTTCAAGCAATGTGGGAGAGCACGAGAGAGGTAGGGACTGATGAAAAGGGGTATACCTTTAGACATACGTAGCTTGGAAGGATGAAAATTAGTAGATATACAATTTTACGTTTGATTCAAAGCTACTGAAATTTTCAAAGCAATTCCTCAAGTCTAGGTATTGTTATGATTGTCCAAAGATTTGCATGAGATGAAGCAACTTTGACAAGCGATCACCTAGCTGAACGTTGATCAAATCATTTGAAACTTGGAGAATTTACTAATGAACTAATAAGATTATTGCACTCTAAACTTGAGCCCAGTACAACGCTTTTCTCGAATTTTAGGCTAATATGCACTTGAGTCCGGACAATTATACGCCAATCTGTATAGATCATCTCTTCAAGTCATCTACCAAGCTTCCATTCAGCGTTTAACTGTGCTAGGAACGATATTCAAAACTTTCAAAATCTATCAAAAAATTTCAGGAGCCGCCTTCTCCCTGGTTGCCGTGATTGAAGCCATGTGCAATCTGACGTCTTCATGGGTCTTCCACATCGCCTTCCCGATTTCTCTCCGCTTCTTCCCCGAACTCTCATTTGTCATTATGCCTGTCATTATTGTTCCAGCAATTGTTCTAATGATGTTAGAGAACCCATCGTTGACAATTCAAAAATTTCCTTTTCCAGAATCAATATCCGAACCCTCGAATCTCCCGAAACACATCCAGAAGATCTCGCAGAGCCACCAAATGATGAAGATGAAATCGACGTCGAGAAAACGGCAGTGCTCCATCACATTCCTACTGAAACGGACACACTTACGGATTCGAGTTCTAAAACAACGTGATTCACTCTTTTCGTATCAAAAATATTGTTTTCTGTGATGAATCCCCAAATCAAAAAATTTGATACCATTCCTTAAATACTTTTCACACCGGTACCCCCATTCCCCCATCCATGCATATTCCTGTTTCATATTGTGTTTGTGTATTGTGATTGAACATTTTATTTATTAAAATAATAAATTATGAAGCCTTTTTTATAGTGTGAGGAATCTTCTAAAAATTCAATTACCGTAAGCACTTTAATGACCACATTTTTAAAATTTAAACCTATATATCTCGGTTCCTATAAAGGTTATGAAAAAATTGTCAACTGATAATTTGTTTATCATAATATCAAAATAATTTTATTAGTTGACAAAATTTTGATACCTCTCATAGGAACCGAGATAATTAAACTTCAACTTGATAGTATGAGTGGCTCTTCTGTTACAGGTTTTACTGTATTACAATCCAACATCGACTTCAAAACTTGAGCCATTTTTTTCAATTTTTCGTATTACGGTACCTACATTTTTTTTTGAAAAAAAAAACTATTTTTTTAAGTTTTTGAAATTTTCCGGAATTCCTTTTTTTTAAGCTACGGTGTTTGACATTTTCAAACAAAGAAAACGCTTTTGAATCATCGAAAATGTGCTAAATCTTAAAAAACACCCAAAAATAGTGATTTTCGAAAAAGTGTTCCAGATGGCTCAGTGGGTTTTGGCGCCAAAAACTACGGTTCACAAAACCAAAGTTCGATTTCTTCTGGAACCAAAACTTTTGTATTTTTTTCTGAACCTAGAAAATTTAAGTTTTTAAAAACTTGAAGCTTATGCAGAAACTTAAAGATTCTACCGTAAATGCTCTGATAGCAGCCCATCACATGAACTTTGAGCTCGATTATCTCAGTTCCTATGAGAGATATCAAAAAGTTGTCAACTAATAAAATATGTCTGATATTATAATAAACATTTTATCAGTTTACTAGTTTTCGATATATTTGGTGGGAACCGAGATATATGCGCTCAAAGCTGGAGGTGTTGAATGTGCGAAGGCTGAAGGTGTTGAATGTCCTTTCGGAAGTGGCACAGTGGTCTTTTTGGCTTCGAGTTTTATACCTCATTTGTTTCTGAAAATTCACAAAGAAGACGTCAACCTCAAAGGCAATTTTTCAGAGTTCCAGATTTTCCAGGTTTCCAGAATTTTCAGATCAAATGGAGAAGCCGTCTCCCAAGCTTCCATTCAACGTTTAACTATGCTTCTTATGAAATCTTCTCGTCACAGAAAATTCCTTTCTTATCGTTAAATATCCAGTTCATATGTATTCATTACCAATAAAATTTCTCTTTTCTATATCACCACAGACAACACACCAGTTCTTTTGAACTGCCGAAAAAAAACAAAAAGAGGCCACCGCCACCAAGCCGCCCCCATATCAATCGGTGTTAATTTGATTAATGTAATCTGATAGCGAAAAATGGAGAAGGTCAATCTTCTCTCCTTCAACTTCTCTAACAAGCGTTTAAATGAGGAAGAAAATGAAATACAAAAAATAGTGTTTTTCTCGAGAAACCGCTCCTCATTTTTCTTTTCATTTTTTAGGTCTCTGTGAATAAAATGCTTATCGTAGTCGTAAATCAAAATGACAGAGAGACCAAAACAGGAACTTATCTGATTTTTGTATATAGTCTCGAGACGACGAGGGAAATTTTAGTCGTTTTTGACGGTTTCCCGCATTTTTTTCTTTGTTAATGAAAAAATGTATTATTTGGGGTTACTGTAGTTTAAGCATGTGTTAGCATATGTGCATTTGAGCTCAGTTATCTCGATTCCCGTGAAAGATATCAAATACTGGTCAACTGATAAAACATTGATGATAATCTGATAAGTATTTATCAATTAACAATTTTTCATATCTTCTGATGGGGCCGATTTAATTGAGCTCAAAGTGAACGTATAGAGTTTGCTTCTGTCAGGGCAGAATCAACACTTTTTTGTGGAAAATTGGGTTCAAATTTTGTTTTAATGTCCTGAATAATTTTTTTCATCTGGAATTAAATAACACATTTAAGAGAATAAAATTCTGTATTTTTGTAGTTTCTCTCTAGAAATAAAAATGTGGAACTTTTCCTATTCGGAATCTTCTAAAAGAAGCTCATCTTATATGTGCACTTTGAGCTCAATAATCTCGGTTCCCATGAGAGATATCGAAAAACTGTCAACGGATAAAATGTTTTTGATATTGTGATAAGTAAGTTATCAGTTTAAAATGTTCTGATATCTCTCATAAGAACCGAGATAAATAAGCTCCAATTTAAAAAGGCTTCTATTAGAGCAAAGTTGGTTCTTTTAAAACTACATTTTTTTAGTGTGGCTCAATCTTTTTGCATATTCATTTTTATCTGGAATTTGTTTTTTATTAAAAAAAAATATATATAATTTGATCCATATAGCTGCTCTCTAAATATTAGATGTTTAAAAGAAACATTTTTTTTCGATTTTCTATTTTTTTTCGATTTTTTCAAATATATTGTTAAGACATTGACTTGTAAGCCATTTCAGGTCATTATATTATTTTTATCAGAATCTGACAATTCTTAAATTTCTTTAAATGACTATTTTGAAAAATCTGTGCCACTCTCCCAGTTCCTAAATCTCTAAAAAGAAAAACTGAACTTCCGCGAAACCTGTGATAAAATGGCTCAATTATCTAGGTTTCTTTAAAAGATATCAGAATATTGTCAACTGATAAAATTTTCATCATAATATCATCTATATTTTATCAGTTGACAACTTTTTGATATCCAGCACAGGAATCGAGGTATAGAGGCTCAAAGTTGGAGTTTACGGTGGGCATCTATCATAGGAAATACTGTGAAAGCACAGTTTTTAAATATAAACTCCCAGAATAATTTAACCATTTCTAGCATATTTTCAGACATCTAAAAATATTTTTTTAAGTTTCAAAACAAAAATTCCTTTTTTCTGAACTCCAAAAACTAATATGTTTCTCCCCCTCTTGTACTCCAATTTGCATTCTTATCAGTGTAAAAATTTCTAGCCTCTTTGCTTTCCTCCTTTTTCTAAAACCGTGTATTGTTTCCTTTTGTCTTTTTTTCTCATGTTTCTGAATCGATTACACAACACAATTTTTATCACTTTTCTTTTAACGGAAAAAAACCAAAACCAAAACCAAAAACATCTCTTCTTTTCTTACTTTATATGTTTTTTATTCCTCTCACACTGACATTCTTTTTTTAAAAAGTATACCATATATGATATATTCATATCATGTAGATCGTATCATATATCACTAAAAAAGCTACTTCTCGCCCACTCACTCTTTCAATTTCCAAAACCAAAAATCAGCCAAAAAAAAAACAAAAGGGGGTGGTGACGTGGCACATTTTTCAATCATATGGACAGGAAAAAGCCGAAACATCATGTATACATCATGTTTCTGTACAGTTGTTCTTTTTTTGCTTGTCTCTCAAATTTCATTTCTTTTCCCCTCCGAAACTATATTATTTCTTCTAAACCTACCCAGTTCCTAGGATCCTAATAGAAGTCTAGAAAAACTGTCAGTTTTGAGTTCAATTATCTCGGTTCCTATGAGAGGTATCAAACATTTGTCAATCGATGAAATCTTAATGATCTTATGATAAGCAGTTTATCAGTTGACAGATTTGTGATATCTTTCATAGAAACCGAGATGATGGAGCTCAAAACTGACATTATGAACGTCCGTCTATTAGAGGTTCTAGGATACTAGGATCCTAATTATCTCGGTTCTTACAAAAGATATCTAAAACGTTTCAACTGATAAAATGTTCATCAAAATATCAGCAACATTTTCCAGTTGACTGATTTTTGATATCTCACATAGGAACCGAGATAATCGAACTCAAAGCTCACGTATAGGTTAAGCTTCTATTAGAGCGTTTTCGGTGATTATCTAGATTTCCAGAAGAGTTATCGAAATACAACCAAAAAATATTTTCTCTCAAATTCTTCTAGAATTTTTAAAATGAAAAATACAGTAACCCGCTGAAAATGTTGTCTAATTTTGGTTACCGTAAACACTCTAATGAAATGCCCCCAACTTTGGACCCACATATCTCAATTCCGGAAAGAGATATTAAAAAGTCGTCAACTGACAAAATGTTTATCATAACATCCCAAATATTTTCACGGTGAACCACTTTTTGGCATCTTTCACAGGAAACGAGATAAATTGGTTTAAAGTGAAATGAGGGAGAGTCATTCTATCAGATTGTTTACGGTAGTTTAGGTGAGAGAAAATAATGTTGTCAAATTTAACCAATAACTCTGAAAATTTCAAAATATACAGAACAAACATAGCGCTTCATTTTTGTACTAGTTGATAATTGTTTCGAAGTATTGGCAACTACAAAAATGGATCTCTATTTTATATTCAGGAATTAGGAAGCTCCCAGACTGTCAACTTTGATCTCAATTATCTCGGTTCCTATGATATCGAAAAAATGCCAACTGATAAAATATTGGTGATATTCTGATGAACAGTTTATCAGTTGGCACATTTTTGATATCTTTCATTGGAACCGAGATATATGAGCTGAAAGTTGACAGCTGGTGTGGACTTCTATTAGAACAAATACGGTAGATTGCCGTTTATTGTTTTGGAAACTACAAGAATGGATCTATATTTCTTATATTCAGAAATTCAAAAATTAACACCTAAAATTGAGTGTTTCTAATCGAATTTTCTTTTTACTTCTTCTTCTTCTTCTCCAGGTTTTACCCCACAATTGTCACAATTGAATTCTTGCCACCTTCTATTGTTGCGCTTTTTGTGTCAGCCCCACACAATAATTTTCTTTGAACACCCCAAAAAATTCTGTTTTCAGGTACATTTTTATAAGATGTCATTGGACGCGGTGAGATTCTTTCGTTTTCAAATGTTTCCCTCAATTTTCAGCCATTTTCAGACTCTCTATAATATCAATGAGACGTTGCAACAAGTCGCGAGCCTGTTGAAAGCCGTAGAAGTCGCCGTTTTCATTCTAGCGATCACACTTGGTATTGCGCTTGTTGGTAAGAAATAAGGCGACCAAATTTTCGCGTTTGCGCGTCAATACGCCAGAGTGTTTGCGTACATTTGTGGCTCAAAAATTCGAAAATTGCGTCGTAAAATAAAATGCTTCGTACACAAACACTCTCTGTGATATTGGTGCTCAAGAAGATTAAAAAACGAAGTTTCTAGGTTGTACCGCGGGATTCTTCTATGGAAAGTACAACCAACGCAATCAGTACAAAGAGTTGAGCACTGAAAATAATAGTCCGAATACTACGATCACAAGAATTCAGTCGCCGATGAAGAGTCAGAGAGTATAAGCAGGGAAACAAGGACGGGGAATTTTTTGCGACAACATGTGCCTTTAAAACAATTCTGATGGGTTTTTTTTGTTGATTTTGATACGTTTTTCATAAAACTGTGATGTTTATATTCTACTTTGAATGAAAACACGAATAAATATATTTGAAAAGTAAAATGGGAGTCGGGGGGACAAATGGAAAAAACAAAAAGGAGATGCTGAATAGGAAACACAGACCGTTGGGGAAGAAAAAAATGAAGTCAAACTCTAGAAAAAAATTAGCGCATCTGAATGACACCGGCGTCACGGAGCTTCATGAGCTTCTGGAAGATTTCTGGATTCTTCAAATGCTCTCGCACTGCTCCTGGATCGTTGCTCATTTGTTCCAAAATCATACGCATGCCTGGATCGCGGAGAATCTCTTGCACTTCTGGATCGGCCATCGAGCGCTCCTTGGCCTTCTCTGGATCCTCGTCGTTGCTGCGCAAGCATGTGCGGACTCCTTCGCGAGCCTCCTCGTTGCTCGGATCGACTGCAAGAGCATCTTCGTAGGCACGCTGAGCTTTCGACCATTCACGCATAGCCACGAGGCAGGCTCCTTTGCGGATGTATCCTTTGACTGAAAACGAGGAATAAGTTGGGACCTTTTCAGATATTTTTTAAAAACTTACTGAATTTCGGATCCTTCTTAATGCAAGTATCACAATCCTCTAAAGCGCGCTGGAATTCCATCAGCTTGGTGAGACAAGCAGCACGATTCGAGTAGAGCACAGCGTTCTCCGGATCACGCTTCACAGCTTCATTGTAGTGCTTCATAGCGCTTGGATAGTCACCTTTCTGGAAAATGTCTCGTTTTGGAAAGTTCTAGATTCAGAATATTTAAGCTATTCACTTTGAAGAAGTCATTTCCTTGGTTCTTCTCCTCCTGAGCGAGCTGTGGGTTGATGTAGGCAAGACGCTCGGCTTCTTTCAGCGCCTTCTCCATCTCCTTTACCTTCTTAACGAGCTCTGGGTCTCTGAACTCGGAGAGTGACCTTTGGAACCATTGGAGAGCAGTTTTTAGTTCTCCTTGCTTCTGGAATGCGTTACCGGCGCGAGACATTGCTCTAAAGAAAGAAAATTAAAGCTTGTTTGAAATTAAATTACTAGCTAACTTAGCAATCAATTTGTAATCTGCGCGAGTTTCGCGTCCGATTTCGATGGCTTTCTCGCAGAATTGCACACATTCGGCGTACTTTTTCTCCTCGAAAAACACGGCTGAAACAAAAAAAAACTTCAGCGAAAAAGGAAATTTCTACCATACCAGCTTTGTTATTGTAGAAGGTGATATTCGTTGAATCCAGCTCGATGGCTTTGTCGTAGTGCAAATGAGCAGTTTCGAAATCCTTCTGCTTGTAGGCAGCGTTTCCGAGATCCTTCTCAGCGATCGCCTGAAAATTCTTTAGAAAATTAAGCAAAAATCAATAAAAAACTCACAGCGTCCGACATTTTTTCGCAGATCCTGTTCGAATCTCAAGAAGATTCTACGAGGGGAATGGAAAATGAAACAAAAATTAGCGGCGGAATTTCGAGTCTACAACTGCGCTCCAATCTAGAATTTTCTAGAAATCGAAAGAAACAGTGTGGTGATGGGTGGAGACGCAGACAGAAAAAGCGGGGGAGTTTAAAATTTATTTTCATATGATTCACATCTGTATTCTTCTGACATAAGATTTATGAATAAATGAAGATCATCAACAGCTTTTGATTTGAAACTATTTTTATTTGATTTATAAACATATAAGGTTACTGAAAATCACCAGAAGACATTGAAAATATAAGGAGTTTTAGCGCATTAATGAAGATATTTGAAATTTTGTCTCTGAAAATACAAGATTTTTAGTGCAAAAACATTATTCTGGTACAAGAAATCAGAGCTATGGAAGAGAAACGCATGTGGGCGTGGACGAAGGTCCCACAACGACAACTACCATAACCTAAAATGTTTTTTTTCGTTTTCTTAGTTTTCACTGCTTTTCTTCAAATTTTCTGTTTTTTTTTCACCAAGCAGTCAGAAAATTAGAGTTTTTGGCAGCGAGAACGTGACTGAAAACATGAAAAACCAAGAAAATAAATACGAAAAATAAAAATATTTTTAGGTTACGATAGTTTTCGTTGTGAGACCTTCGGTTTTTTGTGTATTATGAAAAAGCTCATGTGATTTGAAGTTCAAATCCGTTTTCGAATTACAAAAATATCAATTTTGAAACGAGTTATTCATATTTTAGTGTGGTGGTCTAGAAATCCAAAACTAGGCCACATTTTTCCAAATTTCAAATGATCATAACTCGGACCAAAATGAAAATTTTCGAAATCGGAAAACTGATTATAAACTCTTGGAATATTTTTGTTCTGCCCAAGACCTAACTTTCTTAAAATTCGGTTTTCTAGGCCAGCCTCTGTCTGAAACCCAAGTCGATATTGTTAGGTGCACAATTTCCTCCAATTTATCCTTTGAATTTCACAAAACTTGTGATTTGGACACTTTGAAAGCTTCATGTTGCAATTTGTGTCTCTCAAGAATGTGGTCCCACCCCATCATCACCACCCCCTCCTCGTTCTACACTATTCCTGAAACGAACGACAAAAGTAGTGTGAGAAGACGCACTCACAACAACAAGAAAAGGTGATTAGAACCTCCTGTCAAACTCATCAATTGTCAATCAGTCAGGCGTGTGAGGAGCAGCTGACAACACATGTCTTTATGGTTTTGACTCAAGTTTGAGAAGTGGGCGGGGCTTAACGGACAAGACATTCTATTTCTAACTTTTTCAAACGCTTCCAACAATGCAAATCCTCCTGTTCTACTCTATTCTAATCCTTCTACCTTCCCTGGTCCTTTCCAAAACCCCTTGCCTACCCTCCTGGCTTCACATTGCTCATCTAGATTCTTGTTTCCTCTCGGCTCCTCAACCTGCAGAGTTCTCTGATGCCGTGGATTACTGTAGCCACATGAACAGCAGTCTAGTTGTCATAAACTCAGAAGAGGAGGCATCGATAGTCAGAGAATTTTTTGCGCGGGAAAATCCGAGCTTTTTTAATTGGATTGGAATGAAATGGGATGAAATCGAGGCCGAGTTTCGATGGATTGATGGCAAGAAGAGGGACTACAGTTACTTTTTGCCGGGTATCTAGAAGAAAAAAATTGGGAATTTCATTCTGAAAATGTTTAGATGAGCCAGGATCATCCGGAGAGTGTATAGCGTGGGTTCTAGATGAGAATCTAGATGGTTGGCAAGCAATTAGTTGCCACTATTCACAGTTTTTCATGTGTCAGAAGCCAGCAGAAGGGTGAGGTCTTTCATTGGTAGAACAACAAATTTCAGATTTCGAAAATTTTAATTTTTGAGCCGTTTTATGATCATTTGAAATTTGGAATAATGTAACCTAGTTTTGGATTTCTAGGCCATCACACTAAAATGTGAATAACTCGTTTCAAAATTAATATTTTTGAAATTCAAAAACAGGTTCGAAATTCAAAACACATGAGCTTTTATCGGAGCTGTGGAAGAGAAACGCCGGCGGCCGAGGCCGAAGGTCCCACAACGAACACTACCGTAACCTAACAACTTTTTATTCGTTGTCTTCTCGTTTTTCGCCGCTTCTCATCGAGTCCTCTGTAATTTTTCCCCGAAAAAATCAGAAATGTAAATGTTTTGATAGTGGAAAATTAATTGAAATCGCATGAAAATTGAGATATTACTCTTGTCCGACGGCGATGAACCTTGTAGCTCCAATTTCATTTAAAGGCGCATAGCCGGTGGAGCGAAAACAGCTACGGTTTTTACAAATGAATTCGTGCGCCTTTGATACAGTACTTGGTAATTAATTCACTTTGACCCATTTTAAGCAGTTTTCTACTTCATAAAGAATATCAGCTCGGGAGAAAATAAACGAAAACACCAAAAAATCTGAGGAACATAGGGAAAAACAAAAAACTTCAAAGTACTGTATCAAAGGCGCATGAGTATTTGCAACAATCGTAACTACTTTCGCTTCGGGACCATCGATGCGCCTTTAATTAAAATTTCAGCCGCAAGGTTCATCAGAACCACCAAATGTGAAATTATCATTACTCGGCTCAAAATGAACATTTTCTAAATCTGAAAACTGATTCTAAATTCTTCAAACATTCTCAGAATCATCACTACCTGGCATCGAGACGAAGAAGGCGTTATCACTAGTCCAAATTATCCGAATTCCTATGATAACCTGGAATACGATACCCATATCATAAGATCCGATCCGGGAACCCGTATCCTGATGTATTTTGAAAATGTGGAGACAGAACAGAATTGCGATGTTATCACTGTATCAGATGACTATGGAATCTCGGGAAGAACACTTTTCAGACTCTCTGGAAACTACCGTAACCACTCGGTGATTAGCAATCGAAATCACTTGATGATCAACTTTAAATCTGATGAAGATGGCCAAGGAAAAGGATTTTTGATGAGATATCGGATACTGTAGGTTGAATTGATCTCCCTTAAATATAATGTCCCCATTTTCAGCCGCCCACTCCCCCTTAAAGTTTTCTCATCGAATTCCTATGGCACTGTTACCTCTAACAACTACCCAACGTCTCCAGATTCCTTCCTCATTCAGTATTATCTTATCCAATGTCCATCTGAATTCCACGTGGCGCTCTCTGTGAAAGCTATGAGTTTGGATAAAAATGATCGCGTCAAGGTGCACAATGGAGCTGATGAAAAAACGAAGAAGCTGAAAATGTGGGTTTTCCAAATCCAGAATCCTAAAAATTTGATTTTTCAGCTTCCGCCAGTTCTCTCCCCAATACTCAGAACCCATCAAATCGACACAAAACTCCATGTTCATATCCTACGACACTGGCGAGCAATTCAACTCTTCGAACCATTGGGCGTTAGAGTATCAATGCGTTCCTGATGGAAATTTGGGAGACGAGATTATCATCTGAAATTGCTCGCATTGAAATTGATAGAATTAAAAAATACAAATAAATAAATTATTTTATTGAAACTTTAGATACTATACGATATGGGGGAATACGGATGCGAGAAAAATGGGAATCAATGGAGGGGAAAAAGAGATCACAACTAGTAAAAAACACAAAGTAGATAGGGGGAATTGAATCGATCAGCGAAATAAAATATCGTTTATAAACCGAAAATAAGTTATAATCATCCAGAAAATCTAAGCCATGGAGTTGGAGCTTCCCGAGGTGGATGCGACGATCTCGTCTCCATCCTCGACGGTGTTGGTTGGCTTGTCCTCCTCATTCGAGATTTTGGCGAAAAGGTTCTTGAAGCGCTTCTTGTCCTTGGCATTCTGATCGCGAATCGTTGTCTTGCACACGAGAATTTGTTGAGCGGCAGCCTGGAAAGATTAGAAACAATACTTAAAGAAGGATTAGTGGTTTTGGAGCGGACTGAAAGATGAATATGGAAAATCGATGAATCAGCTTAATCTAGATGATGTATATTCGATGCCTTAGGCTTTCTAGCTAGTTCAGAGTTGAGAATTCATTATGATTCGGCTGGCTTTTTTCTCACGGTAAGAGTTTTCATAAATATTTCATTCACCTTGTTCTCCGGCTCGACCTCGACGATCTTCTCGAACAGCTTCATTGCGTCACGGACCTCGTTCATGGTCAAAAGAGCGCTAGCCTTTCGGTATAAAGCTTTGACGTTGTCTGGCTTTGTCTCCAGCACCTTATCACACCATTTGATGCATTCCAAATTCTCATTCTGCTTCGAGCACACCAAGCTCAAGTTGAGGTATGCTCCGTTGAGAATGGTCTCTCGCTCCTTCATCTTCTCTGGATCCGTAGACTTCTCGTACTCCAGCACCTCCTCGGCACGCTTGTATTTGTTGTAGGCCAACTTCAAATTGCCTTTTTGCAAATACATCGTTCCACGATCCTTGGCTTGCTTGGCGGCTTCGATTTTCTCCTCTGCACTCATCTCCCAGGTAGCTGGAACCTTCTCGAACTCCTTAAGGAAGATGGTGAACTCGATTGGAGCGTTAGCAGGCATGTTGAATCCTTCTGGTGGAGAGTTTCCGTAGGTGTATTTGTGACCACGGATTTCGATTTTCGACTTCTCGCCAAGCTGGAAACGACGGAGAGCTCTCTCAACTCCTTCTGGAAGTCCTTCTTCAGAACCCTCGCCGATATGGAAAGTGACTTCGCGGTTGTAGATTTCAGTGTCTTGGTATTTTCCAACGCAGTGAGCTGAAAAATCACAATTAAGCTATTTTTAGTTACAATGTTCTTTACTCACCGACAACTTTGCTAGTGTCATTTGGGAACGAGTTCTTAGATCCCTCAACAATAATGGTTCTCAGAATAGTTCCATCGCGGTCTGGAGAGATATCTTCAGCACTCCACTCGAAAAGTTCAACTTCGAAGATCAACGTAGCTCCTCCTGGAATCTTTGGTGGCGATCCAGCATCTCCGTATCCATAATCTGAGCGGATGGTGAACTCGGCGACCTCTCCTTTCTTCATTGTTGCCACTCCAAGATCCCATCCTTTGATCACATTTCCTCGTCCCAAATTGAAAGTGAACTGATCCCCTCTGTCGCGAGAAGAGTCGAATTTAGTTCCATTCTCTAGAGTTCCGACATAGTGAACCTTGACTGTGGTTCCAGTGGTCGGCTTCACGATGCCCTCTCCATTTTTCTTGATAACCTTCAGGACTCCTCCATCTTTCTTTGGGGTGATGTCGATCTTCTCAGCCATGACTAAGGGTAGACGGTTCTGTAAATATTTTGCCTTGTTTGTTAGATAGTTGACAACGGAGCGAAGAAAAAAGAGAAAATTTATTTAACGAAAAGAAAAAAATTTTTTCGGATGACTGAATGGAAGCCTGAGACCTATAATTTTGAAAGAAAAACCAAATTTTCTGAAAAAAAAGTTCTGAAATTCGCGAAACTTTCAAAATGTTTACTGAAATTGTTTCTAAAATTTAAGTTTTTTTGCTCAAAAATGACCTATAAGTCCCTAATTTTCTATTTTCGACTAAAAATACCAAAATTATAGAACATTCGTCTTTCGGACTGACAAAAAGCCTATTATAAGTCCAATTCTAGAAAGTTCCATGCAAGAACCCACGACTCCGAAGCTCTCGAAAATTCTATCCCTTCGTTCGTCAGATCTAATGCTCAGTCCGCAGAGCAGCTCATTCAATTAGTCGTGTTTGCGTACGAAACACATAGAATCGCCGGCGTCGTCGTCGACCGTATCCCGCAAGAATTCAACGGCTTTTCATTGATTTTGTTCGGTTTTTTACGAACCGAAATAAAGATTACACAAGTTTTCAGCTATAAAAATTTCAGTAATTTGCCTCTAACAAACGATATGGGAATCGTCGACGAGTTCGATCATGTGGCGCCACGGTTGAGAGGGAAAAAAGAGGGGTTCGCATAATGACCTAAATTTATCTAGTTCAACTTCTTGCTCGATTTTCAGCACCTTCGCCTACTTCACCGTCCGCGATCGTTGGCCAAAAATTGTGACTAGTCTTGTGGATCAGCTTACACGAAAACGGGATGCTCTTATTGAGAAACACGGAGAGGTACAAGGGTTTTTTGGCAGAAAATTCATATTTCTCTTTTTTTTAGGATGCCAGCGCCGATATTGCAGATATTCTGGAGAAGTTCTCACGTCTTCGGTACGAGATAATGACGGACAAACCGTTGATCAACTTCCCAGAATCTGGTCCGGACGGTAAAATGTGGCATGATTGGATGGAGGAACTCAAAACTGCTGTGATGGTAAGACTGACCTTACCTTCAAAATAATAGTAATTTTCCAGCCAAACGATGTCGAGGAGTTGACCTATTTCAAGGGACCATGGTTGTTTGTAGAGTGTTATCTCTACAGATTCATCTATAGTGCCTTCCTGGCCACCAAGAAGCTGGCTGATATGGACTATTTTGAGGACTCGAAACGGAAGAATTTCCTTGATCAGTAATATAAAAAAGAGTAGGCTTTAAACACAAAAAACCCCAGTTTTCAGCTTGGACCAAGTCGAGGAAGGCGTTGCGTTCCTGATGAAAATCACGGCGAAAGATTCGCCGGCTCATGAGATGTTTGGGATTCATCAAATCATGAAATCCAGTTTGTGGGGGAATCGAGCAGATATGTCGTTGACTGGTGGAGACGATCATACTATGGTAATAATTTGATCGGGAAAATTAGCTGACCGACCGACCGCCGACCAAGCTGGCCAATCGGCCTGAAAATGCGTGCGCCTATTTACCGTCATTCTACAGTATATTTAGCTTTGGGTATCGACGCGAAAGATTTGAATTGAACTGCTGACTCTGCGGGCGAACAGCGCAGAAAAAATATTTTTGAAAACGTTCCGGAACATTTTTGAACTGAATTTTTGAATTTCCGAATTTTCGGATTTCTGAAATTCCGAACTTTTGATTTTTCGAATTTTTGAATTTTCGAATTTCTCAATTTCCGAACTTCTGAATTACTGAATTTCAGAATGTCTGAATTTCCGAGTTTCTGAATTTCAGAATTTTTAAACTCCAGAATTTCCTAATTTCTGAATTTCCGAATTTCTGGATTTCTGAATTTCCGAAAAATCGCCGCTACAGTAATCCGAAAAATCAAAATTGAGAGTTAGAACCGTAGAAAAAGAGCAGGTTTGAAAACAGTAAAATTTAGGCCGGTTTTTTGCTATTCCAGACGCTTTCTTGTAGATTTCCAGTGCGAAATTCAAATTCCTCGCGTCTTTTCACCCAGAACGGATAAATTTTTAACGATTTCAAAAAATCTGTGCATTTAGTCGCCAAATTTGGTGCTTACACAGAATTGAAGTTACAGTAATTCAAACACTACGAATTGAGAGTTAGAGAAGCAAAAAAATGAATTTTTCTGTGGATTTTCATGGGGATTTCGATTTTTATCAAGAAAATTTGTTCAGAAAGCTTTGAAAAAAATAAAAAAAACGTCGGTCGGCGGTCTTCGATGATCGACAAACCTTAATAGAATGTTAATTTCAGAAAATGTCTTCCATCGCTGCTTCTGTGCAACTCAAAGACTACATCCTCATTGACGACGTCAACTGGTTGATGGTCAAAGTGTTGGCACCTCTCCAAGCCAATCCTCAGAAATTGAAAAATCGGCGAATCGATATTGTTTTGGATAACGCCGGTGTCGAGCTGTGCGCCGATTTGATGATGGCTGAATTCTTCCTGGCACGTGGATTCGCTGACAAAGTAGTTTTACATGGAAAAGCCATCCCATGGTTTGTCAGCGATACAACTGAGAATGATTTCAATTGGACCGTGGATTCATTGCATTTGGCTGGGCAACAGAGTGCAAAACTTGGAGAGCAAATTAAGAAACGGGTCGAGAAAATGGAAATAATCTACAAAGCCGGCTTGTTCTGGATCTCACCTCATCCCTACTGTGATATGCAAGAAAAGGCTCCAGAGCTTTATGAGGAGCTGACTACGGTAATAATACCATTCTGTATCTATTAAAAAATAAGATTTTCAGTCATCACTGGTAATTTTCAAAGGAGATCTCAACTATAGAAAACTGGTGGGCGATCGGGATTGGGACCTGAATACATCGTTCAAAAAAGCCGTCCGTGGATTTGATCCATGCCCGATTTTAGCTCTCCGAACTTTAAAGGCCGAGACGATCGCCGGTCTCACCGATGAAGTTCTGAATATTCTGTTGGAGGTAAGAACTGCACGAATTCGGTCAGCGGTCGGTCGACCGGCTAAATTCCATGACTGAATGGAAGTCGATTCGATGAAAGGACAAACACAGATCAAGTTTTTTTTGCAGAAATTTGACGAAGACAACTCATGGATGACATCTGGAGAGTATGCTGTCTGTCAACTCGGCGGCGTACCACCAATTGAAGAATAACTTATTTCACATTGCCTATTCTAAACGTTTTCATATTTTTCTCCACCATCAGAGCTACCTTTTTGCCTGTTATCTTAATTTAAAACCTTCCCCGAGCTAAGAGCTCAGGCATCTCGTTTATATTTCAACCGCGCACGGTATCGCGAACCGGAGACCGCTACGCCGACACGCGACGCGTCCAAATTGGCTCAGGTTCCCGTTCCGCGATGCCGTGTATTGTGACTGTTCCAACCTTTTCTTTACCGTCTCTTTCCTCACCCTAAGGGCTTCTATCTTTTCCTTTCCCTCTCTTATGCATTTTTTTGTGCTTCACATTATTCTCTTCCCGAGCTCTCTGTTTCTTTTTTCATACTGTCTATTGCATCTTGAACCCATCTAGATTAGTTTTTTGCCTCCCTCGCTCCTCCCTGTATACCCAATTTAATATTTATTATTCTTGCAATATAAAAAAAACAATCCCCAAAACAGTTCAGCTATCAAGGAAAATCTGGAAACTGATCCATATTGTCGTGATGGAAATCGGTTGGCGCCAAATCCTCTCGTCCCCATTTGTTGGTGATGTCAGTGATGATTCGATAGTGACAAGTGCTATAAAAACGCTTGGACTACAATTCTAAGGAGCGTCTAAAACTTACTGTCCAATCTCACAAAGTCTGGTGAGGGTCAGAACCAAATCAACTCGCTTCCTATCACTAGTACAATCGTGGCTGATATAGGCAACTGGTTTGTAACCAGCTGAAAAAATCTCATCTCCATTCATCGCGCCAGCCATTGTGAAACTGTATCGTCCAGTGTTGGGTTGGGTCAGGAAGGGTTTCGTAAGAAGTTGACCGGCGGACCTATTGTTGGAATTTAAAAAAAACTGTCACCTACCGTATGCCGGAAAAGTTGGCCCCGCCCACGCAACCCTGCGGCGCGCTTTCTTAAATTTCAGCTTTTTTCTTTGAGAAAAACATTAAAAATGCAATCATGTCGAACAAAAAACTTTCATAGATTTTCGTATATTATCGCTGTCTGGGAAAAAAAGGTTGAGAGCGGAATATCTCGTAAAATTTTTCTTAAAGGCACAAAAGCGGACACTTGAGTATTTTGCGCCTATTTTTATCAATTTTTAGACGATTTTCATCGTTTCAAATTGTCTTTCCTTAATTTACATCGAAAAAAACGATGAAAATCGTGAAAAGTTTAAGAAAATAAGAAAATAACATTTAAAATAAGCTCAAAGTACGGTAGTGTCCGCTCGTGCACCTTTAAGAAAAACTTAGGATTTTGATATCAACTTTGTTTTTCTCAGACAGCGATAATACAAAAAAATGTGAGAAAATTAATAAACGCGCCGCAGAGTTGCAAAATTCTCATGCGGCATTTGCGTCGGCGGAGCGAGCGTTTTTTCTGCACACACTTTAAAGAAACTCACATCGTATCCTTCTCCCACCACTCAATCTTCACATTGTACTTGGTCCGATCGTTGAGTTCGCACAAAAAGGTGATATCGAATTGAAAGTGGTCCCATGATTGGACAGTTGAGAAGAACACTAGAAGAAGAAATACGCAATGTATTCCTCGCATTGTCGTCTGCCTTTTTCCCAGTTTCAGAGAGGTTTCATAGTCTAAGCATTAATCGAATTAAAGAACTTTTATGGGAAAGTCAAATCAAAAAGATTTTAAAAGAAAAATGGATATTATTGTTAAAAAATTTTTTCATAAAAATGATGGGAATCATGAATCATGGAATCGTATGTCTTGATGTTTTCCCTTGAACAATTTCTTGCAAGTATCGCATCAAATCTATTCCTCTTTGTGGTAACGGGAACGGAATCTTCAAAATAAAAATAACATTTCAAACTACCGTAATCCCAAACCTGATTGATCTCAAATTCATGAATTTTCTCAACCAATGGCTCTCCGAATGTGGCACGTCTTCTAGGAGTTTTCACGTCGACGTGTTGTTCAATGAGGAGAGTCTGAAAACAGTAATCGTAAATCTACGGTAGTCTTAAACCTACAATAATCGTAAAACTACAGTAATCTTGAACACACTGCACCCCTCAAATCTACAGTTATCTGAAATATACATAAATCCTTAAATCTACAGTAATCCTGTAATCTCTAATAATTTTGGATCTACAGTAATCCTTAAATCAACAGTAATCTTAAATCAACAGTAATCTTAAATCTACAGTAATCTTAAATCTACAGTAACCTAATACCTTTTCACGTTTCCCATTCTTCAGCAACTCGTTACGATACTCCAAATGGACCTTGACATGTGGTTTTTCGGTGACCGAGATCTCAAACGAAGCAGATGTCGTTGTTGAAGGATCCATGGATTCGAATCGGGTGTATCCTAGAATATCTGGAGTCGTCAGGTTGGCAGAAGACGTGAACGATGAGATGAGAGGATGGCGAACACGGACGGTCCATTTTGCATCGACAACTGTTTCGAGTTTGCTGAAATTTTGGTATTCCAAATGGTTTTTTTTTGTGCATACCCAGTGCGAAACTCAATCTCGCGTCTTTTTACCCCAGAGTCAAACATCTGTGCATTTAGCCGTCAAATTTGGTGCTTGTACAGAGTTTCGGCGCTACAGTTTGGGTAGAGTTTAATGGGGATTTTAGACAGAAAATAACGAGAACTCACTCTATAAACTGTTTGAACGTCATTTGAGTCTTCATCGACATTCGGAACAACGACCGATACTTTTTAGATACACTTTTGACTCCTACAATCGCGTTTCCGATGATGTCAATAGAATCAGAAGACGTCAAATGGTGGCAGAAGACGTGCAGATGGGTTGGGCGTTTGTCCACCATTGGAATCAACTTCTCAACCAGTGCAAGTTCGGAGGCTGAAATGATATTCAGGTCAACTATGAGGTTCCGATATTTGAATTTTTGAATTTTCGAAATTTTAACAATCTTGAATATTAGGATTTTCGAATTCAGAGTTTCAGATTTTTTGTATTTTTGAGTTTTTGAATTTTGAATTTTGGATTTTCGGATTTTCTAATTCCTTTGGATTCAGGCGACCGACCGACCGCCGACCGAGCTGTCCAATCCAACATGTCAGAGAGTGTATGCGTACGCAGCACATCATTTTAGGACGCATTTTCTAATTTTGAGCACTTCAATACTGCGTCCGCAAACACTCTCTGGCATTTCGACGTGCAAATTCAAGTATTCGATCGGCGGTCGGCGGTCGGTCGCTGGTTTTCGACCGACCAAAATGGAAACCTTAATTTCGAGCTTTCACAAACCTCTGGTAGTCTTCGCCCACTTCTTGGATCTCTCAAAAACGTCCCAATAGTCCATCTCTTTCAGAATCTCTTCCGACGAATTCAGAATACGATCCAGAAGAATCACAGCGTGATCTGATTCAACGTCTTTTTTGATTCCGGGACGAAGAAGGTATTCATAATCATCCAAAACGAAATCATCATCTTCATCGGGACGTTCAATTGGGCTAAAGAGCAGTGGCGATCCAACAGCACGGATTTTTTCAACTTTGACGTCTTCGGCTTCATTCGGAGCATCCGGTGGGGATACATACTTTGTGGTTATGAGTTCCAGAGCTTCTAGTTCCGAGAGGGGGCTCGAATCGTCTTCTGTCTCCTTCATAGTTGTTTCTTCTAGTTATTTTTGGTGATGTAAAAATCGAAGAATTTGGAAAAGTGGAGCATCTAGAGATCCAATTGTAGGCTGAAGAGCCAGCCAGCACATGTCATGTGGCAGACGACATACCTTGAGAGCTTATGGTCACGTAGAAAAGTTCATTTTCAGTAACTACGTGGATCTAGGAAACCGATGGGCCAGCTGACTTTGAGCTATTCCCAGAATGCTCCTACTCCTTCCCCTCCTCGTCCCAATCTCCTTCGGATGGCCAATCGAAACCCCCAAGGATCCATATGATCATTTTCAATTCGACCTAACCTTTATCTGTCGGAACCGGGATCGTGCCGAGTATAACTTGGTGATTGAGTGGTGGGAATGGGATTTGTTAACTTGGAACCCATTAGTTAATTGGGGAGATGAAAAAGTCACAAAAACCAAGTTCGTACGAGCTCGTGCTGGTACGTATAGTTTTTCAATGGACGGTGCGATGGATGGAGACGAACCGTGGTCCCGTGGATACGCCGTTTATGCAGAGATCACTCATGATTGTGAGCAACACGGAAGAACTACCAATCTCGAGCTGAAAATCAATAATCGATGCACTGTTGAGCAGTTAGTTGCATTTTAATGATTTTGAAAATCATTTGTGACGTTTTTTTTCAGAAAGTTATGCCACTACCGTATCATTTATGATATCACTGACAAATCTGGTTCCGAATGGATTAATGCTAACGGACTCCGAGAAGGCCCATATATACCATTTCCAGATTTCAAGCCGGATCTCATCAAATAGTTCTAAACTTATTTTGCTTCTAAATGCTAGTAAATATATTTTTTTCTAATTTTTTTTGAGTTTTTTGTCATTCATAAGAATTCATGAAATCTATGGATTCATGGAGTACAAAGATATATGAATTAATGGAAATATATGGATTCATGGAATTTTGGATTCTTGGAAACTATGAGGTCATAGAAGTTATGGAATTCATTTATGGATACTATGGATTCATGAGAATTATAGATTCGTGAATTCATGGAAACTACAGAGTCATGGAATTATGGATTCATGGAAATCATGGAATTATGTAATTCATAGGAAATATGGATTTATGGAAACTATGGATCCATGGATTTCATGGATTCAGAAATACACGAAAACTATGGATTCATGGAATCTATGGATTCATGGAATTCATGGATTAATGAAAATCTTGGAACAACTATGGATTCATGGAATTCAGAAAAACTATGGGGTTATGGATTCATAGAAACAATGGATTCTTGGAATAACTATGGATTCATGGAATAATTATTGATTCCTGACAACTATGAAGTCATGAAATAACTAGGGATTCATGGAAACTACGGTTTCATGGAATTCATGGAATAACAGTGGTTGCATAGAATTTATGGAAACTATGGGTTCATGGATACTTTATTGTCATGGAATTATGGATTCTTGGATATCATAGAAAATATGGATTCATGGAATTCTTCAAGAATTGGGGATAGACCTTTTTGTTGGCAGAGCGTCACAAATCTTCTGGTATCATAGTGATGCCTCACGTAAAAAAGGCTACCTGAATTTACGTGGCGCTACTTACCGGCCGAGAGAACCTTTAGAGCTCACATTGTACCGAGTCATCATGCTGCTCACCTTTTTTCCAATGCTCTTCTGGGGTGCTCCATATGAGCATTTCCAGTTCGACTTAACAATCACATGTAGGATTCTAGGCCGTTCTGAATTTAACTTGTTTATTGAGTGGTGGGAGTCGGATGTCTTGTAAGTTCAAAACCGAAACCAAACCGTCAACTTTGAGCTCACTTATCTCAATTCCTGTGAGAGACTTCAAAAATTTGTCAACTGATAAAGTATGTGTGATATTATGATAAACATTTTGTCAGTAGACAGATTTTAAATATCTCGCAAAGGAACCGAGATAATATAAGTTGAAGTTGACGGCTTCAGTTAAAGGAACTATGGTACGTATTGAAGTTAGAAAACAAGTGATTTTTCTCACAGTGTTTCGGATGAACAAATCACAAAGTTGAAGTATGTCCGTGCTCATATAGGTTCCTATAGTTTTTCGATCTATGGTGCCATGAATGGAGACGAACCATGATCGAATGGATATGCACCATATGCTGTGATCACTCATGACTGTAATAAATATGGACTTCCCACTGAACTCGAATGGAAATTGTTAAATCGATGCTCTGTCGGACAGTAGGAGGCCTTTGGATCCTTCAATTTCGAGAAATTTGGATTTTCAGAAAATTCTGCCACTACCGTATCATCTACGACATAACTGATAAATCTGGTTCTCATTACATCAATGCTGATGGATTCCGTCAAGGCCAATATATACCATTTCCGGATTTCAAACCAGAGATACCCCAAATTACATTTCGTTTTCCGAAAGAAGATTATTAGTGTTCTGCTCTACATAATAAATTTATCTCCCTTTTTTGGGCACATAATTGAGCTAGATGTATATGCTTTCGCTCTTGTTTCGCACAAATCACACTTTTCGTCTCTAAAATTTTTTTGTGAGAAGCCGTTGAGATTTCGTGCTTTTTGTGCTTTCTGAAAGATCTATATACTTATTAGAGCGGAAAGTTCAGTGGAGATAGAAAAAAGTAATCAGTAATTAGGAATCATGTGAGAATTGGAATGTGAGAATTCTGAAAATTTGAAAATCGAAAGTTTGAAAAAGGACATTTGAAAATCGAAATTCGAAGAGAATGGAGTACCTAGAAAGCTAAAAATCAAATTGAAGATAAATCCGAAAATCTGGAAGGCTGAAGATGTTGAATTTTGAGAAAAATAGAAATCCGGCATTCTGAAAACTAGGGAATCTGAAAATTCAAAAGAGTCGGGTCATGTAATTTTCAAATGATCTCAAAAATCTGAAAATTTGAAATATCGAAACTTAAAAACCAGGGTGTCAAAAAACTCGTAGACTGAAAATAGGAAATCCTCAGAACTCGAAAATCTGGAAAACTGAACTTCGAGCTCAATTATCTCGGTTCCTATGGAAGATCTCAAAAATCTGACAACTAATAAAATGTAGATGATATTATGACGAACATTTTATCCATTGATTGCTTTTTGATATCTTTTACAGGAACAAAGATATATGGGCTCAACGTTGACAGTGCGGGAGCCCTTCTATTACCGGTTTTACAGTAATTTTAATGATCTTGAAAATCTGGCAAATAGAGAACCTGGGCATCTAGAAATTTGAAAGCATGAGCCAACAAAACCTGAAAATCTGGAATCCTCCAACCCCAAAATCTTGAAATCTGGATCTCGGAGAATCTGATGGTTTATGCCAAACTCTACAACCTGGAGCCATTTTTACTTTCCGCTCTCCATCTGACACCTTATCCCAAAGTTCACCTATACACTACGAAAGCTACACTTTCCGTCGCTTCATAAGTGTGCCAAAAGTTCATTTTCTACTCCATTTGGCTTTCTCATAGTCACACTTTTCTCTTCTATATGAAACATGATCGGCTTCTCTTTTTTCGTGTGGTTTGTGCCTCGCGTTGCTAAGCTCGTTAGTCATGTTTCGATGAAAACCCAAAACCTAGAAACTACCTGAAAGCTCAAGAATCTCAAAAGAAAAAGAAAAACACGAGCGCGGTTTTGCAAATTTTTTATTGACAGGTTCTTTATTTCACAACTGTAGAAATAAATCACAAAAATCGAGAAACGATTTATTGGGCCGGTGCCTTGAAGGTGACGCACGAGTTGCGGATCTTCCATTGTCCTCCCTCCTTGACCCAGACGGTGAGAGACCATCCGACCTTGTCGCCAGTTGGCAACTTGACGTTGAGAGTGCACCGCTCGATGCAGACGTCTCCGATTGGAGTGACCTCGTCGATGGTGACCTTGAAGTCGGCCTTGGCGAGAGCAGCCATCTTGTCCGATTGAGAGAACTTGGCAGCCTCGGCAGCATTGGCTGGCTCGTGGAGTGGTCCCATGAAGATGGCATCCTTAGCGGCATACTTCTTGGTGAACTCCTCGTGCTTGCCCGAGGTCTTCAAGGCACGCATGTCATCGTGGATTTTTTGGAATTCTTCCTTCGCTGGAATATTCTTCATTGGGGAAAGTCAACCTACAAGATCCTCTAGTTTTTTCTATGGAAGAAGTTAGTTAAGAGCAGTCTTTCTAGGCTCTGTATAATATAATTTTTTGGTTAAACTTACACATTGTTGAACGGCAGTAGAAGCTTGAGAAGACGGCGTCTCTCGGAGAACAGCTACTGGTGAAGCTCAGTATCTTTTCGTGTCTCTTTTATACATTTGAGGTTGCTATGGACTAACGAGCTTAGCAACGCGAGGCACAAACCACACGAGAAAAGAGAAGCCGATCATGTTTCATATAGAAGAGAAAAGTGTGACTATGAGAAAGCCAAATGGAATAGAAAATGATTTTTTGGCACACTTATGAAGCGACGGAAAGTGTAGCTTTCGTAGTGTATAGGTGAACTTTTGGGATAGGGTGTCAGGTGGAGAGTGGAAAGTAAAAATGGCTCCGGTTGTAGAGTTTGGCATATTAAAATTACTGTAAAACCGGTAATAGAAGGGCTCCCGCACTGTCAACGTTGAGCCCATATATCTTTGTTCCTGTAAAAGATATCAAAAAGCAATCAATGGATAAAATGTTCGTCATAATATCAGCTACTTAGTAATTAGCTAATTAGTTGTCAGATTTTTGAGATCTTATAGAGATTTTTGAGATCTTTTTCAAATTTTCAGATTTTTGAGATCATTTGAAAATTACATGACCCGACTCTTTTGAATTTTCAGATTCCCTAGTTTTCAGAATGCCGGATTTCTATTTTTCTCAAAATTCAACATCTTCAGCCTTCCAGATTTTCGGATTTATCTTCAATTTGATTTTTAGCTTTCTAGGTACTCCATTCTCTTCGAATTTCGATTTTCAAATGTCCTTTTTCAAACTTTCGATTTTCAAATTTTCAGAATTCTCACATTCCAATTCTCACATGATTCCTAATTACTGATTACTTTTTTCTATCTCCACTGAACTTTCCGCTCTAATAAGTATATAGATCTTTCAGAAAGCACAAAAAGCACGAAATCTCAACGGCTTCTCACAAAAAAATTTTAGAGACGAAAAGTGTGATTTGTGCGAAACAAGAGCGAAAGCATATACATCTAGCTCAATTATGTGCCCAAAAAAGGGAGATAAATTTATTATGTAGAGCAGAACACTAATAATCTTCTTTCGGAAAACGAAATGTAATTTGGGGTATCTCTGGTTTGAAATCCGGAAATGGTATATATTGGCCTTGACGGAATCCATCAGCATTGATGTAATGAGAACCAGATTTATCAGTTATGTCGTAGATGATACGGTAGTGGCAGAATTTTCTGAAAATCCAAATTTCTCGAAATTGAAGGATCCAAAGGCAACCTACTGTCCGACAGAGCATCGATTTAACAATTTCCATTCGAGTTCAGTGGGACGTCCATATTTATTACAGTCATGAGTGATCACAGCATATGGTGCATATCCATTCGACCATGGTTCGTCTCCATTCATGGCACCATAGATCGAAAAACTATAGGAACCTATATGAGCACGGACATACTTCAACTTTGTGATTTGTTCATCCGAAACACTGTGAGAAAAATCACTTGTTTTCTAACTTCAATACGTACCATAGTTCCTTTAACTGAAGCCGTCAACTTCAACTTATATTATCTCGGTTCCTTTGCGAGATATTTAAAATCTGTCTACTGACAAAATGTTTATCATAATATCACACATACTTTATCAGTTGACAAATTTTTGAAGTCTCTCACAGGAATTGAGATAAGTGAGCTCAAAGTTGACGGTTTGGTTTCGGTTTTGAACTTACAAGACATCCGACTCCCACCACTCAATAAACAAGTTAAATTCAGAACGGCCTAGAATCCTACATGTGATTGTTAAGTCGAACTGGAAATGCTCAGAAGAATTCCATGAATCCATATTTTCTAGGCTTATGCTGAAATGCCCTGTTTTCCTTCCACTGGAACACTTGCATTTGCCATCAACTTTAAAACATTCGGCTGTATATGCCATATTTTCACCGGCCCAGTATCCGAGGATACATCGGGAAAGAGTACATCTACTTCTTAGAGTACATTGATTCCTAGCATACATGGGATTTTGTAGTACATGCGGGAGGGCGAAGTTTTCCTACTGACTATTTAGCTTTTGTTCTAAATCATAGGCTCAAGCTAAAACGACCTACACCCAAGATCCCATTTACCCTCTGAACCTATGTACCCTAAGAACTCAGAGTACCCTCAACGTACCCTTTTTTAATGTACCCTTCGATCTTGGATTCCCCACAAGATGAGGGTAATAAACATTAACGTTCAAACCTCTCTCAAGCTTGTCTCTAGTCTCAAAATGTTTCCACTTTCTTCAAAATCTGTTTTAAAGCTACATTGGTTTATTGAACGATAAAGAATGATACAATAGAGGGGCTTTTGTACTGGTTACATGATAAAGAATTTAATCAAAGAAGGTGATTGCGGGGGATGCAATGCACATTCCCCCGGTGAATCACCACCAGGAAAGTGCGATTTAGCACACTCCCGGCTTTAGAGAAAGAAAGACACAACGAAAATTAGAATTAGTTGTCCATTGGCCCATTTTGTACTGACGAACTGATTGACTACGTCTTCGGCCTCCAGTGGCCTATTGTAGTACTGTTCTGCGTCACGATGTTGTTGTCTTTTCCCGTATCGTCGTGGCGAGCGTTTAAAGAGTTGACATCTACGGGTTTCCATGATTCTGCTGGATGCGTTTCGTAATGTCGTTAACGTCGCGTCTTCGTGATCTAACACTTCTGTGGTCGGAGCAAGAAGTTAAGTTCTTCTTCGTTGTTGCTTATCATAAAAATAAGACTTACGGTTTGAACATTCCATATTGTTCGGAAATGAGCTGCAAGCTCGGGTGCAACTGATACCTGACGTGCTAAGACCACTGTCTTATAGCTTTCTTGCCCTCGTTCAGATGCGTCAAATGTGATCGTCCTCACCAAGTCCCGACAACTTTGTTCGAATGACTTAGACCTGCTAATCCTGTGTCCACCAGCTCCCCAAGTCTCAAGTATGCCAATGACTTTGTTGACTATATCAGGAGATGCCAATCATCTGGTACTGCATGCCGCTTGCGATACAGAAGTGAATATTCCAACAGCGATGATAAAAGAATAGAGGTACCAATGTAGAAACCTGCCACGCGGGACTTTGAGCGGCCGGGGTTTTCAACCCACGATGCACCATGTTTTAAAGCTACATTGGTTTATTGAACGATAAAGAATGATACAATATAGGGGCTTTTGTACTGGTTACATGATAAAGAATTTAATCAAAGAAAGTGATTGCGGGGGGATGCACATTCCCCCGGTGAATCACCACCAGGAAAGTGCGATTTAGCACAAAATACAAAATAATTTGAAAACTATGAACATGTCTGAAAACGACGACAAATCAGTTGTTCAAATGCTGATTACAGCGAAGTACAGCCAGGAGGAACACTGGCCACAATTTATGATGAAAATTTCATCGCACAAAATTTTTGGATTTTAATGTTTTTCAATATCCTTAAAATCCAAAATTTTCTTCAAAATCCAAAATTTTATTTAAAATCCAAAATGTTTTTCAAAATCCAAAAATAATTTTAAAATCCAAAATTTTTATTAAAATCCAACATTTTCTTCAAAATCCAAAATAACCAACTAGAGCCGAAATAACTATCAACTACTTGTCGCCAACATCCGCACAAAAAATGGGTTCCGCTGTGGGAAAACTTCACTGGCTGTGACTCAAAGTAGGCGACAACCCATTTTTCGGTCTCAACTCGGCTTTCGGAGTGGTTCTCGACTAATGAGGGTTGCATAGATCTGAATGAGTAGACATCGGAAGGTGCTAAATCAGGGCTATTTGGCGGATGAGGAAGAACTTCCCAGCCCCATTCCTCGATTTTCTGCTGAGTGACTTTGGACACTTGCGCATTATCATGAAGGAACTTTGTCGTTGGTGTATTCACACCTTGACGTCTCAACGTTTGCTGCATTTGGCCCAATTATCATTGATAGAGTTTAGTAGTGGCTGTTAGACCTTGTTCCAGAACTTCAAAATGTACAAGACCCTTGCTCTTCTACCATACACATAGCATCACCTTATTTCCGTGTATCTCTCGTTTCGAGTTGTTTTGGCCGGTTCTACGGGGGAGAACCATTGTCTATTTTAAGTAGTATTATCGTATTGAATCACTTTATCATCCAACGTAACAAGAGAATCAAGAAAGGCGATATTCTTCGAGCGAAGAAGGAGAATTTCAATTAGTGCGAGGAGAGAGTTGTTGTGGGAAAAAGTTTCCAGTTGTTGTGGGAAAAAGGAAAAAGTTTCCAGTTGTTGTGGGAAAAGGAAAAAGTTTCCACTTGTGAAAATGGTTTTCGATGGTACCATTAGTACAAGGAAACTGTACTGCAAGACTTCGAGTCGTTTGACAAGAATCCGATTCGTTTGCGTCCCTCAGGAGTTCATTGTTAATGATTTTTTGTCGAACTGTGTGTTCACGGTCTTCCAAGCTTTCATCGTCATTATGAAAACGTTGAAACCAGCGTAGGAATTGGTTCTCTTATAGAAAATAATGTTTGAATACTTTTGAGAGAGAAAGAAGACCTTGCGCGGCATTTTTCATCTACTTAAATGTGTACTCTGCAGCGCATTTTTTTAGAACGAGATTTTCTAAACAAAATTCCCAATTGAAAGAACGAAATGACGAGTTAATATTATATATTAAACGATGCGCAAAGAAACGCTCTTTTGGATGAAAAAAAAAGAGGGAGCAGAAATGTTTTCTGGATAGAGAAATACGTCCCGACAAACGCGCCGCGCATTATTTTTTAGCCAACCTAGTAGTTTTCATTGAGCTAACTAGTTTAAACTCTTCCTTCTTAACATTTCATCATCTCTTGATTCTAACTTTTTCTGCAAAATCCGAATTCTTCAAATCCAATAAAATCTATATAGATTTTTAGGGAACATGTGGCTATCTATTTTCCTTCCTATCCCTCTCATTCCACCAATTGTTCTCCGGAAATAAATGATTGCAAGGAAAAGAAGATATAATGAAAAAATTGGAGGAGTCAGGTGTTGGGGATGGACTGAGAGAAGAGCATGATGAGGCGATGGATCATTTTGAATTTTCGGCCCTGATAGTCCGAGGCCGAAATGCTAGTTCTTCTTTTTTTATTAACAACTTCGACTGTGATTGCCAATAATGTGATACATATCCAATACTTTCGGGTAAGACATGACAGGAAACCTAGTAGCTATTAAAAAATTATTTTTAAAAACTAGTCCCTCATTTTTCAGAGACCCGAGGAATATGGAGTTTTCCATTTTCATTTTGGAAATGGAACTAAAGGTTGGGAGAGCTTCATTTACATGAACAAGTCTGTCAATCTTCGAGAAGAGGAAATCTACAAAATCGTAAAACCATTTTTTGAAGGTAAGTTTCGGGCGATTTTGAAATTAAACAACTCATCAATTCAGAAGCTCCTTCCACTCGCAGATATGAGTCATCGTCTATCACCAGACATCTAGGAAAACAATTCGAATACGTTTTGAATCGATATCCAGTTCATGAGATTATTTTTGTGAGTTTTTCGTTTATCAGTGTCCACCCGACTAGAATCCACCCGACTAGCATGGGCCGGCCGCGGCCGGCCGCGATCGGCCTTGTTGAAATCACACAGCCTTCTTTCAGGAAAACCTCTGCAGTCAAATGAAGCCCAAGTTCTCGGCTCTCCTAACTTCCATTCCCTCCCAAACCCCTCAAAAAATCAAATGGATCATCGAACATCCATCTGCATTCTTCCTCGTCCCTTACGGATTTACAAAACGTGTTGGAAGAGAGGAATATCGATTGGAAATCAAAGGAAGAGCTTCTCTGGATGAGGATAACTTTGATTACGATGCTTTGCAAAATGTAAGAATTTTGAGTTTTAGAATTTTTGAAAATCGAGTTTTCAGACCCAGAAACTCATCATCAAGAATGAGTCGCACATGAAAAATGGGGTCACCGGGGAGCACTTGCTGAAAATTAAGGCTCCAGAAGTTCTGATAGAAGGATGGAATGCAGTGACTTCAGATGATTTGAATCAGTTTGCCAAGGTATGAAAAAAAAACTCCCATTTCGGTCGGTCGACAATGGGCGGCCGACCGAGCGGGCCGATCAAAATGACAGGAGTGAAGCGCCTACTGACCGGTCAGCGGTCGGTCGACGGTCGATCGGCGGTCGGTCGGAGGTCGCGCTATTTTCGATCAACCGTAATGGGAACCTTTTATTCAAATTTTAAAATTAATTTCTAGGAATGGCTCAATGGAGATCGAGAGATCAAAAAATGGATTGTGCACCTGGCTGATAAGCCTCAGGCTGAGCAACTATATTTTGAGAAAAATGAGACTACTCTTGACATTCTTTTGAAAAACAATCGTTTCGAAATGACGACGTACAAAACTCCGGAGGATCGAAAATATCAATTCAGTACTGTACGGGAAGATTCTGGCTCAGGAAGCCAAAACCAGCATAAATTCTTTCCATGACTAGTTTGTGTTTCAATTTTTATTTTTATTTTTAATCTATGAATGTTCTTTTTTACATTTCTGCAAATTTACAATAAAAAGAAAATAATAGCAAACAAAATGAGAGTAGAGATCAATAGAGGAATACTGTAGTTAGTAGGTTCTGGTTTCGAAGTGGTCGCCTTTCTGACACGCTGATCAATAGTCAAAATCGCATTTTTGGCACCTTGCCAAGTGTGTGGACCAGCCAATCGATAGCAATATCCCGCATTTGGGCCAAAGAAAAGACGAAGCCCAAGAATTGGATCAGTGAGGAGAGTTCTGAGAATCGGAACTTGACATCCGATGAGTTCAGCGAGCTCATCCATATATGGAATATAATCCACTTGAATTGTGTGTCTTCTGGATTTCACAAATTGCTGAGCCATCGCCTCCTTCTTGTTGGCAACGTCTTCAGACATCTGATTCTTCTTCGGAATGATTTGATTCCCAGAAAACAGGTTAGCATAAAAGACACGTGATTGCTGCTCGGATACCGGCATGATAGATCCGAATGGTTGAATCAGACCAATAATACAAAGCGAGTTGTGATCCGACGTAGCCACTGGGAACATATATTTGAACAGGTCCCCTCATTCTCCGTGACTGGGACCAGCTTTCCTTTTTCGATCAAATCAAACTCGAACGAGAATCCAGTCGACATGACGACTTCATCGACGTGGGGAACTACAGTACCATCTTCAAAATGAATGGAGTATCCGTCGAATTTCTTGATGTTTGGCTTTATTCTGACAGTTCCATTGGCAATCCGATTGGGGAGTTCATCGTTGAGAGATGGATGGGCGGAGAACACACGATGGGAGGGTTTGAGTCCATAGAGGTCGTGGTCCACACGTTGGTTGATACGATACTCGACGAGGGAGTTAAGTATGGATTGTGGGAAGAGTTTGTACAGCGAGAAGAAGCGTCTGCAGACATATGGAATGTGTTCAGAAATTAGGTTTCCATTCGGTCGGGAAGTTTAGCCGACCGACCGACCACTGACCCAAATGACCCAAACGACCGACCAAAATGGAAGCCTTATTTAGAAAGGTTCATTATCACTTACGTATTCATGATAACATCAAATGGGAGACCACGAGTCTCCAACTTTGGAATCAACCAAGTTCCTCTTCTAGTCACTAGATACACCTGCTTTGCGATTCTCGACTGCTCCACAGCAACATCAATACCCGAATTTCCGATTCCAACGACAACTACAACCTTATCTTCATATCCCTTGTGATCTTTGCAGTCATGAGAATGAACAATTCTTCCCTTGAATTCGTTTTGCCCTTTGAATGGAGTGGGCCAGTGAGGGATAGCATGATGGCCAGAGCATACGAGGACTCCATCGAACACATCTTCAAGGACTTTACCTTCTCTGAAACTAGCGATCATGAGTTTTAGATTCTGGGGATATGGGAAACTAACGGATTCTGATAAGTGACCTTCCAAGTTCCATCAGTATCATATTTTTCTGATCTTTCGATGTTTAGAACTTTGTGACGAATCTTGATATGCTTCATGAGCCCATGGTGTTCAGCATAAGCCTTCAGGTAGTTGAGCATCTCATTGTTGTGCATAAAGTTTGCAAGAGTCTCCTGTGGTGGGAAATCCGAGTAGGCAGTCATTTCTTTGGAGGTGTTGATTACAGTAGTCTTCATAACGGAAGATTCTGTAAGTAAAAAATTTAAAACTTCCTTGATTCAAGAATACGAATCCTGATATAGAATATGAATAGTTGCCTACCTTTCGTGTCATGAGATTTGTATCTCCATAGTCCACCAACATCATCCGACGCCTCAAAGCATGTCACATCCGCACCATACAGTAATCCATGCCAAATAGAAGGCAATCCAGATGCTCCAGCTCCAATCACAGCAACTCGTTTGGTGCCCATTTCGACCTACGATTCAATTTCTCTCTGAACAGTTTGTCCTTTTGTACTCAACCTCAAACTGTTCAATGCTCACAAGCCATGTGGTAATTTTGACCCGTATGAAACTACAAAGACCTACCGGCCGGGAAGACAAGAAAAACTGTTCAATGGTCATGGTATCATAGTTGGGGAACACGTGTGGGTGAAAGAAGATTTTGATCACTGTTGATTTGATTTCACTCTATTTTTGAGTACGACCGGGTACGATCATTGAACAGTTTGAATGTTGCAAACTAAGACAAAACATACAGGACAGAAAATACGGTTGAAATTGTTTTTAGGTAAAGGGAAACTTGAAAGTGAAAAATGTTAATAATGAGAAAGGGACGGTTAAAGGGACATCATTCATTGATACAGTATCACTATGAATACTTTATCGTCTAATGATAAGATATACATCTAAATAGTAATAAAAAGAAAAAAAAGTACGATTCAATTTATTACGAGCTCTACAATACTGGTTCTCATGCAGAGGACGATCTCCCCAGCTAAGAATTTGAGCTGCAAGTGTTTCGTTCAGCGGATCTCGGTTGCGCGGTGTCCATTTTTTTGAAAAATGTGACCCAGAATTAATTGGGTATTTCTGAAAATATATAATCACGGCTGAAAATCGGTCTTGTTTGCCAGAAAATAGAAAAATTTGGGTATGCAATTATTTATCAAAATTAAACCAGGATTCAAGTTTTCAACAAATTCCAGTATGACGGCAAATCTGATTGTAATGTGCGAAAACGGAAGACACCCCTGACCCAAAATCCTTGTAGCCACCACTATGCACTCCAATCACGTAGTATCGACGATTCTCATAGTGTATTACACTTCCTCCACTGTCTCCCTTAAATATATTTTTGACACTTTCGTCAAGGATATGAATATCAAACCGGTCGTGTATCGACTCTCCAGTTTTGTCCATTGAGATTCATAAAACGTCCTTCATTGTAGTAATGAATGATCTAAAGATCTTCGAATTCGGTTGTCATGGAAACATATGTATCTTACTTGAAAAACTCCGTTTCTCAGCATATAGGTTCCTTGACCGTCGTTGTTATCATAGTACCAGCCTGCGATATGAAAAAACAAAGAAAATTTAGTTCAAAAAACTAACTGCTATGACCATATGCAGTTATTTGAACTTAAATATTTATTGCTTGAAAGTTGGGATTGTCTGAAATGAATACATTGATAAGATGATCATTTGGGGTTACTCACTCGAAACGCAAGCGGGGTAGGCGTAATCATCAAGTTGGATATTCTCATACAAGAATTTTTGTTGGAAGCAATAAGTCATCATAATGATCTGAATATGTTTCTTTACAGATGTCGCATTTGGACAAGTGATCTGTTTCCAGTATTCCGATTGAAATCTAAAAAAGACCTGAAATCTTACCCGGGACACTTTGTTTGAGAGAAGTTTTGCGTGCGAGTTTTCAATATTGAACCAACTGCTGTCTGGGTATAAAATCCAATCATAACCACTGAAAATGAAAACATGAAACGTAGAAACTAGCTCCAGTTTCCGAAGAATCTGTTTTTGCTACCAAAACCATCAAAAGTTTTTTGTATAGAATTTTAAAAACATACGAGCATGTCTGATTCGCTTTCTGAAGTGTGTAATCATACTCCGATCTATCTTTCATAAGACAATGAGAAGCAGTGAGAATGTGTCTTGGTGAAATGATTGTCCCAGAACACAATCGCGTCGTATATACTACACGAACAGCCCATGGAGCTGCATTGCCATCAATTGGTTGTCCACCGGCAATTTCTTAAATGAATAAGTAGACTATTGATAATTGAATCATTGAACTCACTGCGACTTCTCGGATGATATGGCTTCGTTCCGCAATAAGATTTCAAGTTTAGATTTTCTTCCGGACTCAGACGATGGTCACACCATATTCCTCCAAAGAGAAAGAATATGAGAAGAAGACGGATCATAGGGAAATATGTAACTGGAAATACTGAAGGAGATGGTTTCCTTTTATAGAGAATATGTAAATCGAATTATGGTTTTCTTATATGGACATGGTGGGCGTTCGAGGATTTTTTTTATAGTTTTGTATGAAAATATTATTTTTCGATTTGGGAAAAACTCCCTGAACAAACGGATGATATACGGTATCATAATAAAGGAAAGGCTGATGATGGAAAAATCTTAAATAATCCAGTTATCCTTCTATTGATCAATTAATCAAAAAAAAAGGCTCTAGCCCGGTTTTTTATATTTACAAATTATGGATAGTTTTGGATCAGTCAAAAAAAATTAATGGAAATTCATTGAATCCACATTTTCAGCAAATCCCAGTATGATGACAAATCTGACTGTAATGAGCGTACACAGACGTTGCTTCGGAATAAAAGTCTGTTTGAGAGGCTGTGCTGATGGATCCGATTGTGTAGTACTGACCATTGACATAATGAATAACACTTCCTCCACTATCTCCCTGAGTTTGAACATTTGAAGTTATTATAAGAAAGAAAATTCAAACCGGTCGTATTTGGTCTGCCCATTTATCACCGCTGATTGCAATAAACCTTCCTTCCTTGAAGCCACCAATGATCTGAAAATAGAATTCTGTTTTTGGAGTAGTTTCTTTTTTTAAGGTCAGCCTTTCATTTTCAGATGAACAGTCTTTCTTTCTTTAAAAATTGTTTCCTTACCCGGAAAGTTCCATCTCTCAGTAAACTGGTTCCTTTACCATCAGAATTATGGAAATCCCAACCTATAATCATAATTTAGAAGAAACCATAGTTCAAGATACTGACTATTATGCCCATATGCAGTCACTCTGACTTCTGTATCCAGTGATTGGAATTCCAGATTGTCTTAAATCAAATAATCGATACCTGTTCATTGGAAGTCACTTACTCGAAATGCAAGCCGGGAAGGCGTAATCATCAAGTTGAATACTCTCTTTGAGCTCCCATATCATCATGTCATCGTATCTGAAGGTTGCTTGTGGATAACAGTAATTCGAGAAGACGATCTGAAATACGTTTGGCACATTAATTATCAGTATTCGAACGGTCTTACCTTGAACACTCTGTCCGAAAGAAGCGCTCCATATGAGTTTTTGACGCTGAACTCATTGTTGTCTGGGTATAAAATAAGATCATTGCCGCTGAAATTAAACATATTGCAAGCAAGAATTTGTTTCCAAAAACCTACTCGCATTCTCTCCTTAGCCGTTTTAGACTTTCACTGAATTCCGCTGAATTTTTCATTAGACAGTGAGAAGCGCTCAAAATGTGTCGTGGCGATATCATTGTCGCAGAGCACCAACTACTCGGATACTGTATGTAAACAGCCCATGGAGCTTCTTTACCAGAAATTTCCCTTCCACCGGCTATGGCTTAAATTTATCACTCGACCGTAGTTTTTCAAATCTTTACCCACGCCGTCTGTCAAACTTTCCCTGATGGCTTGGTTTTGTTCCACAGTAAGCTTTCAGGCTTTGATTTTTTTCCGAGTTCAGACGATAGTCACACCATATTTCTTCGGCTAGAAAGTATAGTAAAAGAAAGAAGAAATACATTTTTAAAAAATGAAACTACAGATTGCAGAAGGTGTTATTTTATAGGAGCGGTGTGGAACTATTATATTTCCTCTACTTTTAAAAAGTAAGCATTGGGGGTGGTGATGTATTTATTTTTGTTTGGATACAGTTTAGGTTGTACTTTTTAACGACTATGTAGAAATTACCGGATGATGATAACGCTAACTTCCTGTCAACAAGTCTGATAAAATGTGTGAAATGATATCAAATGTGTTTTTTTTAATATTTTTTCTCCAATAGACACATGTTCTCGTGAGTCGCCGGCAAATTCTAGCAGTTTTTTGTTGAAATTTGATGTTTGTTTGCTCACTGGTTTCATTCATATACAAACTAATTTATTAGTACTAATCAAGTCTAATAAAAATAATTTTCACCTTCGAAGACTATTCAAACTCTCATAAATTAATGATTTCCCTTCGTGTCCCACTGGTGTATATACTTCTGGAGAATACGAGGAAACGTTCCTGACGTCTTCTGATGTAGGCGTGATATACATTTCCACTCTGGTCTGAGCGTGATGAAGTTGTATGCAATGATGGATGCAGCACAGATGTACTCGAGTATTCCATCCGAGAATGGGACTGTAACCTTGTGAAAATGCAATTAGAGCTTTGAAGTTTTTAACTTTACCATAAGCATGACATCTCTTGACCTTGAAAAAGTCCAACCATTTTAAAACCACATGCGGAAAACATGCGGAGAATGCCACAAAGAATACTGATTTGATGTAGAAGCGAGGAGTTTGTATCTGAAAGTTTCCAATGAATACTGTACTAGTGATTCGAAAAGCTTACAAAAACCAATCTTCCGTCGTACGCATCCAGAAGAAGATCACACAACATTTCTAAAAATGTAAACACTCCGACCATCACATATGCGTACGGCTGGAAAAATGCAACTGGAAATGTACTAATATAGCAGGATGATATATTTTTCAAACTTACGATACACAATGTCAAATTCCGAGTGTATGGAGGTCATCAGGAAAAGAGATACTGATTGCAGGCAAGAGAGCCATGGTGCCATAGAAAGAAGTAATTGGATGGAACGAGGAAATGAGGTTTTTCGGCTGGTAAGGACGTCAGAGGAGCGGATTAAAGCCAGTGACTGGAAGTTTTAACGAAAATATTAGGTTGGCGGGAAAGTCTTTGTCACTTTTTCAATAGTTTATTTCTCAAAGAAAAAATAACCGAATAATTAATTATATTGTCCATCATTATCAACAACATGTCTCCAACGTTCCCTCAATTTATGGATTCCATTGCGGTAGAATCCAGCCGGGCGTGAGGCAAAGTATTGTTTGAGTGCCGCTTCGACCGCTCCACGGGAATTGAAGCTTCTTCCTTCGAAGGCACGTGTCATATCGCCAAATAACCAATAGTCGGAAGGAGCAAGATCAGGAGAATACGGGGGGTGAGGGAGAACATTCCATCCATATCCCATCAGCTCCTGCTTCACTTGTTTCGAAACATGTGGGCGAGCGTTATCATGTTGATAGTACACTTTCTTGTCTTTCAGGGCCGAACGGTCGACTGCTTTCTTGAGGTTTCGTAGTTGAGTAGTGTAGAGGTCTCCAGTTATTGTTTTGCCCTCGGGCAGAAGTTCCCAGTAGATGGGGCCGTCCACTCCCCACCACACAGAGAGCATAACTTTTTTCGGATGAAGGTCGGGTTTTGGGACATCCTGTGGGCTCTCTCCTTCTCCAATCCACTGGGATTTCCTGTGGTGATTATCGTAGAAGACCCACTTCTCATCTCCGGTTATTAGCCGGTCCAGCCATCGATCGCCCGCGTGGAGAGTGAGAAGAGTAATCGAATCGTCGACTCGGCGGTCAAGGTTGGCTTGAGTCAGGTGATGAGGTATGAATCGACCAAAAAGTTTTCTCATTCCAAGAGACTTCAAACCTTCAAGGACTGTGCTATGGTGAACTCCGAATGTGACAGCTAGTTCACGGCTAGATTGAAATGGATCCGATTGCAATGCGTGCTTCAGCTTGTCCAAATCCAACTCACGGGGTCTCCCAGAGCGATCCTTTTCATCGAGCGAGAAGTCATCTTTTTCGAAACGATGGAACCAATTGCGAATAGTATTGTAGTGAGGGGCATGTGTGTTGTACACATTCTTCAAGAAAGTTTCCGAATCCTTCATCGTGGTGTGAGATAGGAAGAGGTAAATCAAAACATGTCTGATGTGAATAGCAGTGGGAACAAACATATCGTTTCAATTACAGATGAGGAGCAGGGAAGGAGATGGGGACTTGTTTATATGGAAGGTTCTTATCACCTTGTTATTCACTAGAGTCGATATCATACACAGCCTCCATATACGAGAACAGTGATTAAACAAACAGAGTGACAAAGACTTTCCCGCCAACCTAATAGCATACTGTAATTGCTCTAATAGAAGCCCATACAATACCTGCACTTTGAGATTATATATCTCGGTTTCTACGAGAGGTATCAAAGACCTGTCAGCTGATAAATTATTTATCAAAATTTATCATAGCAGTATTTTATCAGTTAACAAATTTTTGATATCACTCATAGGAACCGAGATGTATAAGCTCAATGTTCAGGGGGCAGAGCAAGGATGGCAGATCATTGAAACTTACCATTCGAAAACTCATGCATTCAAGAATCACGAACCGGAGGCCAAATGAAAAGTAAGGATCTAGTTCGATGGACCTGGTTATGGATTTTATCTGGAATAATCAAATGCACATCTTCATTTCTTTTGGCACCTCACAATCAAGCCTTTTGGAACTCCCACTTCTGCTTTTTGGGCTTCCCAGTCACATATGACGTCGCCTTCTGCCTGTAAACTTAGAAAGTCTGAATTATCGAAAGATCTAGTTTCCTCAACTTGCAATAAGACATATCAGATGTTCCATATTCGATTCTCGAGTAGTTATTGTTCCTGTACATTTGATTTCTCTCCCGAATTCGTTCTCTTCTGGAACATTGATTTGAAAAAGTGAGTTTTTGGACTTCCGACCTACTTTAAAAGTTCCATTTTAAACTGTAGTTCGTTTACGAAAGGTCGCATTTCGGGTTCCCATGTGTTATTCATATCACAATTGTCCTAAATGTAAAGCCATTTTCCATAAAGACTTGTTTGACCTACCCATGGAATATCTGGTTCTGAATAATTTGTCATATGTGTCATAACCACTAAAATAATGATCAAAACACTCCAGAAAACATAAAATAGATAACTGTGATAAGGCATTACGAAGTGATAATGATTCAGTTCAATTTCTTCATCTACACTTAATCGAGTCATTTTGAGAGATCTGAAATTTCAAACATGAAAAAAAAAACAAATTTTTCGATATTAAACGATTTAATAGCAGATTAAAAAAAAACTAGTCAGATCTAAAAACATAATAGCAATCAGGGTATCAAAAAAAAAATAATGATGATGACGATGGTCTTCCTTACTGAACATAAAAAGGAGAACGATAGAAAACTATTCAGAAAGGGAAACCAGTTTGGATATCCTTATCGCCAAATCGCATCTCTCGATAAAAAAGAAGGAGAAAAGGGGATTAGAATATCTTTGGTCATCGAGAGCGATTTGTGTACGGTTCAATGGTAATTTAGCAACATATATTTCCGGCTTGGCACGTGTATCCACTGGCACACAATCCATTAAAGCATGAGCCAAATGGAGTACGTCCGTTGGCACAAGTGGCGCAGCAATAGCCTTGAATGTTGCAGGTATAGCCAGTTGGACATGTCTGGAATAACAGAGAAAGTATTTCATTAAAACTACGATAGTTCTTACTAATCCATTCTGTCCACATAAACCAGAAGTTCTACCGTATTGGCATTCGCAGCAATAGTTGGATGTAGTGCATGTGAATTGTCCACAAACTCTGTTTGGCTGACACGATGAAATAGCTGGAAGTCCTGCACATGCTCCAGTGTATTCCTGTCCGGTTGTGGTACAGCAGACCCCATTCATACAAGTTTGTTGGGCAGCACAATCTGTGGAAGTCGTGCAACGAACTTGAGTACGTTGGCCGTTGTAGCAGTAAGCTGAATGGAACGATATGATTAAGATTTCGTAAAGTAAGAATAACAGATAAGGGACCAGTATCCAAGAGTACATCGAAAAAGGGGACATCCAGTTTTCAGAGTAAATTGGTTCTCTGAACGCCCTACACCTCAAGATCCCATGTACCCTCTAAACCTATATATCCTAAAAACTCGATGTACTGTCGATGTAAACTTTTTCGATGTATCCTTGGATACTGGGCCAGGCTGGGCAGAACTAAATACTCTTTAAATAAGCGATCGTACAAACTGCCATCTGAAAATACAATTCAAAGCTTCGGAACTAACCCAACGCAGCCACGGATCTCGTAGTAGTGGTTGGAATAATTGGTGCACGTGTCGTCAGAATTGGATTCGTACAGCAACAATTGCTGATACAAACTGCGTTACCGTATGGTGTGCACTAAAACAATGTTTGAAAATTGACAATCATCATTTGCTACCTGATAATTGTAATAACATCCAACTCCGATTTTCATTCCTCCATTTGCACACGCATTTGGATTCCTTGTGGTTTGAGATTGCCAATAGTTACAGGCTGAAAATTAGATTCCTAACGTTAGAAATGTTCATTAGTTGGTTATGCACCAAGCCAGAACTATTCGGACTATAAACCGGAGAATCCAAAATGTTTAAATTGAAGCAAAAAGACTACTGCGAAACCTATAATAAAAGGTCCTAGCTTTCAACTTTTAGCTAATTCTTCTCGGTCTCTGTGAAAGATATGAAAAAGTTGTCCATCGCTAAATTGTTTATCAGAATGTCACCTATATTTTAGCAGTTGAAAAAATTATAATATATTTCCTGGAAACCAAGATACCGTAAAACCTCTAATAGAACGACACCCGGATCGTCCACTTTGAGCCTATATATCTCACTTCTTTGAAAAGATATCAAAAAGTGGTTAACTAGTAAAATGTTTATCAGGATATCAGCAAAATTTTACTATTTAGCCACTTTTTGATATCTTTCACAGCAAATGAGATATATAGGCTCAAAGTGGACGATCCGGGTGTCGTTCTATTAGAGGTTTTACGGTAATTGAGATTAAAATTGACGGTTCCGGTGAGCTTCTATTAGGGGAAATACGGTAGTTAAAGGGGGACTCCGACCAAAAAATTTTATTTGATTTTTTTGTTTTAAAATGTTCTCGTAGTAAGGTATTTTTATAATACTAATACGAAAAAATTCAGAAAAAAAGTCGAAATCCCTGAAAAACGCAGACAAAATTGAAGCGCCGCTCAGTTCTCGCCAACGAGGGACTAGAAAAATCATGAGTTCGGCCACGCGGCCACGCATTTTTCAATGCAATATTCCCCGTTTTCAGCCGTTTTTTCTGTAATTTCCGTGAGAATGAAACGATGTCATCAACTATAAAATAGAGACAGCAAAAAAAGTGTGTTCAAGTCAAAATTGATTACACGAGCGATGAAGAAGCGACGCTGTCAGTATTGATGTGGCCAAAAGCCTATTCGAAAGCTCATCATTGTTACTTCTGATGAAACTGAAAGAGTGAAATGGATTGAGATTATGGGCGACAGTTTTGGCAGTAAAACGAATTGTTTACTTCTTCTGACTGACAGCGTCGCTTCTTCATCGCTCGTGTAATCAATTTTGACTTGAACACACTTTTTTTACTGTCTCTATTTAATAGTTGATGACATCGTTTCATTCTTACGGAAATTACAGAAAAAAAAACGGCTGAAAACGGCGAATATTGCATTGAAAAATGCGTGGCCGCGTGGCCGAACTCATGATTTTTCTAGTCCCTCGTTGGCGAGAACTGAGCGGCGCTTCAATTTTGTCTGCGTTTTTCAGGGATTTCGAATTTTTTCTGAATTTTTTCATATTAGTATTATAAAAATACCTTACTACGAGAACATTTTGAAACAAAAAAAATCAAAGGTCGGAGTCCCCCTTTAAATAAGTTCTGTTTTATGTATCGTTTCGATGTTCTCATTTAAGGTATGATCCAAAAATTATGCTAAATCTTACGAAATTGTGAAAGGAAAGTGTTGGGATAGACGCCGCAAACATAGTACTGCCGCTTTACACGAACAGATAATTCTGTGGTAGAGATTACTGTAGAAACAATAGAAAATATTAGAACAAGTTGCATGGTTCTAGCCAAATATATGTTGAATTTCTGTGAAAAGTTTTTCTGTAAAAAAGTCGAAGACCAAAGTTATGAAAAGCATCAGAGACGAATTTCTGATTTTTGTGTTTGGTTAGCTGCTCGAAAAAGCTTGAACACGTCGCCCTCTCTATTGTTGTGTCGAGTGACGATTTTGCGCATTTTTTTTTGAAAGGGAAAAAAGGATGAAACGTGGAGAGAGGAATTATGATTCATTGCGAAGGAAACTGAGAAAAATTCTCTTTTCGGGTTAAAATGATTGTGAGCGCCAAGTCCGGTGGTGATTCGGAGGAAAGAAAATCGTTTCTAGATAAGCCAAGTGAGTATTCTGGTAGAATCATATCATTAGAAAAGAGATAACTTCAGACTCTTCAAAAACCGCGAATAGTGCAGTTAGTGGTGTGACGGAGAAGAGTGCGAAAACGGAGAAGTCCGCAAAGCGGTCCGAACAGAAAACTGATCGAAGTACTAAATCCGGGAAGTCAGCCACGACGACGAAAACTGAAAATGGAAATCAGTCAATGGTTAGTCAGAAGTCGACGGCTTCAACTCAAAGGTAAGGAAGATTCTGGAAAAAACCCTACTTGAAATAATGTATTTTGAAAAAGCGAAAGAAAAACTGAAAACCCGGAAACCAAAAATTCGGTGAACTTCACCATAAGAAGGGGAGGAAAAACCACGCATTTTTCAGTGTGGGTCGTCAGGGACCAAAAATGAGCGACGGCACAGAATTCGGCAGTGGTCCCTACGGCTACATCTTCTCGTTCATCTACCTTGGTGTCCTATGGGGATTGGCAATTATCCTGGCCATCGTTCTCGTCTATTTCAACTATTCTCGACTGGATCCCCAATTTCCCACCTACTTTGGAGATGGATCTTTCCTCGGAGGTGTTCCAAGTAAGCACCTAGACACACTCTTTCCGCTTGAATTCTCATTTTTCATTTTATGTTTTCCACATTCTACATCTCTTCAGAAGCCACATTCGACCCAAACCCACGCAGATTCCTGGAGGATGGAAACCTAAATGTGATGGAATGGAATATTTATAACTTCGACTCATACGTTAACTACTTGATTCGCTACAAACAGCTGTTGAAAAGTGAGGGAAAAATGTGATCGTTGAACAGAATTCTTTATTTTGCATTTTTTGCAGACTATTCCGGTGGTGACAGTGTCAAAAAACGTGTGGCTGGAAAGAATTTGTGCAGCAATCAAACGTTGACAGAAGCCGAAGCATGCCGATTCGATAGATTCACGGGATTTGGCGAGTGTGTACTTTCCCAGTGAGCATCTTGATTTTCCTACAGTGTCCTCTGGAACTAGTATTTTAGTGAGAACCTAGAACACGGCTTTGGATTCAGCAAGGGTCAGCCATGCATCATGCTGAAACTCAACAAAATCGTTGGATGGGCTCCGAATTTCGAAGTCAATGAAACTCAAACATGCACCCCTGGCAATTTGTGTTGTGGAGAGGGAATTCAGTTTGAGTGTAAATCTGATGTAAGCACATTTTAAACATGGGATCCTGAAAATAAGATTCGAAAAATCTGGCTTTTAAGGATGATGTGCAATTCGAGTTTTTCCCAAAGACTGGAATCCCATCCTGCTACTTCCCCTACATGAACCAAAATGGATATGAACAACCGTTCCAAATGGTCAAGTTAGCTAACATCACTTTTAACAGAGATGTAATTCATAAAATCCTCTTTTTCCCAATTTACTATTTCTCAGACCACAATAGAGTGCTACCCGAAAGACAATTCTTTGAGAACTTTGGCTAGTGGGAAAGTGAACGAAGCAAGATTCCATATCAAGATGTCTGATGAATCGGTCGATGAAGCAAAACGTAGTTGATTGAGAAAACTGCCTTTTTTCAACACAAATAAATAGTTTTATTCCATTTTCACAACTCAACCAGATCGATTATAGAAGAAAAAGAGATCAAAAAGATTTAGAGCAAGTTGCGGCAGAGTTCAAAACTTCGGAGAGCCAACATACAGTCGATTCGTGATGCTCGGCTGTGGACGACTGGTGGTCTGGAATAGATATAAAATTAGGCTTGTAAATAGGGTGAAGATGGCCAAATTGCTTGACCAATTTGGTCGGAAATAAGGGTCCCATTTTGGTTTTCCGACCGACCGCCGACCAAGCTGACCAAGTTCGTGCATTTGCGCGTCAAAAGTGCCAGAGAGTGTTTGCGTACGTGATTCAAAAATTTAAAGAAGGTGTCGTACAGTACACTCTCTGGCTTCTCATGGATCGGTGGTCGGTCGACCGGCTAAACTTCCCGACCGAATGGAAGCTTTATATTGATCCGAAATCAGAAAGATTCCCTAAGATTCTAGGGCATTTTCAGTTACTCATTACAAAATTTTCATTCTTACCTCTTATCGAGAAGTTCGAAGAGACTCTTCTGAAATTCTGGCATTTCCTCAGCAACTCGTTTGTCCATGGGTTCTGAAAAAAAATCATGAAACATCATACCATTTTTTTTCTTGTTTTCCAATTTTCGCAGTGTTTTATTCAAAACTCACCATAAGAAGGGGAGGATGCTGAGACACAAACAAGTAGAAGAACGAATACAAGCGTTGAGGAGAGCATGACAAATGAAGAAGAAGAAGCCATTGTATGTAACGGAATGTGTTACCTGGAGAGAGTAAATTGTGTTGGGCTTGGTGGTTTGGAATGATGTCAAGAGAAAAAAAAGGGATAGGGGTGAAAACGGTGGGGCGGAGCGTTATCTTCTAGAATAGGGGAACAATAAGGGGATTAGGGGTTAGAAGCAGCACGTGGATGGCCCCTTTTGATATGAACCGACTTTTTCGAAATCGGAAATAATAGTGGGCTGCCGGAAACGAACTTTTACGTATCTGGATTAAAGTTGGTCTGATAGGTGACAGAAGAATTGAAACCTTGTTCAATTAAAGGTACTTTTTGATTTTTCAAGAAGAATCTAATAGAGGAAAAGGAAATTTACTTCTGAACTTGGAACTCCTAGATGAGAGGTTTTTAAAATTCTGACATGAGAATTCAAAGTGTTGTTTTTCAAACTTAAAACCCTGGAAGTCAAAACTAACTTTTTTACCTCTAAAGGTGGAGGGACATGGAAAAAAAAAGACTGTCTAGAAATTGTGCTCATATAAGTCTCTCGAGGTGTTGAACTTGTGGGACGAGTATTGAAGGTGCGACACCGCTACCGACTGAGGCGAAGGAGGAGCGGGCGCCCGACGGCGTACATAAAAGCTTACACTAGAGCGTTACGCATAGTAAACACTAACACCGTTACATGTACACGATTACGTCAGAATCTATAACTTTCGAAATACTCGTCTAAAGATTTCGTAACTGGAAAAGAAAGTTAGCCGAAGTTTTGTGCCTCAAAACTTGATTTGATTATATTCAAGGACTATGTTTTTTTCCTCCCAGGGAGGTGTAGTTTAGCTTGGACAGTTTTTCGATAACAATTATTTTTTAAGGTTTAGACTATTGTGGAATTCTCCAGGATTCATCAAATTTAAGTGCGGAAATATTTTCAAGACAAAACTGGGAAATATATTTTTCTAATGAAATTTCATTCTCCATGAGAATAAAATTCTAGAAAGCAAATAATTCCAGACAAATGTCAACTGACACTATTTGGTTTTGTTTTTGTATCATCTACATTTTTATCAGGTTCCCACGCCCTGGCAAAGGAGTGGCCGATGGGTGATATCACATTATTATATCAGTCCGAATATCATGAAATTCTATAAATCCAATAACGTTTTGAAAACATCTGGGATACGTGTCAATGAGTAAGACGAATAAATATTGAAACACCAGGAAAGAAGACAAACATAAAGAAATGTGGTGAAAACAGATCCTATTTACTTGAACTTATCCAGCCACCATGAGACATACTAAATGAGCTTTGAGGGGGTTGGAAGAGGGAAACCGGAAATAGGCGTGAAACAAAAGGATTTACATATTTTTAACGAAAAAAAAAACGAAAAAATAGAATAAGATGGAAAAGCATGAGATGAGTGCTGTTGAGTCGTTAAAAATAGAATAGGGGTATAGGGTGCTTCATGATAATGATCTTTGTTCAATTTGTGAAAAAAAGTGATGTCCTAGAAAAAATTATTGTCTTAAAGACTTGTGCCTCTCGAGGAGTTGAGCTTCTGGGATGACTTATGAAAGTGTGATGCCGCTACCGACTGAGCTATGCGGGCGAAGCTAGAGCGGCCACGATAGCTGTACGCAGAGTGAACACTAAGAATTGTTACGTCAGAATGCATACCCTAACTCCTCCTATCTTTTCAGAAGTTTTCAAAATTGAAATTTCAGAGAATGTTCGAAAAACACACCATCTGAGTTTCCGAGTGCAGTTGTGCACCTTGAAGCCTAAATTTGGAAAATAAATGTGTCACACTTTCTGGTCTTTAACCATGTTTTATATATTTTTATCTAATTTTTTAGATAAACAAAAGAAGAGATGCAAAAAACATGCCAACTTCAGACTTTAATAGTAGAATATATCGCACTGCGTGGGTTTCCTCTCGCTGACCTTAAATCATTATGTTATGAGCAATGCGGAAATGATATGAAATATTTTTAGACTGCGAATGACACCAAGTGGTTGTGTGTCTGGTTGAGATTCTAAGTGTGTGAAAATTACTGTAACATAAACTAATAGAGCAGCAGCAGGAAATATGCAACAAACTCTATTTCGAAGAGCACCTCGAGTAATAAGATCTTAGATTTATGACGTCAAAACCGGAATTCTTCTGGAAGTGCTTCTAGATATACTTCGAAATAAATTCTTAAAATAGAAAGTTGTATTTACCAAGAAAATTAGTTTTGAGGATATTCAGAATCGGTTTTTGATTCCCTATTCACAATAAAGATCTAATTGGTCCACCACTCGATTGTCAATATTTTGAAGGTTCTGAAAAGATGAAAAACTGGAAATCAAAAATGCTTTGAAAAAATACGGGAACTGCAGTACCGGACAGAAATACATACAGTCAATAAATACGAAATCGTATTTCTCAGTTGATTTTCGGCCATTTTGACCATTTTCAGGACCCTGAAGCTCGACTGTCAAGTTCCCGATCATTTTGAAAACTTTGGAGTGTGTAAAACAGACATAGATGGAAGCCTTTGCATTCACAGAGCTTTACGAAAGTTACCAGCATATCTTTTTTTGCTCATTTTCAATACAGTACAAAAAATTGCCAAAAAGGGGCTTCTTTCAAACTTTGGCGAACAGCTGAAAAACTAGGAACCATCCAAAATAAACGGAACAACTATAATTGTTGTGAAGTCAGAAATCGCACTTTTTTTCAGCTCGAAACACACATATTTCTCCCCCATATCCAATTTTAGGTCGACTAACTTTATGACGATTTTTTCATTCCAGTAACAATTTTTTTCGGTATTTCCCAATATTCATACTTTCGTTCCTATGATCTCTTCCAATTTTTCTAACCTTCGAATTCACTAAATGATGCGTCATCATCATCAAAAAACGATTGTAAAAACACATGAGTACACTTCAAGCTTATCCTCTCCTCCCTCTTTACGAACCGGATAGACGGTATATGATGTTGAACGTCTTCTTTTTTCTTCGAAAACCATTTCAAAAAGTCATAATCCTCGCCCGGTGCCGTAACTACCGGAATACAAGCTGGTTGGATCTCGATAATCCACCGTGAAGAAAAAAACGCAGTGAGGAGAGAGGCACATAATTCACTAATATTCCAAAAAATGGGTCTACGAATTCTACTAGTTACTGTGTTTTATTTTTCTACGGTAAGCAATAAACACATTTAAAGTTCAAAATTTTTTAGCATTTCAGGGTTTTTGTGATTCTGAAAAAGCCGCTGAGAAAGGTAAACCAGAAATTTCGGAGCAAATCGATCCATCGATTTATATCAGACAAGGACTAATGAATGGAATGGGAATGGGACAACAATTCGGGATGGGAGGACAGAGTCCAATGAACCAAAGTAAGGTATACTGTACTAATCTGGAACTCGGATTGTGCTTTATAGGGATTAGGCTTAATAAGTTTTCTGAAAAAATCACATCATTTTGTATTCTTTGTGTGAGAAAACTCTGGAAGTGCTTAGAGATCAGAACAGAATTCATGGAGCCAGATGTTGAATATCATCTTATTATGTTTTTTGTGATCTTCCTTGTGCTCGGGATGACTATAAATCACAATCCAGAACATACATTGTTCTGTGACGTTTCGGGGATTCTTTTTAATAATGGATCATAATGAATAGGGATTGATAAAGAGATTATATTGGGCATTTTTTTTCAGTAAACTTCGCATTCAATTGCAAGTGTACATCAAAGAGCACAAATCCGCTGGCACCGGCTCCATTGGATGCAAATGCGCTGGCTCAGCAGCAAATTGTTCAATTGCAGGTATGAGGGAAAAAAACAGAAGAAAAATCTATTTGCAAATAATCGGAAAATCAAATAAATCATGATTCAGAATGTGGGGGTTCGCATCTTATATTATTTTTATTAAAGATCAGAAAATGAGCTGAAAATAACCTTCAATAACATAAAAGCAAGTTGTATAGTTCATTTCGCAAATGGAATTTTTAGTGTTTCTCCTTTTTTTTGTCACATTTTCATTTCATTCGAGAGATGCCCGCCGCCGAGAATAGAATCAGGAAAGGGCATCGTCTAGAATACTTTCGTTTTCTTCGGGATCTTCTTCTTTTTTTTGGATGCACTGAATCGGAAATTTCGTTTTCAGGAGCAAGTCCGAAGACAACAAGAAATCATCAACAGACAATCGGCGACCAAAAATGGATTTGAAAATTTTAGTGAGTCAAACCACAAACTACGAGCATAACTGATGAGCTGGGAATAGCTTCTGTGTCATTTTGAAGGTGGAGGGACATAAAAAAGCCATCGGCTGAGCTACAGTGGCGCAAGCTTAACTCCAAAAAAACTCCAAAAAACATCATCTTCTGTCTCTCCTCCTTCAAATTCGGATTCAAAATTTTTCCAAAAGCAAATCAGAATTAAAAAGTGTATACATATTTCTCCAAAATAATTTGCTTCAATAACAAAAACTTACCCTTATTGAACTGAAAAGACTCAAAGTGGTAGAAGTTTGAGGCCAGATTTTGATAGAATAATAAACAAACTATGCAAGGCTTCTGGATGCTTTTTGAATATCGGTGTCAGATGAAAAATTCCAGCCTATTCTCCAAAAAGCACTGGAAATACGAGAAATTGAATTTTCAGTTTTGGTTTGAGAAAATTCCCATGAATGGACGGCTTCAAATCTTCACAAAAACGAGAACGTTTTAAAAAAAGTTCAGCAAATTTAAATGTCAATCAAGTTAAATGATCCGTAAATGACAGCAGCTTCCCCGTTTCCAATTTTCGGTCCATTTCAGCTCAACTGATTGCACTCGCCAATTCAATGGATTGCTCATGCTCTTCGGATAATTCGGGCATGGGCGGTTCAGTGGGAATGGGAGGAATTTATGCAAGTCAAGGAGGAATGGCTGGTCCTGGAGGGTATCCACCAATCACTCATGGAGGTTTCGGATTCCCAGCTGCTCAGAGAGGAGTACCGATTACGACTTTTGGAGGAACACAACAGATGATTGAAGTACCGTATGCCAGGAGTTAAGAGAAGAAAAGTTAAATTATGTTTGATATATTTTATATGTAAAGAATGGATAAACCTAAAAGCCAGACAAAAACAAAGAACTATATAAAATTTATATTTTTTGTTATGATATATTTTCCATGAATACGTAAGATTCCGTTGTAGACATCAGAATAAAGAATTCAGGAAACATGAGCTCAATGGGATTGAGCAAATAAAAAAAAAACTAAAATCTAGGGAACTCCTTAATTCAAGTCAAAAGCGGGGGGACACTGTACACTGTCACGTCTAAATGCGTTTGACTTAATTTTTAAAAGTTTCTATGTCGTGACCTTTTTTTTTGGACTTTTTAGGTCGTGACCTAATTCTTTGGATTTTCTAGGGCGTGGCCTATTTTTGGATTTTTTAGGTCATGACCTATTTTTGGGACTTTTTAGGTCATGATCTATTTTTTGGATTTTCTAGGTCACGGCCTATTTTTTCCATTTTCATTTTCTGACACAGAAACATATTCTATGATCTACCCTATATTCATTCTCTACTCTTTGTATTTTTTGATATTTTTCTGTTGCGTGAAAAAAAAACCAAAAAATCACAACCAAAACCCAAATCCTCTTCTGATTGATCCCCCCGATTTTTTTCCATTTCACACCAGTCTGTCAGTTTTTTTTTCTGTTACTTTGACATGACGCGATCTTCAACTTTGTTCCTTTCAGCCGCTTTTTTATCTGTTATTCTATATTTCTATCACAACCAGATCCCGATTTTGAGAAGTTTGCCTGTAAGAATCTTCTTGAATCTTCTAGATGACCGGTGTTTTTTCTTCAGTTTATAAGCACAAGCACCTCCAGTCAAATATACAGTGAATGGAGGAATTGTATGTTGGGAAATATGGAATTCTTAATGACAGTAGATGATGAAACATTCTGGAATTCGCTTGAGAATCCCGTGCAAAAATGTGAATTGTTGTATTCGTTGAAAGATGTCAATATGGAGCCATTTGATAATATGGATGAGACTAAATACTCGATTCTTCCGATTTGTGGAAATACTGTGATGAGTGTAGTTACCTTGGGAGTTGGTCAAGATGTCACTGCAGAGTTAGCACTGCAGAAGGTATGTATCTGGGAATGTTTTATTAATTCACTTATACTGTAAAAGCCCCTCAGAAGCCCCACAAAAAAAATAGAAGTACTTCCTCTATTTGAAGTACTCCCTCTAAAAGTAGTTCGAAATCCTAGAAATCAATATTTCAGCGAATAGGCAACTTCTCGGTCCAGTTTTTCGGTGCCGATCCGATAGTTGAAGGAAACGATGAACTGTTCTCAAAAGTTGGAACATTTTTCCCGTTTGCTGTTGGAAATTCTTCAAGAATGGGTACTGCATCTGTACTTTTAAACGGGAATTATGTCGAGAAACGAGTAGTTCATGTGGAATTTATACAGTTTTTGAAAGGAATCATAGGCAAGATTGTGAGTTGTGATTTAGTTGTTAATTCAAAAACCTAAGATTTGTAGTTCTACGATAATATATGGGTCGATGGGGAGTATGCTGAGTACGAGCTATTTGATTATTTCGTTAATGGTGGAAATTTGGATCAAGAGGGAATCACGGTTTGTCAATTCAACATGGAGGTGAGCATTTTTTTTTCTTATAAACACATTTTTTCTTATAAATAAAGTTGCAGATTTATACGTCAGAGTAAACATCTCTAATTCCTCAAAATCTAAAATTTCAGTTCCATCTCCCGAATGCTATTAGAAAACATGAGTTCAAAAAATTCATCACCCGAATTTTTAACGACCGACGATACGCATTTTTCCGTCCGGTTCGAGGGAATCATATTCGATTGTATTTTGTAAATTTTATGAATCCAGATTGTACGAAAAAATTTATTAGCGAGTAGTAATAAAGTAAACTGGATTAACGAATGAAACACAAAACTATTGAAAATTTCCTTTTTCTTTGTTCCAATAGTTGAAAAAGTCAATTTGCAGGACAGTTGTTTCATTGGCGTTTTGGTTTTTGTGCAATCATTGAAACAAAACTGAAAAGAGCAAAGAATGAATTGGACAGTATGTAAAATGTTCGCTGAATGTGGAAAGGATTTTATGAATTTTGAAAATGTATTTTCTTTTCAGAAATCGTTTCACAAGGTTGGAGGATCAAAACTATAAACTTCCGAATTTCCTCTTTAATTCCAGAAATTCAAAATTTTCAGATAACTTTGGTGAAAGATTAGGCGTCTTGGCATTCCGTTTTTTTTCCGTGGGTTGTACATATTGTTCTTATGGCGCAATAATGATGGCAACATAAACTACCGAACTCCTTCTTGCCTATCTCGGATGTTGGTTTGTAACTTCTCGTCAAAAGAATGAGGGGTTTCAACGGATATATGCTAGATTCTGGTCGCAACTTGCCCAGAAATGGCTGTATAGCAGGCCATAGTCAGATTTTGTTTGAAAGCCAAAAATTGAAATACTATTAGGTCGGAACCTTTTCATAATTTTATCGGGGTTTCGTCGGCACCAACCACCAACGAGTAAATATTTTCTTTAATGTCCTCCGCCGTTCTACTATCGACGTTTTCGTAAAATGTTTCATTATTTATATCCGTCCTATCCTAGAATATGGTACCATCGTGTTTTCCCCCATCCTCAAAGATCATATTAAATTACTTGAAAGTGTCCAAAAATCATTTTTATTTAGACCAGTCGGTTTACGCCCCCTGTCGGGGCTCAACCTCCTGGCTTCCGCTTTTTGTATCTTACAATTGAATTTCTAATTTAAAAATTTTCGAGTTTCCGAATTCGCCAAAATTTGTGAAAGTTTTGCATACTATCAATTTTCTTCGAGGAATATTTGATTTTCCAAATTTTCAAAATTTCCAGACTACTGAAAAAAAGATTTTTTATGTTCTGAAATCCGGAGTATGTGAATTCCCGGTTTCCTGAAGTTTTGGATAACTAAAAGTCAGGTTTACTAAACTTTACCGGGTTGAGCCTCCTGGCTCCCGCTTACAGTACCCGCTGTCTTATAGACAGGTTTTGTCATTTTTCCAGGGACTATTTTTTCATGGTCTGTTAGGAAATTTCGAAGTTCGATATTTTGGTTATTTAGAATTCCTAGAATTCGGAAAGGCGGAAGTAAGAAAATCCGGAAATTGAAAAAGTAAGACACTCGCAAGTTCAGAGATTAGTAAATTTCAAAAAATCAGATGTAGGAAAACATTAAATTTGAACTCTAGAAAAGTGTTTTAATCTGTATGTCTCAAATACCCAAATATTGGTATATCAGATTTTAAGGAATCGGAAAATTCAGATTTTTGCATACTTCCTAAATGCCGGGCTGGCCTGAAACGGCCCTGTTCGCAAAATTTATAGAATTTCGAAAAAGTTTAGAATCGAGAATTTTAGAACCTGAAGAATTAGAAATTCAGAAACTCAACTTTTCGAAACACAGTCTCGTCGAAAAGTTCTTGGAACTTCGGAAAATCGGAAATGTAGGTTTCAGAATTCGAAAAATTTAAATTTCGAAAATTTAGACATTCCGAAAATTGAAAACCTGAAATGTTGGAAAATCTGTAACTTTGAAATTTTTGGCATATTCGGTGAATAAGATCTCAGAAATTTATATATTCCGAAATTTGAAAAATATGAAATTAAGTTCGGAAATTTTGAAAATTATTCTGAATTCTGAAAAATCGAGTCATCCAGAAAAGGCGCTTTTATTTTCCCTGTTTCTTTCTTTTTTTTCCCTTTATTTTCTTTCTTTTCCACTGTTTCAGAATTTTTTCTTCCTTTCAAATCTTTAAAACCCATACTAAAAGAATATTTTCACAAAATCCTTTCTCTCAAATATATATTCTTCAATATTTTTCTAAAAATTTGCACTGTAGAAATAGAAGAACGTCTCCAGAAGACGTCAGACACAAAATTTCGAAAGATTAAATATTCGGGCATCATCTCGCGCTATTTCGGGTAATCTGTGAAATTTTGGGAAATTTTGGTTCATTCTGGACTTCGTTAGGGAAGGTGATACGGGAACAAACGGACACACTCACACACAGAATTTGGTGATTGTTAATAGTATAAAGATGTTATAGTAAATTTAATAAGCCCTACATCTCTTACTTTGATCGTTTAAATGATTGCAATTTAGAATCTCTAGAATATCGCAGGCTCATTGCTGATTTAGTTTTCCTGTATAAACTAATAGTATCCCGTGAAGTAATTGTGAATCATGATTTATTTATTTGTCCCTCCACTATTTCTAATCTCCGTAGGCACCCTTTCAACATCCGTTACAAATTAAAAACTTCCCCCAGTAAAATTTCTTTCCAATTTATTACCTCAAGAATTATATCTTGCTGGAACTCCCTCCCCCAATCAGCCTTCCTTGACATTATTTCTTCTCAGTCTTTTAGAACTAACCTTTTTAACGTAAATTTGACCCCCTTTTTAATTCTAAACCCTACCAACTATTAACCTTTTACTGTGCATTAATTATATCAGTGGCTTCGGCCCTTTACCAATAAATGTATTATTATTATTATTTAGTAACGGCCTTATCCGGAATTTGACCTAACTCCGGCCAGAAGTTACCAGCGACGCCGGAGATGGCAAAAGTGACTTATGACGATTTTTTGGGACGAGTTGGGCAAGGTTCGTGAGAATTGTTGATTCTAAGAAAGCTTACCATCTACTCCAAAGGTCACTGATTGAAATTTTGCCCAAAATGAGAAAACTGAAAAAGAAAAAAACCAAAACTTTCAGAATCAATCCTTTTTATAACAAATCCCGTTCCGAAAGAAATCGAGAGACCTGTCGCAATATGTGACGAGCAGAAAACATATCTCAAAAAGCACGATTCCTACAAACACGGATGTTCGCAGACAAGAAGCTGCTCAAACAGAAATGAAGCTCCGCCCCATGAACTCTAGCTAGAAGATCTTCATGCAGAACATTTTCGTAGTCATTTGCAGGGGAGGGTACTGTATCTGATCTAACAAGACTCCACCCCCTCACTTTGAGCCAAAGCGTTACGATTTTTTTGATAGATATTAAATTTTTGTGAATTGAACAAACGTTGGTGATATTATTATATGAAATGCATTACTATGAAGTTCGTTCCCTATTCAGTTCGTTGTACCATACTTTTCCAAAGATTGTGTTTTTTTTTGAAAATATTTTGCTTTCGATCTTCTGGATGTTTTTTTTTCGGTCTGTAATCCTTCTTCTGGATAATATCATTATTCTAATATTATAAATTCTAATATTATTTCTAATATTATTCTAATATTATTCTAATATTATTCTAATATTAATATTAATAATATTATTATTCTAGTACAAAAAATCGGAGCTGTAAAAGAGAAACTTCGTCGGCCGTGGCCGAATGTCCCACAACCACAACTAGTGTAGCCTCAAAATGTTTTTGTATATATTTTTTCGTTTTTCAAGTATTTTCAGGTTACTGTATCTGTCGCTGTGGCACCTTCTTTTCATTTTATTTCCTCCCCTATCTTTGGTCTCTTGATCTATTCAAACTTTTCTTTATATTCCAGATAATTTCCGATCATTGAGTTTCCAAAAGACGTCTTTTCTAATCTTTCGGCCTTTTTTTCATATTCAAAAACTGTATTTTCCAAAAACCACAAACATCCTTTCTTCGAAAAAAAAGCTTTGTTGTATTATATTCTTTTGTTATGCAAAAACAGGATAGACGATTAAAACTGGAGACGGAAAAGCTCTCTCCGGTCGAGGAAACTTCATTCGGGTATCCATGGAAGTGTGTTTGATCTTCCGTCCTTCGGAGGGAGCGTTTTTATGATTTTCCGTTTTTATGATGGAAAGACTTTAGTTCGGTTGCATGAACTCGTCGTAGCAAAGTTTGAACCACGCAGAAAGCTGGCTTTTTTATTAAATGTATTTCCATTTGAAGCTTCTTATCGGTTTCTTTTGAAATAAGAACTTGCTAATGCCATCGCTAATCCTACGGATGTAAAAATGAGTCCATGGTATCAGTACATGAGGTATCAGTACTATACGCGTTTGAGTGATACACAAAAGGAAACATCCATGTGTCACCTCCCCTCTTCTTTTGTTTCCAATACTTTATTGAGAATATTGGAGGACACAGCGAGAGTTGTACATCTTGTGAAACAACACGTTCGCTATGTTTTACTTCTAGACCGGAAAATGCCATAAACCGTTTTTCTCGAACTTTTTGCAAGATTACCTTCGAAGAACAAAACACAAAATGTATACGGTAGTTGCGGCATTTTTTCAAACGACCCCTCCGCAGCATTAGAGGCTTTTTCTATGAAATTAATACATTTCAAGGCCTAAAGAATTTCAGTATTTCAGATTTTATTCGGAATTGTGGTTGCTATATTTTCTGTATGTGTAAGTGCGCGTGTGTAAACAAACATGCCTTATAAAATTTATCAGATTGCTTTCCATTTTATAGGTTGGTAAAGCTGAATTTTCGATTTCAGAAAAGTGCGCGCATTTTATGGAAGTGTATAATTTGAAAACTTTTATAATAAATGCTCTAATGGACTGGTACCCCCTGTATTTTCACTTTCAGCTCAAACATTCTAATATAGTGTAACCCAAACTATCTGCTTTGAGCTCATATACAGTGGCGAGAAGTGGTGAGGAGAATTTTTTCGAACATTCATAACTTTGTTCAAAATTGCTCAATCGACTTGAAATTTTGCATGAGAGTAGCTGTAGGAAATTTTTTTTTCATTTTTTTTACCTCTAGGGAAAATCTCTAAAATCTAAAAATTAGAAAAAATTTTTTCTACAATTGTTTCCTCCCGAATTTTTTTCAACAAATGTTTCCTCCCGAATTTTGAGCCCAGAACATAATTTCTAAAAATCCATGACTAGAAAATGCTCCAAAAAGAATATGTTTTAGTTATTTGCAAATGAAGTCAAGTACATTTTGTTTCAATTTTCCTCTTTTTAGAGATAAAAAATTAAATTAATACCCTTCCGAAAAACTAGTGAAACAGACTATACTTTTCTTCCGTTTTTCTGGTCTTTAAAACTTGTTATCTTCCCCAAATGTACTCATTTTTGATGCCATCTGAACAAATTTTCAACTGTGCACAAGCTTATTATGCCTCTTTTTAACCAACAAGTGTTAGGATTCGATTTTTGCGGATCGTCGTGTTCTTTTTTGTTTTCATGATAATCATTTTTATTTCAATTTTTTAGGACCAAGCTTGTGAAGATGTCCCGTCGAAATGGATACACCACATTTTTTGCTGTATTATCCGTGTCACTTCTCCTTTACATCAGCTTCATCAGTACTCCGTCGACAACGTCTTTCAGACTCGGAGGGAATTCGGCAGTGGATAAGGTCTACAAAAATTATAGTGCCTGGCATAATTGCTTGAAAAACAATATATCGAGTATGGAGGGAAATCCTGATGCCGTATGTATTTGAGTATTTCTCCAAACTCCAATTTTACATTTTCAGCTCTGGGGAAACTTGTGGAGAGGAATCAAGCTATGTGAGGTTATCCCGGAGATGAAGGGACTATTCATTGGTGACTACCCGAACTCTGATGAGACCAAAAGACATATTGTACCGAAGATGGTAAGAAAATGTGAGATTTGAAGTTTGAAACTTTTAATTTTCCAGCAACTTCCAAGTGTAATCGTCACATTAGGAATAGGTCATGATACTGGAGCCGAAGAAAAACTAATCAAGGGTCTTCCACACGGATCCGAATTTTTTGGAGCCGATCCGATGCATGAAATCAACGAGGACCTCTACACAAAACTTCCTGGAAAATATTTCCCATTTGCTGTCGGAGAATCATCTGGATTTGCTGAGGCCAGTGTACTCATTAATAGTGAGTTTCAGAACAGCTAGTCAGACAATCGTATTATCTTATTTCAGCAACATACACCACTAAAACCGTGGTCAATGTGGACATTATTTATTTTTTAAAGAATTTGGTCAAAAGAAATGTGAGTCATTCTAAGACCCCCTATCTGAAAATTATATGAAGTTTCCAGTTCATCGATGACATCTGGATTGACGGGGAAGGTGCTGAGTACGGACTCTTCGACCACTTTTTCAATGGTGGAAGATTCGATGAGAATGGAATTACATTCTGTCAATTCAATATTGAGGTTAGCTGTTGTATCAAAATTTAAAAATTCAAGACAATATTTTCAGATTCACGCACCGGATACTCTACAAAAGAAACTCTTCCATGACTTCATTTTCAGGTTGTTGAAGGACGAGAGATATGCAATTTATCGGTATCCGAAGATTGATAAATATCAGTTCTAATTTTCAGCGATTTTCAGACCAGTACAAGGCCATCACATGCGTCTATTCATGCTCAATTTCGGCAACGAAGAATGTGTCTACAAGTACATTCTCTAGGTTTTCATTTAATTTTTAGCTGGGTAACACGATCTCTTTCGTGCATATTTTTTCTGTTGCTTGCTTTTGTTTATATAACATCTTTGTTGCCTTTTTTTCAAATTTTTCTCTGTAACAAATTTACGTATCATGCTTTAATAATAAATCGATAGGACTCATCTTCAAACTGATAAGAAGAATAGTGTGCAAACAGATCATTTTCACACGATGAACTCGCTGTTACTGCTCTCAATTGGAGGCGAGTTTCTTTAATTTCGAGCCTGAAACTTGTTTGAAAGCAAAACAAGCCAACTTTCAGCTACTCTCCTGCCCATTGTATGGACTGCGGTTCCGACAGCTTCGATTTCCGCTCATGTTCTAGATATTTCCGGTGGATCTCCAGCTAAAGGAATCCAGATTTTGGCGTACATTCAAAAAAACGATGCGTGGACCAATATTGGAGCACAGTGAGTATCAGCTACAGATTTTGAAGTAACCCGTTAAGTTTTCCTACTATAAATACCAGGACAAGTTTTTACTCTCATAAAATTTGAGTGCGCCCTCTGTATGAGCCGAACTTTTGAAACTATTATAAAAATTTAAATAGTTTGAAATATCAAAAAAAAAAATAGTAAACGTAAGTCTGTCTACCGCGTTACGAATCTCAACTTTCGCCTCATTCTTAGATTCACCCAAATCGCCTCATTTTCAGATTCACCCAAGACAACGGACGTGTCGATTGGGTCTCTCCGAATTTCACTCTGATTGCTGGAACTTATCGACTCGTCTATGTAACGAAACCTTATTACACAGACAAAGGTATCGACAGCTTCTATCCATACGTTGAAGTTGTTTTCGACATTCGTGATCCCACTCAACACTATCATGTTCCGCTAACTCTGAGTCCTTGGGGATATTCCACGTATCGTGGATCCTAATCCTACACCAGTTTCTTGTACTTTCGAAATGTTTCTTCTTCCAATAAAATAAAACCGATCACTATATACAAGTTATGAGACGATTGAAGAAAAGAAAAGTGGAAAGAGATAGACGTCGTTACTTTTTATTTTCTTGCTGTACTTTTTGCCAGAATCATTTCTTCACAAAACGATGAGATCCGGTATCCAGAAAAGTATAAAAGCCGTTGGATGGTGGGTCCGCGTGTACTTCAACAATGCGTTGTCTTCTGCCGCTGTTGCTGCTGCTTCCGTTGGCATTTTGCCAGATCACTCCGGTGCCAAAAATGGATATCACCCCAATTCCAATAGATAAGACGGATCCCAATGTTAAAGGTGAGAAGTTGTTAGCTGAACAAAGTTCTAGAGTCACGAGATCAGCTTAGCTAAAGTTTAGCGAATTCCTATCGTTTCCGCTGTTTCCATTCAAAACCATGTAGAAGATGATACTAGCTGCCAAACCATCAATCATCAAATGTAATGTGGTCAAGAGAGAATTGTTTCAGAACATAGATCATTTTTATGACGTTCACGTTTGATCTACTTGATCTACGGAACGTTTCTTATTCAAGACACAAGGTTCTAAAAGGCTTAGTACCGCGCCCAAGATAACAACTTTTTAAAAAATAAAGAGCCCAAGTCGCAAATTCGCTGGGGCGTAATTTCTGATCAGGCCCTTCGGAACCCTGTGAAGTGAGAGAATGACGGCTAAGCTGCCGGCCCATGGATGGGCACAAAAAGAATTTTGATAGCATCGATTTTTAGAGTTTCAACGGATCGATTCTAACAAGGATGGCCAGCTGACGTTCACTGAATTTTTGCTCTCGGACCGTCCTTTTTTGGAGCACCAATCTAGAAGATTCCATGGCTTTGATATGAATGGTAAGACCAGTTTTTTGCTCAAAAGCAATTTTTCTATAATTTTCCAGGTGACGGTGTTGTGACTAAAAAAGAGTTTGAAGACTACTTTAAGAAGCTCGAGAAGCACAAACGGAGAAGTGACATGTTCTTCAACAAATTTGTAAAACCCTTCTTTTCGAGCATTCTAGAACGATATTTCTATATTTCAGAACCGCGACCGCCGTGATCCCTTTCAGGCGTCGTTCTTCGATTCGTTTCCGAAGAATCCGCAAGTGGAGGAGGGCTCTCGAGAGCTCTCGGGCGGTGGTCCCCTTCATAATCCATCGATGGTCCTTCTTTGAGTTTTTTACTAATGATCCTGAATACTTATAAACCGAATCCTATTACTTATTTTTGAGAGATCTTTGAAAATACGAAACAAACGAGAACCATAATAAAGTGTTTCTAATATTTCTAACCGATTTTGGTTTTGGTATTTAGTAGTGATTTTCATTTTACTTCAAAATGATCGTAGATCAAATTCAGCAAACGAATCATCATGTACTATTTGCATCAAGAATGAAATGATATTTTTTTCTCGCGGGTCAACCCGATAATCGTCGTCTTGCTATTGTCTTGTTCTTCGCCTCTTCCAACGTCTTCTACTTCTCTTTTTTCTCCCAATTTTGTTTTGTAATCCACCTGCCGTCCCTTATCACCTTCGACGTCATCAGCTGTGATACGATAGAATCTTTGATTATAACGCAAGAAGTTCCCCACGAAATAATCAAAAATACCATATGTTCTCTCGTCTTTTTACTCTGCTAAATGGAAAAATAAGAAGTTCTTCTGATTCGATTATCCCGGCGGAAAGTGTATGACACCCGTTTTAAGGAAAATTGGGAGACAATTAGAATTCACATGAGTGAATTATATGGAAGTTTCTGGAATTTTTTGGAATGTCTTGCCACATGGGTCATAGGGTACTGTAATGGATCACCTGAATACATTCAGAATATCTAGAACTGTACGAACTACCTGATTTGCGGAAGGTTTAAATTAATTTTGGCTGGCCTACCCAAAATATTTCGTTTACTGATCTTCTGATACTTCCTTTATGTGTAAATATCACACAGAATGGGAGTCTGAAGACCTCACGGTAGCAAATGGAACTTTGTGAACTTCCTCATTGAATTATTTTATACAGGCGTCATACAGGAAGCTATACAGGAAGTTTTGTATTTTTTTTTTGCAAACACAATCGCGGTAAAGTTTGTTTTTACAGTAACCTACAGTAATCATCATGAATATCGTCCCGTCACTTTCAGACGAAAAAACTGGAAAAAAACGGAGGAGAATCTTTAAAAATAGCTGAAAAACCTAAAATTTCTATGTGACGCTACATCATTTGTTTCACAAATTATTTCATTGAAAAATTTCCTTTAATTATAAAAAAGGCCGGCAAAGTTTCAAACACCAAGCATTCAGATATACTGAAATATTCTAACAGTAGTTCCTAACAGTAGCAGGCTCAAAAGAATTTTGCTCCTCATTACAATATGTTCAGGGTACGTCTCGTTTAGAACCCTGTCTTATCCGAAAAACTTCCGTTCTTCTTCCCAGAATCCCCTTTTTCCTCCCCGGCATCATTGTCTCCAGATTGCCCCGGTTTTTTCTACTTTTTATCTTTCTTCCCCTCCTCTCATTTCATTTTCTATTACCCCTCCTTCCGTTTTCACATTTGCATTTCGCCGTCTTCTTCCGAACTGTTCAATACACAATTGCCACCTTTTCTACTCCACCCACGCCAAGAAAAAATTCTTGAAACGTTTTTCCGATTGAAACCGTATTGCTCCTAACTGGAAAATTATTGGAAGTTGCGCAACTTATTGGTACAGAAATTAAAAAAGAGAATCCATAGGTTTAAAATAGTCAACAAACTTTGGAGGTGACCATGAGGAGAAGATGGTCATAGACCCCAGGTGGCCAAACAAAGACACTTTGCAGATATTGTGACTAGAAAAAAGAAGATGAAAACGGAAAATGGTCTGGAGAGGTGTGTGGGAGGAGAATAGGTTTATGGATTGACATTAAAAAGAGAAGAGGGGGATAGAATGATGTGTGAAAGATTAATGTGATTTCGGAAGAATAAGGGGTTTCAGGGAAGGGATAATGATGATGTTGAGAACAAGGATTCAAATGAACACACAAAGGTTATTGTCCATTTGTGTTGGACCTAGAGGTTTGGGTATATAAACTGGCGGGTCATGGATGTTGGGCTCATGGTTTTCTTTCTCTTTGCATGCACGTTGAAAAACCGGCGTTTCTTTTTCGGGTTTCCAGTACATTTCCGTTCGTGAGAATTTTTAAAAAGTGTGTGTCGATTGCTTATGAAAGTTAGCATCACTCTAACTATTTTTAAAGTTTCACCCAAGATTTGAATTTTTTGGAGCGGTAACAAGGGATCTGGTCCTTTGTTACCGCTCCAAAAATTCAAATCTTATGTGGAACTTTAAAAATAATTAGAGTGATGCTAACTTTCATAAGCTATCGACACACACTTTATTTTAGAAAAAATTTTGAAATAAATTTCTGGTCATACTCATGCGAGACAAAATTTCGATGGCTACTTCATTCTATTGTCCCCATTTTATTAGATTTTGGTTCTTTGTTACAGTATTTGCCCTGATAGAAGCCCACCTTTTTGAGCTCAATAATCTCGATTCCTGTGAAAGTTATCAAAAACTCATCAACATTTTATCAGTTGACACATTTTTGATATCTTTTATAAGAGCCGAGATAATTGAGCTCCAAGTTGGTGATTCTGGTGGGCTTCTATCGGATACACTAGCTTGTTTACTGTTTGATTTTAAATTTAATCTTGATTACGGAATTTTTGAAAATTCAAAAAACTCCGAGTTTCCAATTTTCCAAATTTCGATAGGTTCTGATCCACACCCTTTGGCATAAAAACATCGAGAATATGGAGTCGGACCGCGGTCAGCGTAGTCTGGAAAGATCGGATCCACCATCGTGAAAACTGGACAATGTTGTCAATCTTGAAAATCAGAAAATCTTGGACCCGCAAAGATTTTCAAACAGACCCGGCACGACACCTGCCTACTGCATAAAGCGGAAGTTGCTATCCCAATCATCCCTCGCCCTATTTTTTTCCGAAATCTATCCGATTTGTCCCACAAATTTCAACATTTTCATCCTCATCTCACCTACTATCAATTCATTTCGAAATCAACAGATCATGCCCATCTCATACTCAGTTTTTTCGTCTATCCGATATCCCTCAACGTCCGATCATTTTCTTCTTCTCCTTGCGTTTCTCCCCACAAAATCTCACCATTTCCGAAGACTATTCCCTCCTTAAATGACGACCTAAACACATATAATATATACTCTCAAGGCTAATCATGATCTTCCTTTTTTTTCTCTTTTTGGCGTCCATAAAATGGCTATGCTTTGGACGGGGGAGGACTGTCTACAGAGTGACCAATAGACTCGAATAGCAAAGCTAGAATGTAGTAAAGATCAGTTTTACTGGTGTAGCCTGTTCTGATTCAGATGATATGATCTGATTTAGTATTGCCCTTCCTGCTATCACTTTTTCGTTCCCATGTTTTGTAGTGAAGGGAATTTCGAGTTGATTTCTGTTGATTAGGTGTTACGTAGATTGTTTATTTCATAGAACAGTAAACATGGAATTCTTAAAACCGGGATTCTGAAGGACGGCTTCTAGAAAAAACGCCCGACCTAATTTCGTTGTTTTTTACTATCAGTGGCTAGAAGAGGAATTTCAGACAATAAAGCAAAGTTTAAAGTAAACTAAAATGGGGTACTGTAGGTAAGCGAATTCTTGGGCTTCCTGGAGAGACTAGAAACAGTATAAAGTGACAAAAAAAAGCATTTCGGAGATCAATTTCAAATCTGGATCACCCTTATCACAGATGACACTTTTTCGTTTTCCAAATCTCAAATGACTTTAACCAGATTTTTGTATAGTTGTTACGTATTGTTTATTTTCCATTGGACCCAGAAATCAACACATCTCTGAACCGTATTCGACCAGTTGACTACGAATCACAGTTTCTCACTTTTCTTTGAACAACGCAGTGATAAGATTCTGAATAAGTTTCACACTTTCTTTTCAAACCTCCGTTTATCGTAATGACCTGATAAAGCTATCTGACGTGATAGATCACGAACCAAGGTGTCATAGTGATACGGTAGGAGAGCGTGATGATTTCATTGTTACAGCTTTTATATTACATTCCGTGTTAAGCTGAATGACTAAGTGCGTTGAACCTACGTAACATAGCCCAAAGGTTAATCAAAAAGGTTCACTATAATTTAGAAAGTGGAAAAAATTGGATGCCCAATCTCACGTTCGCTTGGGCGCGATTTCTGGCCAGACCTATTGGAATCCTTTGGGTTTATTTATAATGCTTGATTTGAAATTTGTAAATTTATGGAACAGATAATTGACTTTCAGGAGTTTGATTCTATGAAAATTTCATTGACCAATGGGATGTCAAGATTCCGAAATTGAGTATTCCGGATGGAGGCTACAAGCTAAGCTTGCAGTATGACAATGGTACGAGTCGGATAGGATTCTATATCTTGAAACTAACCAGAAACGAAATAAAGTTTTTGGGTGTCACGCTCCGACTAAATTGAAAACCTGAGAACTCAAAAGATTGGATTCCATATCAATCCCGCTCCCGAATCTGGAGTCCAGACCAAAAAGCAGCTCTTCCATCCGTAGCCAATCGTTTCCGGTTCCTCTGCACTCCCACTTCTCAATCAAACGACAGAAACCCATTTGCGAACGTACACACACGGTCCATATATATTCAAATACAGCCCCTTTTTCTTTGCGCCCCAACTTCTCATCCTCTGCCACTTCTAGCCTATACATAGTCAGCCTTCTGGTCAGTTTTTCTTTTTCGTTCATAGGAAAAAACTGGGGAGACTATACGAGACTGTCGGGGGGCTTACGTCACGTCTCCACCTTCCAAAGCTCCGCCCCCACACTTTTCTGTATTTTTCAAATTCGTGTGTCCGATTTCTTTTCTTCTTCTTTCTACATGTATTTTCTCTTGTTTCTCAGCATCTTCTGGGCGGCGTCTTCTCGCTAATGGCTGCAACACAGCAACATCTCTATCCCAAAAACTTTTCTCTTATTTTTCACCGTTCGCTCTTCGCCGAATTATGGATTTTATCGTTCCCACCCGGGCTTAGGGGGATCCCCATTCGTACTTGGTCTATGGTTATTCCGTTTCGATTTGTTTTCTTTTTCGTTTAATGTTCTGCTAGTATTTTCACGGTCAAGAGCGGGTTGAACTTTGAACGGTTCGTGGAGGTTCGGGTCACCTGATGACCGGAAATTTAACAAACTCGACTTGAAAAAAAAACGAGGAGCCGTTAAGTGGTACAAGTCAATAGGCATTTTGTCATAACAACAGTTCCATTCAAAAACGTCATTTTAATATTCTGAAAGGTGTTTTTGGGTGGTAAAAATATGTATAAAGAAGGCCATTTTCAGAAACATGAGGATTCTAGAATAATTGCGCGTTGGGTTCATCTTCACTGTTTTCCGAAACTTCCTTTCTGAAATATTTTTGAGAATGCTCAACAAATTAACCTTTAGAAATATTTTTCTGGTGTTAGAAATGTATTCTTGCAAAGTTGGACCTACAATAAACCTGTGATAGAAGGTCTCCCATACAGTCAAGTTTGAGCCAATTTATCCGTTTCTGCCAAAAATATGAAAAATATGTCAACGGACAAAACGTTTCTGATATTATGATAAACGATTTATTAGTTGACAACTATTCTCCATCATTCACAGAAACTGAGAAAAATCGGATCTAATTGTAAGTTAAAAGTTAGGGTACTCTTCTATTAAAGGTTTTACGGTAGTCTGAACAAATTGAAATTCAGAAATACTTTTTCTGGTGTTAAAAATGAATTCTTGTTAGGATGGACCAAAATTCTATTTACTGCACACAAGCTGTATTTTTGATAATACCTCTGTTTTCTTTCTCGAACTTTGAAGCTTTTAAGCCATACCTTCGCTCTGACATCACTTTCCCCCATCCAGTCTAGATCGAGACCCCGACCTCCTTGTTGCCACGTCATCACCTTTTTCTATGCTTCATGATTTTCTCCCCATATTTTTCACATCATTACCTAGATAAAGATGCGTTCTCTGTCCTTGGTGTCGTCTCTCCATGCTTCTTGCGGTTAGGAGAGGAGAAAGAACACACAGAACCTGTCCATCTCATCCTCATTTCCTCACCCAATTGATATATTTTCACTAGCTCATAAGCTTATTTATGCTTATCAGATATAGTTTTGATAAGATTCTGAAACGTTTTCCTCAATCTTTTGATCTTTTGTTCTAATGTTCGTTCTTTTCCTCAATTTATTCTGAATCTTAAACTTTCCCCCTTATTCGTTCCTTCCTTGTTTTCTTCGACTGGTTTGATTTCATCCGTTACTTTTCCCCTTCCCTAATTAATTAGAAACAACAAAAAGATCTCTTCCAGAATCATCGCCTCCTCCTTCACAACGACGTCTTCAGTTGCGCATTCAAAATGACTGGTGGCGGTTCATCGTCTCTGGAACCACCAGCCTTCGTACGTCTTCTGAATCGATTCTTCCGGCAATGCGGCCTTTTCGTGGCAGACAACGACAAAACTGTCCTTATTGTAAGTGGATTTTGTTTCCTTTTCTTCTTCTATTCTTCCGGATTTCTCTTGTTGACTTATTTATTTTATTCATAATAATTCCAAGGACAACATCTCCTCTTGTCACTTTCGTTGGGATGGTTTTTTTTTCTAACAAACCCTATCTACATATATATGCTTTTTTATTCTCGGCCATGCCCTCCCGCGCTAACGACATTGACAGCTTCTACCTGAATGGGTGGAAAAAAGTGATTGAATGGATGATGATATGAAGGAATGGAATGGGCTGGGGTAGAGGGAGTGAGGAAACGGACTAGATACAAAAAAAGTTGATAGCGAGATCCAGCTGAAATCGGTTCTGGAAAATATCTCAGGAATCATATTTCTACAGTATTTTTGTCTCAAGCTACAAACTATGATTTTCGTTGATAAATAAAATCCCAATTCTGGAGGAAACTTGTTTTCTCTGACATTTGAGGCAACTTTTTGATTTTCCGTCTACTTAGCCGGATTTATGAGGGAAGATCAAAACTAGAGCCCAGGAATCCTAAAATAAAGCTATTCCGACTGAAGCTACTTTGAGAGTTCCAATCCCTTGTAGGTTAAAAGACGGTCAATTTTGAGGCGGGCATAGAATCATCTTAAAACTAGGGTTTAAAACAGGATTGATAATAGGCTGGATAATAGTCTGAAAAACAGGTTTTGGAAATAGGCCTAAAAATAGGCTTATAATAGGCGAGAAGATCAGATATGTTTTCAAAAAGGCTTTAAATTGGCTATAAATATTCTTAAATTAGGCTTGAAATAGTTTTGACCACTGAAATCTAGAAATCTAGGTTAAACGTAGATTTTTAACTTAACTTTTTCTAGAGCTCCAAAAAGGGAGTGGAAGACCAGCTCCCCTAGGTCTGCCTTCTCTATTCCATAAATTTTGATTTCACTTCCTTCTCACCAATCTTCATACAACCTCCGCCACCCCTCAAATCCAAACATTCATGAAAATTTGCAATTTTTCAATAACCCGTTCATGACAAATCTCAAAATGTACACACATAGACGGACGTATACAAATGGGCGCCACTCCAAAAAATGATAAACGATACTTGTGGAGTGAATTGCGTCGAATCGGATAGTGTCGAGATAAGGAAAAGACATGGTGACGTAGACATTGATGCAAAAAGAAGATGGAATTTTATGGTTTTCGGATGGAAGTTTTTCATCCCTAAGCGTGTTTAAGTGGCGGGTGGAAAGGAACAGAGACTTAATTAGGAAGGAACTGAATCCTAAGACCAAGGATTGAAAGACACCCGGCTGCAGATGAGGAGACACAAGGAAAAATCTGAGATTCTCAGAAGCTGACACCACTCATAATACCGCCAGTCGGCTGCCGGAGGGCCGCCAGTGGACCGCCAAAGACAATTGTCCTGAAATGAATTTTCTCTATGCTATAGTAGCCAAACCGATATCACACTACAGTTCTAGGCTATAATCACTGTAGTCTTGACTTGCTTCTCTTATCAATATCATTGACTTGATAGAAAACGAGTCAAACCAATTTTGACCAAAGTGACGACGAACAGTTAATGATTGATAGGCTGATTTTTATCACTATCCCTTTCTTCTTCAATTTTCATCTGAAATGATACTTCTGTGTTATTTCGTTTTGTTGGTTTCGGTTTGTCCTGTCGTATCACCGGACACCACAATTCTAGTCTCTTCATGACAATAGGATAAAGAAGTCGTCGTCCAACTAATTTCTCTTCTATTTTTCAGGTGACCTTACTTCTCACCGCATTCTGTTCATCAAAAATACTCTTCACGCCGCAGGAGGACGACATCAAGACAGGTATTTATCTTGTGTTGCATTTTGTCTGTCTGTGTATCTTAGATTTGTGTGATGTCTAAAGAATGTAGGCTTGTAGGTAATGACGGTTCAGTAGAGATATGACAAGAATATGACAGAGAAGAATTAGAGACGTTGGGGTTGTGTAGGTCATAGGGTCAGGTTGTCTAAGTGATGACGTCAGGGAGATGAATCAGAGGGAAACTGGAATGTTTTATCAGTAAAGGGTAGTTGAGGTTAGGACGATAGATGAGGGCAGATAGGTCAGCTATGTTTCCAGACTCATGGAGCATGAGCAATGAATGAACAATGATAATTTTTAGATGACTTTCAAACAAAAAAAAAGAAAAATCTCACTCAATTTTATTCCAGGATACACCCCTGATGGAGCCCGATCCCTGGATGAAATCGAAGTCTTCTCCGACTTCTTCGCTTCTACTGGAGACCCGATTGCAGTATTTCTATTCGCTACAGCCAAGGATAACTCATCCATGGGAGAATATAACGCGATGAAAGAAGTCGTCGAAATTCTTGATTTCGTTGGAGAGAATCTAACCCACAAGGGAGAATCTTTCTACACAATGTGCACGGATTTCTGTCAGATTAATGAGCCCGTGCGGCAGTATTATAATGGATTAGCAATGAAACAACAGAATCTGTCTGACGTTGGATCCAGATTCCAGCTTACTTTTCCGATGATGCAAGTTCTTGGAAAAGAACTGGACTTGAGTCCGAACTTCTTTGGAGTCAGAACTAATGAGGATGGAGAAGTGGAGTATGTGAAAATCATTATGCTACAAATTAGAGCAAACATTCCGAAAAATTGGAAAAAGGAAGATGCAGCTGAATATGAGAGAATGATTTCGCAGTATTTCCATTTGTAAGTTTCCCAGAATCTCTCTAAGATTCCCATTATTTCTATTTACAGCAAATACAACTCATCCCACGTCACTCCTCTTGCCATGAGTTTGACCTACACTGGAGATGAAGTCGTTCGAACTGGACTCACCATTTTCCCATTCATCGGTGTTGGATTCGCCATCATGACCACATTCTCCGTCATCACCATCTACTACAGTAGTTCTCGTCTGGATCAGTGGACTATCCATAAGGTTTCAGAAGCTGTTCTTGGATGTGTGTGCCCACTTCTTGCCACTTCTTCTGCTCTGGGAACTCTGTTCTGGTGCGGGTTCAGATTTGGAACTATTTTGTGTGTGACGCCATTTTTGATTCTGGCAATTGGTAAGTTGAAATACAAAACTTTGAATAGGTGTGAGAAGAAGAAAAAAGTGTTCGAAATTTTGCAGGTGTGGATGATGCTTATCTTCAAATTCATGCTTGTATGCGGTTGACGGCCGAGGACAGTTTAATGACGAAAAGGGAAAAGTGAGTGGCTTTTTGAAATGATCAAAAATCAAAAATAATTGCACAGAATCGCTCGAATGCTCGTTGAAGTTGGTCCATCGATTGCCATCACTTCCATGACTAACCTCCTAGCTTTCCTCGTTGGAATCTACACTCCAACGCCTGAAATCTCACTTTTCTGTGCTGGAAACGCCGTCGCTATTGGCTTTGATTTCATTTACCAAATCACAATGTACACAGCAATCCTTTCGATTTGTGAAAACCTAGAAATGAGAAAGAATGCCACGAAACGAAAGGATTCTGACTTGAGTTTTAAAAACGAACAATTCACAGTTATGTTGGACAGCTACTGTGATTGGGTTGCCAATGCTTACACTCATTTGTTGGTTCTTTTCTGCTTCATCGTCTATATTTTTGTATCGATTCGAGGAGCACTGAATATCAATATCATTTTATCTCCGGATAAATTGGTAATTGGAGATTCGCCACTTCTTCAAGTCAACTTTTTGCGAGATCAGTTTGTGTTGCCAAATTATACAACTGTTAACATTTTTGTGAATAATGTAAGTTCAGACTGCAAGATTTAACAATTAGCGTATTCGATTTTCAGCCTGGGAACCTCACAGTTCAATCTAACCTGGATTACATGAATTCACTCATGGAAAGTTTCGAATCCTACCCGGAATGTCTTGGAAAGAAGTTCAGTCATTATTTCGTGAGAGATTATGAATCATTCCGTGAATCATCTCTGGAAGAATTGGAAATGATGGAAGACGAGCAAGGAGAATCCAACCGAACATCATTGGAACCATTCTCAAAAGCAGCCATGTCAGATTTCCTTGCTTGGCCAGAATTCCAACATTGGAATGGATTTGTGAAATTCGATAAGAATGGAATGCTCTCCAGATTCTGGGCTACCGTATCCTACCATGGAGAAGGTCTTGGAGACTTCCAGGTCAGAAGAAAAATGTTGAATAGATGGAGGGCTACAGCGGATCAGTTTGCACCTCTCAACGTCTCCATTTTCGATGATTACGCTCCATTTGTGGACACGCTGGAAACGATATTGCCAGCCACCATTTCGACATCTGTCTGTACTCTTTTATGCATGATGGTCGTATGTTTCCTGTTCATGTACAACATTTTCACCGTTTTCGTTGCGACCTTGGCCATCACTTCTATTTGCATAGGTAAGGTTTTGAGACAGTTTTTGAAACAGTTTCTGCAATGAAAACCGAAAAAAGAGGGAATCGATGAAACTGAACTGAAACTTCAGGTGTGTTCGGATTCCTGTCAATGTGGGGAATCGATTTGGATCCAATTTCAATGGCATGCACAATCATGAGTATTGGATTTTCGGTGGACTTCCCAGCTCACATCACATTCCATTACTTTAGAGAAGGACTTCATGATCCACAATCCACGCCGGCAAAGAGAGTGGCAAGGTAGCTAAAATTTCCTACTTATTCAGATCGATTTCGGACTTTTCAGATCCCTTGCTGCCATCGGATTCCCACTTCTTCAATGTGGAATCTCCACCATACTCTTCGTCTTATGTCTACTTTTTGTGCCAACTTATATGGGAGAAGTTTTCGTGAAAACAATGATCCTTGTGGTGACACTGGGACTGATTCATGGATTGTTTATTGTTCCAGCATTCCTATGTGCATTTACAGCGATTCATGAAACGTGTTTCTCGTCGGCGAAAGTAAAGAATTCACAGGTAAAAGATTAGGGGAGGCTTCAAATATCTGGAACCTATGAATAACTTATAATTTCTGAAAATCAAAAAATTTACCTGTAAGAATTTTCCAAAATTCGCTGTAAAGCCTTTTATGTAATATGATTTTAATATATTTCAAAGGAACTCTAGTTCAGGGATGTTCTGAACGGAATTCGGAATTTCAAAAACTCCAAAAGCTTATATGAAAATTTTCCTCGTGGGTCTCAAGCGGATTCCAATATTCCGAGCTTTCAAAATTTCGAATCTCGGAGTGTTTGACATTTCAAAAATTCCAAACAAGGCCATTTTGAACATCCCTGGACTCTAGTCGAATGGTTCTCAATTTGACTAGAATCAATAAAAATTACGATTCCAGCAAAAAAAAACTGAAAATCTATTTTTAACCCATTTCTATTTTCAGTCATTCTCGTCGCTAGCCAAACTGTTCTCCTGGAGAATCTCACCATCAACAAGTGACAATAAAATCTCAGCCTAAACATCAACAAAAACACCTCCACCATCATCATCATCCACCCTCATAACCGTTTTTCCTCTTCCCAAAACAACGGGTTTTTTTTCTCCCCATCCCATCCCTAATCCATTTTGTTTTTCTGTTATTTTCTGCCTATTTTCCTTCCACCCAATTTCTCGATCTCTTTTTTTTCTATTTTCTACTCTCTATTTCATGTTTCCACCTGTTTTTTCTACCAGAAATTGGTTTTTTGTTTACCTTCACACAAATACGAGTCGTTTCTTTCTTTCTCGGACACAATAAAGTTTAATAACTACTGATCATGTGAATTCCCACGTACATCAAACCTCGGAAAATGATCTTTCCATGGATAGTCGAGGTTTGTGTCACTCTGGATTATGCAAATGAGGGTACAAAACGAATAGACAATGTATATAAGGTGATAATCGGGTCAGAGAAGATGATACCCCTCAAAACCAACGCATACTAGTTTGTGCTACATAACATTTTCACCACCTTTTTGGTTTTTTCTAAATTCTGAAATTCTCTTCTATAACTATTGAATCATGAAGGTTTCCGAGTTTAATCACGGAACTTCTTACAATGGAATCTTGCCAACAAGGCCGGATATGAGTGAGGATAAAGTGCTGATCAGGTGAGTATACCGCTGGTAAGGCTTCCATTCGTCGGTCGAAATACGACGACCGCCAGCCGACCGCGATCCAGAGCCGACCAAGCTGACCGACCGGTCGGCGCCTTACGTTCCTTCGAAAATCGTTATTTTTCCAGAAAACTAAAAATGTACTCTATTCTCTTCTTCGTCCTCTTCATTCTCTTCCTTATCACCACTATCATCGTATCTGTAATCCTTGGAATCAATATCAAAGCTGAACAAGATCTCGAAGATCAACTGGAAAAATGCATCGAGATGCGGGACCAGTTCTTCTTCAAATCAAATGATCATTCTAATTCTGCATCGTAGCTTATTTCGTTTGTCATGTTTCGCTGCTTTCTAGATGTCTATTCTGCTCGTACGTGTTATCGCATTTTCTTCATTCAATTTTCTTCGTTCCAAACATAAAAATAATAAAGTTAAATAATCAACATCCCGAGGTTTCTATGCTGCTTGAATGTATTGTTCACAGAAATTTCCATAATATCCGTTTGGACAATCACACAATCCATATGCGGACTGTCCACCATTCTGGCATCTTCTCATTTGGCAAAGGTTTCCCCAGTAGTTGTCGGCACATTGACAGAATCCGTAGCTGTCAACAGTGGCACCGTTTTGGCAGTCTGAAATTTCAGAATGTGTTGTAATTAAACTATATTTTTAACTTACCAGATTTGGATCCACTTTTATTGAAGAAGAATGTTCTTTGGAATTGATTTCCATTGGAATCCAATCCGCGAACAACGAATTTCATATAGGTACTTGTCCACGTCATCAATGGAGTCACAAACTGACTGGCACATCCGACTGGATCTCTAGTCAAAACTGTGGTATTTTTGAAGTTACTAGTTGTGGCCCATGGAGTTTCCGGATCAGTGTCAGCTGATTCAATGACCGAAATCGAAGAACCAAAGTTGTTGGAATCCGAATTATAACTATCCATAATACGGAAAGTGATATAGGAAGCGGGTTGTGCTCCAGCTCCAGCTCTTGGTGTTCCACTTCCATAGTCATCACCTTGATCGTTGGTAAACTTTGGAATCACTTGAAGTGGAGAATTGACGCGGACTTGGAGGAAACAGTTTCCAGTACTCTTCACGTTAACGTTCCATGTTCCACCGGAGTGACCAACGGCGTCTGAAATTTTGTTTCATTCAATCTTTAAAAAACTACAGTTTCTTACTAATTGTTCTGATTAGGGTGTTGACGTCGGTGAAAGTGCTGGAGTTTGTCAAATCCACATTGTTGTCTGAAAATTTTAGCTTTCAAAAAATTGATCTTCACATATTTGAGCTCACTTTTTTCATCAGTGACAGTCAAGAAAACATTAGTTCCAGTGGCCAAAAGCGTTAATCTTGTCGCCAAGCTTCCAACTGGGAATTTAAAGTTAGCTCCGGCGGTGCAGTCCTTGGCGGCATCATCAAGAATAAGTTGATTCTCATTGACAGTTGGGATGAGAGCATTGAGAATCTGTTTAGTTTGGAGGCCATTTGCTGGAATAAGTCTTCCGTTTGATTGTCTTGCGATGGCAGAGTAGTAGTAATTGATGTTGGTTGGAGTGAGATCAGTTCCCATCCAAACCACATTGACTTGAACTCCATATCTTTGACGAACTGCTGCCACGTTGCTAGCTGAATCAGTAGCAGTGAACATGTAAATGATTCCGGGAAGATCCAAAAGTGTAGAGTAGGCTGTGTTGATAGCTTCGAGGCCTTTGACTTTAGCAGGAGTGTTGATTCCGACAGTGACTCCATTCAAGAAGGCTGAGATGAAAACATCCTTCTGCGTTGAAGACACGAGTACATTGATGTTGGCATCATCGAATGTGACAAGGGTGTATAACTTTGGAATATTGATGTCATCAGTTCCATCCACAAATGCCTGGATATTCTTCAGAAGAAAAGAGTTGGGGAAAACCATATTCTTAGTGTTGACCTCGACAACAAACACAATTTGTTGGAAGTTGTATTCTCTTGGATCATGAGTCTCCACGAAGTTCCAGTCATTACATTTGGTGTATTGGCAAGAGTCTCCGTCATGTTTGGCATCACATTGGCACTTGAAATCGACAATTGATCCTCCATTCTGACAGGTTGGAACTTCACAATGAAGACTTTGGTATCCGTTGATACATTGACACTGTCCAGCCAATTGAATTCCTCCATTAATACATCCAACAAGGTCACTACAAAATGCTCTTTGAGTTCTCATAATCGTCACTTCATGAGTCTCAATCGTAGTTTCCATTGTGAAGGTGTCACCAGCCTTCTGGCAAGTGAATTGATCTCTCATAATGTATTCGTACTTGCATCCGGATGTTCTTTTTACGAATGGAGTATCATAGAGGTAGTTGTTGTCAATGTCATAGCTGGTCATTGTGATGAATGGCTCGGATTGAAGAGTTGAAGATAAATGAATAACTGGTTGTTGGTGGGTTGCATATGTGAGATCTTTGGAGAAACGATCGAAAGATGGGTCTGGCGAGAAGCCAAGGTATGCAGAGAACTGACTACGCTCGGAGACTCTCACGAAACACTGTCCATCTGTAGATCCCTTGATGTTCACGGCATACTGTAGAGATGATCCGTTTGCGATTTTGATTTGGAAACTGGCGAAGAATGGAACAGAATAAGAATCTGGGACTAGTGGTACGCCGTCTCCTCCTTTAACAATATCGAAGATGGTTGCAGTGAAGTTTTGAATGGTTGCTGTAAAACATCATGCTATAGCAAATCAGGTTTCAACAGGACCTACGAGAATAGACAGTGACATAGGCATCATTGGTAGCACTGGAGATGGAAAAGTTACGAGACAAAAACTGTGCGCAACCATCGACTGCGTAGTAAGAAACAACTTCAGTATGATGGTGAGTGCTTCCATAGGAGCCGATGAACTAAAATAAAAATTGATATTTGCCCCGAACCTGATGGAAAAAGTTTACATTGAAGACTGGATCTCCGGATGTAGTATATGGCTGGCATAAGTTGATGAAGTTACCACCAGTCATTCTAGCCAAGTCTTCGTAAGTCAAGAACAAGTTATCAGCTGGGCAGAGGTCGAGAGATCCATAAGGAGGAATGATCACGATAGAGATCTCGATTTGGCGTTCGACTGCTTGTTGGCTGTAATTCGTACATTGAAAACTATAACCACAGATTTTGAAGTTCTCACACAATATCAGTAAAGTTCAAAGTTCCCTCAACCATCGAAGATTCGGAATCGGTGAAAAAGAAAATAGACGACTTGTCGTAATCCATCGATCTCAGTGTGGTCTCAAGGGCAAACAATCCTGGTTGGGTACCATTTGGAGAGTATGACCACATGATTCCATCATCAGTAGTGGCATTCACGAAAGCAGACGCTGAGCTGAATTTGGTAGAAGTTACATCCGGAACTGGTAGTCCTCCAATAACTCTGGTCTTGTACGTGGTCAGAATGTAATCTTCAAAATCATTGGATAGTCCTTTGTTGAGCATAGCTGTGAGTCCATCGTTAAGTCTGAGCATCGCTTGATTGGCAGAGAGCGAATTTTGAACAACGAGAGCAAAAGATCTGTTGTATGATTGAAAAGTGTCAGGAGATGTCGTTGGGCAGGACACTAACAATATTCAAATTAATTTTTATTTTGTAAGACCAACTCACTAATTTCGCAGAAGCTTCCAGTGACTCCAAATGGACAGATGCAGTTTCCATGGCCTCCTCCGTTGGGGAACTTGTCTGGGTATCCGCCGTTCAAACACTTCGGAACTTCACAATGAAGACCATCCCAGTTGGTAGCGCAATTACAACTGCTCACACCGCTACGGGTACCGTTATTGATGCATGACCAGAGAGGAGCCGAGTGGGTATCTGGAGTGAAACAGTATCCTGGCACGGCACGATACTTGTTTCTGTCAGTGGCCGCGACGACAACATTATGAACGAATGGTCCTGGAATGCATGATGATTCTGCTGTGAGTTGGTAATTGAAGACACAAGAAGCGGACTTTGCAGCATCAGCAACTGCTCCGAGAATGATAGATGAGTTGTAAGAGTTGAGTCTTGTAACAGTCAAGCCTGTTGTGGTGGCAAAAGAGGAATACACTGCTGGTCGTTGTCTGAATCCATTGAATGTGTGGGCGTAGTTATTGTCAACCGCATCATCATCAGAATAGGAAATGAGAACGTCGTCCATAGATGGGAACCACACTCGAGTGCTGTGAACCGGGATAGTATCTCCAGAAATTGTGATGGAGTCAGTGACACTTTGATAGACGCGGAAGAGCGCAAATCGTTTTCCAGAAACATCTGGAGCCAACATCTTTCCATTCTTATCTTGAACGTTCGGGATAGATCCATTCTCAACTGTGATCAGGGCGAAGGTGGTTTGAGTAGCAGAATCGGAGAAAATTGGGATAGTTTTGCTGACACTGTTGTAGTACTGAACAAAACTGTTCTGACCGCCAATGAATGCGTATAGAAGTTCCTTGATAACTCCCACGACTTCAGACTTGTCAACAATCATTAGATCTCCGTGGACTGCGGTGATTACTCGTCGGAGCACATCAAAGTGGTTTCCAGTTGGGCTGATTGGGGAGGCTGGAAATTGCGAAAGTACCATAACGATCTTGTTTCTCCATGCAAGAGTTTGTTGGATGACCACACTCTCGTTGGTGTTAGTGAGCATAGTAGAGGGAGCTGTATCCTCTAAATTCTCAGAGTCTGCGAATACAAAAACAATTGATTTTGGACGCATGGAAACTTGTCTGAAATCATACCTATAGATCAACCAAACTTGAACCAAAGACTTACGTTGATTGAGCAGCATTGATAGCATCCAACGTTGGTTGATCATCTGTTGATAGGGCAATGGTGACTCCATTGGACAGGTAGTCAACCATATCGGCGGAATTTGTGAATGAGTTCGTCTCCATAAAATATACTTTTCCTTTGCTACTGTATCTGTACACAGTTAGAATGTAGCTAGCGATTGGGATGTTCTGGTTCTGATAGTCCTGAACCAATGTCGGGATGTTCTCAATGATAGTGCTAAGGTCGAATCCCATAGAAGTTCTGGTGTTGATGACAAGGATCATAGATTGGGCGGAGAAGTCGATGACCGAGTTGATTTTGGTAACGCAGGTTCCTGAATTATTTACGTTTCTTTTTTGGAAAATGATTGGTTAATCTTACTAGCTTCACAATGTGCAGAGTAGAGTCCTGGTGGACAGGTGCACCTTCCATTCTGACCAATTCCATTATTACGGCATCTGGAAAAAGGAATCGTAGCGTTCTACTTGGAAATCCTGGAAACATACGTCACGACTTCACAATTGGCTCCAGAATAGTAAGGAAGGCAGGAGCACGTGGCGTTTGGAAGAAGAATTCCTCCATGAAGACAATGATCCACATCTGCTCTCACCGGTCGGAATCTCGATGCAATATTTCCTTGCACTTCTACTTCTGTAATTGATTTATGTTGCCTTTTTTACTGATTCTGACGCAATTCGCTTCGGAAATTTACGACCTATTTTACGCGTCTCTTCAAAAATGAAATATTTTAACCAGCAAAGAGATAAGACGAAACAGGAGCACAATTTTTAGCATGAAAGACCACAAAGTTCAAAATTACCATTCTTTTTGAGAAAATAGATTTGGACGTCTTCAGTCGCGACGATTCGGTCGATGATGTCTTGGCGGGAAACCGAAGGATTCGAATTGAGAGTGAGGCGGGCATGGAAAACAGCAGTATCCTGGCCATGGATTCTGAAAGTTAGTACTATATCTACCGTAATCTTAATCATCTGGAATTTTGCTTGGGCGTTGACAAGATAACGTTTGAAGTCATCCAAATATGATTGCATTGATTTTTTGATTCTCGATAAGACTTACAGCTCATGATATCATTCATCAATAAAAACTCACACATAATCATGAACAAAAAAACTCTTGAAGTCTTCTCCCACAATCTCAGCCATCTGAATTCAAAACTTGGAATCAGACTTGACATTCTAAACATACCCGATCAGAAGCTTTGCTCAATTTTTCTGAGAAACTTTGCTCGTTGTAAAACTCCGGAAGGATGTCATAGCTTTGAATGAGATTAATGTGTCCACGAATTTCATACTGTAGTCCAGAAGCTAAAAGAAACCTCAAACCTTACATTTCCAGAAGTTGTTACTTACCTAAACCAACCAGTAGCAATAGAAGGCCGACGGAGGCCTTTAGAGCAGCCGCCACCATCTTTGCGACTGTCGACCGAACTGAAGAAATCGATATGGCAGGCAGCAGCCCCGGTTTAGTTTCTTATCGGAAAACTGGCAGTTTTTATGAGCATACATGTACTCGCCCAAATAATTTTTATCATTTAGAAACATCAATGTTGAAATTTTTATTGGTTAATTGGGTCCAGTTATTGAGGGAAAGTACAAATAGACGTTTTTCGTCGGAATTATCAATGATTGTGCTATTACGCTGTATTCGAATAATAAGGGAAATATCATATTTTAAAATTGTATTTGTCAGTTAAACAAAATCGACAACGAAAACTTTATTCAAGAGAAATGCGAAAAAAGCCACAGAAAATCAAAGAAACTTTGATTAAAATTAATTTTCGATCTTCTTCAGTTTCTTTTTCTCAACTCCGATGTTGTTGCACAGGTCAGTCTTGCAGCATCTGGTCGTCAAATCCTCGTTGATCTTTTTCGGATTCTTACTCTGAAAACAACACTTCAAAAAAGGAAAACAAAAAGTCAAGCCACCTAGGGGACTCGAACCCCTGACCTTAAGATTAAAAGTCTCACGCTCTACCAACTGAGCTAAGGAGGCCCCGAGGGAGCATAGTTAGTAAGGAGTACATTTTTGGGCGTAGGAAAGTTACGCGGGGGGAGGGAAGGGATGTGTGAATAAGGGGGAAGTATTGATTCATAAAAATTAAGAAAAACTTGCAAAACCTAGAATAGTCGCTTTCGAATCTCGAAAAAATTTTTGAAGTGTTTTCTTAATTTTTATTCGAATTCAATGAAATTCCGAGACCCCCTTTAAATCTGAAATGCTGCGTTTTATTAATATTCTAACTAGGGCGCATTTACAACTTTCCCATACTTGACACAAGTCGAGAAGTCTCATGTTGGTACCCAAATGCTGACAACTAGCTGTGACCTCATCAAAGTCACCGGTATACGATTCGATACAGTATAACATTCCTTCATCGCAAGTCTCTTGGATGAATTTCTGCTCCAGTTTTCCGTTGATGAATCCGCGGCTACCTAAAATATCGCTTATCATAACTTGTCTTCTCTTTTTTGCGCCTCTTATCAAAGCAGAGACCCCAACGATAATTCATTTCGGAAATACGTGGCAACTTACCTGCATAGCATTTGATAGCTGAAGATTGAAACGGTAAGAGAGAAAGAAGAAGAAACACGGAGAACAATTTGAGATGCATCATCATTTGAATGGATGGGAAGAAAGAATGATGATGAAAAAGAAGAAGCGACACAATCGTTTGTTGTTTATGGGAAACCCCATTTCGTTTTATTTTTCAGAAAAACCGCTAGAAAACATACGAATTCACATGATAGAAACGCAGAGAAGCTAGAGAGTGCTGGGAGTTTGAGTTATGGTTTTTGTTCTTTTAGTTCCGGAGCACTGTAGTCTACTGTTGTGACAACGTCATTAGAGTTTGTGAATGACTTGAAGGAAACGGGAGTTATAAATCATTATTCGGGTGTGGTTTTAGGGTGTTTTCAGAAAATACCACGTGCCGGAAAAATTAGTAAAGTGTACTGTTCCTTGATGGAAGAACAAACTATCCAGTTATCAATTTCTCCAGCTGTAAGAAGCTGGAGGGGAATTTTCAAAAATTAAAAAAGGGGTGATGTTGGGAGATTTAAAAACATCTCAGGATAATACCCACATAGGCCCCACATCAGCCCCAATTTCTCCCCCATTTTGCCACCGATTTCCAAACGACATAGGCTTTCAAAACCAAATTTATTAGTTACACATAAACGCAAAACAGTCTTTCAAAATAGACTCTAGAAGAACAAACAGTCAGTAAAAATCAAAAGATGGAGCTGGAATTGAAAGTAAAGAAATTATATGTTGTTGGAGTAGTCGGTCAGATCCTGTACAGTTTTTTGCTGAGTTTGCTGGAAAATGGAGATTATAGGGGGAACAACCTTTCATGACACCTACATTCTCGATTTTTCTCTCCGTGATTCATTAATCTTTCTCTGGAGTTATTCAATCCGTTTTTCATCGTTGTTGTCTTTCTCCTTTTTCCGTACCAGTCCTGAAAAAATAAAATAACTTTCGATAGAAACAAGGAAAATCACTCACAAGTTCCTTTTTCGTTTACCTTCGTGAACGATTCGGGTACGGAGAAGGAAGAATATTGGTTATAGTAAAACAAATCATAAAAAAAACAACTCAGAACAAAATTTTGCGTCATCGAGGATCCGCTTGTGCCAGTACACTCTGTTGGCGCTCCCCATTTAGCCCCCATCTACCTCCCGTTCCCCTCTTTCCAGTCGACAGGGTAATCCCCACTTACTCCCCACATGTCCCCCGCTTGTAAGAAA